AATATGAATATAATTTGTAGGTTGAGCTTCTGAATCACCAGTGTCGGCGAAAGGATCTTAAAAAAGTTAGTAAATGAAATCAAATTATAATGAGTCGTATAATAAATACCTACCAAATGAGTTTAAGTTTTGGATAGTTGACATAAAGTGGAAAACACAAAGATTTTCTTCTGTAAATTAGATTTTTGCTCTATTCGAAGGGGCGTTTTACAGCGCTCTAGAAATGATCATAAAAAGAGATAGAAGATGATGTAAGGTGACACAAAAGGCGTAAAGTGTTACCCGGTATAAGGTCATTAGCAATTTAAAAGAAACAGGACACATGGGGCGATCTACAACTTAAAGAATAAGCATCTGGGGAACACGAACTTCATTTTTATAACCTGCAATCTTCTATGAGCAAATACTATGTTCTATCCTATAGGTAAGAAACAATTGTCACAAATAGGACACTAAATTCACAAGCATTTTTTGAGTATCGCGTCTCAAACTTCCGACTTAAGCTGAAGATGTCAATGTTTACAATAGGAAATTGAAATCAGCCTTACAGGTAGGTCGTCGGATGATTTGTACGATTTGTACCACACGTCAGTCAACTAGAATAACTGACGAATTTATTATAGAGATGTTGAACTGCTTTCCAGCATCTAGTCATATAGAGGTGGGGTGGCCAGCAGATCTCGGTTGGAGTTCTGGGATCCGGAACTAATCTATTTCAATTGTAGCATCACGTTTATATAATTTATTGTCGACCGTATTTGATATGAAAGTCCTGCACATATCCGTGGCAAATTCCCTGTGAAAGAAATTGTCAGAGCTGACTTTCAGAATATCTGTGATTGAATATCACTTATTGTACTGTTGTTTTTTTTTTATCAATTGTTTCTAAGCAATTGTCAAATTAAATCGTTGGTTACTGTGGTGTATCTTCTAACATTAAACCAGACTACGAGCATTTTTCCAGAGCAAGCTGAACAGTTTAGTTAGATAAAATGACTGACATAAGGGGAGAAGAATCAAAGGCGACTGAAAAATCATGTTCTCAAGAAAAAGCTAAAAGTCCGAGTAAATTTGAGACAGAGAAACTGGTGGTTAATGAAAAGGAGAAAAAGAAGCAGGCTTTCATAACGAGGTCTATATGGTCCCTCGTTATGATCTTCGGATTTCTTATATTAATTGCATCAGGACATTTAGCATTGATTGGAATAGTGTACTTGTTTCAGGTATTGACATTCAAAGAGATAATTGGTTTGACATCTGAGCCTGCGAGAGATAAAAACATACCTTACAGCAGGTCATTGAATTGGTATTTTCTATTCGTTACGTTGTATTATTTAGATGGTGAGAGTTATTTTGATTTTTTTCAAGAACAGGTATACGCTAGCAGATTTTTGACTACATTAGTATTGAATCATAAATTTATCAGCTATAGTCTATTTATTACTGGCCTAATCTTTTTTGTCTTTAGTTTGACCAAAGGTTACTACAAGTTTCAATTTGCTCAATTATGTATCACACACATGACACTTCTTTTAGTTGTTGTTCAATCGCACTTGATCGCGGACAATATTTTGAATGGAATTATCTGGTTTTTGTTGCCTTGTTCGTTGGTTATTGTTAACGATGTTTTTGCTTATTTATGCGGAATCACATTTGGGAGAACCCAATTACTTGAAATATCACCTAAAAAGACTGTTGAGGGTTTCGTTGGGGCTTGGATTTGTACCGGCATTGCAGCTGTTTTTTTTACGTATTTTTTGACTCGTTCAGATTACATGATTTGTCCGGCAGAAAATATAACGTCAAACATTTTTAATTTCCCTGAATGTGAGCCTAATCCCGTTTTCATTCCACAATTTTATCAATTGCCAAAAGTTGTGAGCAAATACTTACATGTTGATATGATAACGTTTAAGCCAATTCATTTTCATTCTGCAATGTTAGCCACTTTTGCTTCCTTGATCGCCCCTTTTGGTGGCTTTTTTGCAAGCGGTTTAAAGAGAGCATTTGGTATTAAAGATTTTGGAGATACTATACCAGGACATGGCGGAATCACCGATAGAATGGATTGTCAATTTTTAATGGGTTCGTTTAGTTACTTGTATTATCAGACCTTTATTTCTGTTGCGAACATAAATGTGGGAAAGATCTTGCAAACTGCTATTCTAAACCTTTCTGTAGCTCAGCTTTTACAATTGATCAAGAGTCTATTGAGATATCTCCATAGCATCGGCGTCATTGATGACGAAAAATTGAGAAGCCTTTTCGGTCTTTTAGAAATATGACTTTATATCTAAGAATATCTCCAATTTACCTCACTTCAAATTGGATGCGAATTTGCTCTACATAGAAGACATTAATATACAGGTAAATTAAAGTAGCATTTTTAGATCACAAAATTGTTGACACATTGGTAAAAGCATGTCTTGTAATCTTCAAGCAATTTTTTTAAACAAAGCACTATTAGTTTCAGCCAGCCATACATCTATGTGTCTCTCATCTAAAATTAGCTCGTTGCTTAGGATCTCTATTTTGACTTCAAATGTGAAAAACTCGAGTTCAATCTCGCTCTTTCCTAATTGGGAAGTTGTTAGCATTATTTGCTGGTCGCTTCTAAAATAGGACTGCACCAGTTCGAGTTTGCAGTCAAATCACTTTTAAATCATCACTGAACGGCCGTATCAACCAGCAGTAACGTCAACATGAATGAAAGCTGCTGGTTATAAAAAGTCTCCTTGATCCAAGATCACTTATAGAATTTGAAAATGGTATTGATTTAATCTAGTCTTTCGTTGAACACCTACCAGTCACTCTTTTTCGCAATGATGTACAACTTACTTTCGTTAACATTTATCTTGCAAATCATTGCTGCCGCTCCTTTACCTAGAGTCATAACTCGAATGCACACTGCAAACCCCGTCACGGTTACAAATACATATACTACTGGTACGACTACTGTGAATTTGCCACCTGTGGAAATTTTTATTTCCAACGGTGTCACTTACACTTTTACGCTAACTGATCAAGCAGTTGGCTCACCGACCACTACGACGTCAATCTATAACAAAGATGTTGAAGCTACACAGACCACTGAATCATGCAACACCAAGGTTGTCGAAAATAATGCCGGAACTACCAACAACAATAACGACGCAACAGAGGGTGCTTCAGGCACTTCCACAAGTTCTGTAACCTCCGCAGTCCCAAATGTCTCAGGCACCGCAAATAGCGTAACTATTTCTCCAAGCAACTTTAAAAGTTCTTCTCAGACTTATGTCCAAACTACGGCTGCTCAATCAAGTGCTACGACGAATGATGATAGTTCTAATACTTCAACTGCACAAACTACTTCAGGAACATCTTCGACAGGTAGTGAGGAAACCACTGCTTCTACAAGTGGTATAAGTCTTCCTACCTCAGCTAACAGAATCACTTCAGACTACGCCTCATTGACAGCACCCGATACTATTGTTTATTCGCCATATAATGATGATGGAACATGTAAAGTTGCTTCCAGTATTAACAGCGACTTAGAATACATTTATTCTAAAAATATTAAAAAAATTAGATTATATGGTGTGGACTGTAATGTTTTGACAGCTGTTTTACCCCAATGTTCAAAATTAGGAATAAAGGTTAATCAAGGGTTATGGATTTCTAGTGATGGAATTGATTCCATTGACGATTCGTTGAGCGATTTAGTGGATTATATTAAAAGTGAAGGATCAGATGTTTTCAGTTTTATTACAGTTGGAAACGAAGCTGTCAATGCTGGATATGTATCAGTCACTGACTTAATATCGAAGATATCGTCGGTCAAATCTACATTAAACAAAGCAGGATATAATGGTGATATTACGACTTCGGAACCACCAATCACATTCATAAATTCACCTTCATTGTGTACTTCATCAGATATTGATTTTGTTGGAATTAATCCCCATTCTTATTTTGACACAGAACTTACAGCTGACGAAGCTGGAACGTATGTTGTACAACAACAAAAAGAAGTCAAAAGCTCTTGTGGGTCCAAAAATGTCGTTATTACAGAAACTGGATACCCAAACAAAGGTGATACGAATGGAAAAAACGTTCCGTCGGCAGATAACCAAAAGAAGGCAATTGAATCGATTTTGCAAGAAACTAACGGAGATATTACAATTTTATCGACATATAACGATTACTGGAAGGAGCCTGGACAATATGGAATTGAACAATATTTCGGTGCCATAACATTATTTGATTAAAGTCAAACATGTTTCGCATTTCAATTCTTTTAAATTAACTGTTTTATGTCGTTTCTCTATCTCATATGTATATTAACTTAAAACTCAATAACCTTCAGGGGAAAGTACTCGTCGATCAAGCCTATATAATAGCTTTTCAAGCTTTCAATATTATACTGTTGATCTGATTTAGAATATAAATCATATTTGTTAAACTCTTTCACCACCTTGAGCATCTGCTCATCATGCTCGTTCATTAGATATTTGTAAGCTCCTTCCTGATGCCAGGGATAAAATGAATGATATCTTATAATGGCCAATCCTTCTGGTGGAAGTATAGAACTTTTTTTGGCCACATGATACATATATTCATCATGTCCCCAACTTAACATAACCTTATCCAAACCACAATTCTTGGAATATATGCCATATTTTGTATTGTACAAAGGATTGAAAAGATCTGGATTCTTCGTGAAACTATCAGGAAAAATTATTTTTTTCAGAAACTTACAGCCTACCGGGAAAGTATCGCCAACGACGTCCCATTGCCCTTTGGAGTCATAAAAGTAAAGCAATTTCCCCAAATCATGAATCAAACCTACTAATTGAAACCATCTAGGCTTTTTGTCTCTTCTGATTGCCTCTGCTGTCTGTAGAGCATGATCTATCTGGGAAAGTTCAGTGTCTGGGTCAGACTCATCGAGTAGCTTATTTAACCTTTCTAGCCCTTCCCAAACAGTCATCCTAGCTCTTGTCTTTGTCTTGAAATTGATCCTTGCTTGAATATTATAAGCCACAGTCTGAAACTCGTGCTGCTCTTCATAAAACTGCTTCACTCTGTCACAAGCAAGCTCATATTGCCGAAAAGATTTTGGATCGATATTCGCTGCAAAATCGGATGCCAAATCTTGCTCTACTTCTACTTGGTTTCTGACAACTACATCATTTTCTTCTACTCTATTTTCTTGTCCTTCGTCTTCTTCTTCTTTCGGGCCCTTCCAACTGTGTTTCATTTCTTTTTTTATTATGTTCACTTGAAGAACATCATTGTCAATTTTCTCCAACAAATCCCCATCCTTTCTGTGTGGTAGCTCTTTAGAATTGTGTGATTTCAGTATTCTTGCTGTTGAAGTGGTAGATGCCATACCACAATATTGATTGCGGCCAATCTCTTTCTTCCTTCTGTGAAATAGAACCAAATAAGGATATAAAAGATGTTATCTAGTGTTATCGTATAATCAAATAAACAGAAGAGTTCTTATTAAGAAGTAGCAAAGAAATATTTATTTATCAGAAAAAAGAAGTAAAGGTAATCGCTAAATCATATAAAAGCGCCGGTGGCATAGAAATCGTTACAGTTGGCTCCACTAGCTCAGTAGGCAGAGCGTCAGTCTCATAGTAATTGCTGTGTTATCTGAAGGTCGACAGTTCGAACCTGCCGTGGAGCAATTGTTTTTTTTTTTTTTTCTAACCTCTTTTTTCCCTTTCTAAAAAGAATCTTTTCAAGATAAAATTATATTTACAACATTTGATGTACTGGAATTAATAATGGACGTTTATGTAGGATTTATAGGATAAAGAAGCGTAGAAGAAAATATTGCATCATGCGGACAAAGGAAAATCATCGCTTATGAGCATGTATACATCTAAACGTCGTCGCCCTCATTCATTTTCGCTTTTGAGTGATCCAGCGAGTTCACATCTGAAGTGATTTCATTTCTTGAAACTTCTACTGATTCAGTTCTTTTTGCTAAAGAATTGAATGGTTTGTTAGCTGCTTTGCAATAGACATACTCTGCACTTATCCTCAATGCAGCTGCTATTAAAGTCAAGAGTATGCCGCCCACGGGAGCGATAACGAAGGCACCAAAAGGACCCCAATCTTCAGGACTATAGATCCCATTCCAAATAAGTAGCAATTTCCCACCTTCTTTAGCAGAATGATAGTAAACAGTACCAAAGATGAAAACACCAAGAAGAGCTCCTAAGCCACCACACATAACATCAAACCCTCTGAGATACCAGAAACATCTTTCACTCAATCCTAAGAATATTGCAGGAATCAAGGCAGATGAAACAAGATCAGCAATCAAATAAATTTGTAAAATATCATCAGCAACTTTGATTGCAAGAACAATAATAGGAACGATAATTAGGAACACTAATATCCTTACGTATATGATTGGTAACTTATTACGGAAAGCATCATTAGAGATACTTGAAACCATAGCTGATTGCAAGGAATCAAAAGTACAGGTCGAAAGGGATATGCTAAAAATTAATACGAAAGCAACGACCCAGCGAGGCATGTGGCTTAAAAGTATGAAAAAAGCATTGTATCCCATTTCATCTCCGACAGTCAAATCACCAGTCCAAACTGCAATAAAGCCTGTTGTTCCAACCAATGTACAAATTACAAATGTAACAAACGATGCAATCGAACATCCTATCCATAAGTCTTTATCAGTTTTACTTGCAAAAGTTCGCAACCAAAATCCAGCCATAAAGCAATCATTTGTTAAAATGGCTACAAATAATATGTATATCAATTGCCAGCCTAGTTCGTTTGCTTTCAAAAGACCCGATTCTCCGATCTTTGAAGTGTCGATACGGATATAAGATCCCATTCCACAAGCACAGATGATAACCATTATCAAGACAAACGCACCTTGGAAATTGTCAGTTACAAAACTAACCTTGAAACCTCCGATCGATGTGTACACAGACGTCACAACACATTCCACGATGACTGCTCCTAAGGCGTTCAATCCTGTTAGCGTCTCTATTGCTGTCCTAATGGCTGCAAGCTCACTAATCATGAAAAGAAACATCGTCAAGCACGTGAAGAAGGACAAATACAAGGCTGTTATCGTACCAAATCTTTGTCTCACCCATTCCGTAAGTATGAATCCTTCTGGACATTTCTTTCTAATTAGGGGACCAATGGCCGCAAAACCAAGTAATGGAATTGATCCTGTCAATGTGTACACAAGGAGGCCATGCAATCCAGAGATGTTAGCGATCTGAGAATACGTGGTCAAGATTCCGCAACCCATAGCTAAAGCGGTGTTAGTATAATATTTTTACATCCACCTAATCAACAACAAACCTCCTCACGCAAGTATTAACTTTATCGAGTTCAAACGGTAATTTCTCAGCCCATTCGCTTCTCCCGAAACAGAAACGAATAGGCACCCGCTGGTTTTTTGTTGTTATAAAATTCTTCTACTGCAAAAAAATAAATAGTAGTGAAATATCACTACTGTTCTTGCTCCACGATGCGCTGTATTTGTCATTAACCAAGCCTTAAAAATTCAAAGGCTATCAAGATATCCTTCTTATTGAGCATACATACCAGAAGCAATGAAGTTCAATGAAAGGGGTATACCTCTCAGTGTTCCATTCGATGACAAAAAGGTGTCAGCTCGAGTAAACTTGAGGGCAATGAAGACACCAGTAGCCAACATGAAGGCATAAGTCAAATAAATAATTGCATTGTTTCCTTGCGAGGATATTTGAGCCATCTTTATTTTGAAAGTAAAAAAATTTACTGAAGTTTGATAAAAAAATGGACGTTTGCTCCTTTTTAATACTCTAGCAGAACAAAAAAAAAAAAAAAAAAATTTAGAATGAGTCAACAACGGGCTTTTTCCAAAGCAATGTCCGTACTAAGTTGGACTTCCGCTGTCATCACTTCTGTAAATTTTATTACCCTCACCACTTCGAAATTAAACTGAGTGGTCTTCCTGAAATCAGCTTTTGATTATCCAAGTCGAATCGGTGACTTGCATGGAATATTTTTAAACTCTTATTAGCCCTTTGTTTGTGCGTATCCTTCTTATTCTTCTCGCAGCAATGAATGGCTTTACTGAATTACGGGCATTTGCGGCGCCCTCTAGCAAAAAACTTTGCCACAGGGACGTGCACTAATACATCCCATGCAGCCATTCCGGTTGCGGAGTTACAAGTGCCTATTCTCTTAATATCGCAGGCGTCTTTGCTTTATCTATAGCTGATAGTAAGGAAATTAGAGAAACAAACCTCAATAACCGGAATAGAATTCCGGAAGCTCATTTGTGGCCTATTAAGATGAGATGAACACCCAGTAGTATAATCGCTTATTCGCTGATGCATAAGCAAACCGGGTATGTATTCGTTTCATCTACTTTATTTGAATCATCTCACACTATACTTTGGCAAACCAGTTGCAGAACGCTCTTTTCCGAACCCATACCGTTCCATCTAAAAAAAAAATTTAATGATTGTTATGTACAGTAGTTATGCACAAAGATACAATATCTGTTTTAATTGGTAACTTTTTAGGGTATACATCTCGGCCATCTCAGTTCGGCGATGGCCTCTATGTAAATTTATTGTAGTGCAGCTGATTCTCTAAGGGAAGTAGTGTCTGGAGCCAACCTACGAAGTAACGCAAAACGGTACCTTATCTATGAAAATTTACTTTTTCAATGCTCACGCTTCTATATAAACTCTGGCCGTCTCATCTAGTGAGCTAACGGCGTGCCCCTTTGCTAATACTGTCAGTGTGTACTGCTTCGACATTATCTGAAATGCAATCAACAGAAGTTTCTCTGGGTCGTCGATTAGTGCAAGTGGCGTGTGCAATATTCTGGTGTTTGTTATCAGGGGGCCCAATCTTTGGTTTCGCTGCATTGAAGCCTGTGTTAGTGAGGGAACAGGTATATGAATATGTTTGCGATATATCTATCAATTCAACTTCCATTGCTACTGATAGATCTCCTTTTACGTCATTGACTTCCAACCTTTTGTCTGGATTTGTCAATATCGAGCAGGAAGATGCAGTTGCCAAATGTACCGCTCAGGATTTGAAATTAAATATGATGTTCACAGTAGGAGCAGTTTTAACGAACGTTTCTGCTTTAGTTATAGGGCGGTGCCTTGATGTCTACGGCCCAAGATTCTGTGGATTGGTTGGCGCTGGCTTCTTGTACTTAGCTTGTATTATCTTCATTTTTGCAAGTAAGTTTGAACATACGATTTTGGATCCCTACTTGATCGGTTACGGTTCAATGGCTTTGGGAGGACCATTTGCCTATATTTCATCATTTCAGTTATCAAACTCTTTTCCTAAGAAAAGTGGAACTATCTTAGCACTTCTCACTGGAGCCTTTGATGCTTCTTCTGCACTCTTCTTGATTTACAGAATCCTTTACAACGAGTCCAATGGAGCATTTACTATCCAGAAGCTTTTTAAGCTTTATTTTTTGGTTCCTCTCTTCATTACTTTAGCTCAAGTTTTTGTCATGCCAAAGGAATCTTATAAAGCCGCCAACGCTTCCTTCGATATTTCTCCATCGCAAGCTCTGGAAGATTCACCATTGCTTGAGAATGGTGCACCAGCTACTAAGAGAGATTCTATTGGCGATGCATTGAAACAACCTTATGCTGAAGAAGGTGAAGCTACTTTGATTAGGCATTCCGGTGGTATCTTTGGTATCTTGCATGGCTATTCAGCTCGCTTCCAGATGAGAACTCCATGGTTTTACTTGATGTGTTGCTTCACAACCATCCAAATGTTGAGACTTAATTATTTCGTCGCGACTATTAATACTCAATATACCTATTTGTTCCACTCTGTTGAGAAGGCTGAAAAATTGAACAAATTTTTCGATATTTTACTTCCATTAGGTGGTGTAATCTCAATTCCATTTGTGGGCTTATTTTTGGATTACTGCTCTACCTTTGTGGTTTTGGTTGTCCTTCTTTCAGTTTCCTTAGCGATAGGTTTCTTAGGGCTCTTTGGCAGTTTTGTTACTGGAATTATCAATGTTTTGCTTTTCGTTGTCTACAGGCCCTTATTCTACACCACCATATCTGATTTTTGTGCCAAAGTTTTTGGTTTTGATACGTTTGGAACTGTTTACGGGGCAATAATTTGTACTTCAGGTATCTTTAATTTTGGTCAGACGATATTAGACAAATTGACGCACACCAAATTTCATATGAACCCCACTCCTGTCAATGTCATGCTAGTTGCAACTACTGTGATTATTGGAATAATCACCATATTGTACGTGAAGGTTCAAACCAAGTTGTATAATGAGAAAAAAAATAGACAATTAAATGCCGCTTGATTTCGTGCTAAGATGACTTTGATCTCTCATTATATTAATTCATACATGTTTCATATAAAATAAGTTCACAAATAAAGTTCAAATTTTAATTTACTAGCTCTGTAAAATCTGTAAATTACTCAGATCTGTATATCATTTTCATTCTATTCGAGGATTCTAAAAGATAAGAATTTATATACAGTTCTCGGCTCGGGATCCTTTACTGTGAACTAAAACATGGTATCAAGGAAATTTTGATGAGACTTCCTAAATCGTAATCATTTTTAATTGCTATTAAAATTCTATGGTTCCTTTCAAAACTATCGAAATATTGTTAAATTATTGAAAGATTCCTGACGCTTCCAGTTCCTATTCATCCCCAATTTGAAATAATTCACGCAGAGGAAGGTCAAGCAATGCCTGATCCGAGTAATGATGATGTCTCAAAATTAGTCGGCAGCACTGGGCTTAAGCGTTTCTCTTCCGAAAACGTAGCTAACACACTGAAATCCCAGTCTGCTGATAACTTGCTAGAAAAGTTGGCTAAAAGACTGACTGATGAATACAGAAATATTAAATTTGTTGTTCCACCGAATCATACTCCACCACTTAGCTCCCAATATTCTAAAAGGGTCTCATTTGATACTGTCGACATTCAGTTCGATGATAGTGGTGATGACGATGATTTCGACGACCTAGATTATGAATGGGATGATTTTAAACCTAAAATGAACGATTATACTTTCCTCACAAGAGGACGAGAGAGGATGAGGGATGCATCTCCTGCTAGATATTCACCTTTTGGCTCTCCTTCGAACTCACTTTCACCTTCGAGAAGGTATCCAATCGATGAAGTGCGAAGAAGATTATCAGAATTTAGACCTGCTTATCCGACACGCCCTATCATAACGCACAAAGGATGCTCATTCACAAAAGTTCACAATAAATTTGAGGACTTATATTTACGAAAGCTTTATAATGAGAAGAACAACTGGTTGAAACCTATATTGCCTCTGCGAATTATTTTAGTATATTTGAGTGGGAGGAAGCATACCTGGGTGGCACTTGATTGGATAGTGAGGCGTTTCATTGAAAATGGGGATACAGTAGTAGTCGTTTCCTCTATTGGGTCAATTGAAAGAAGGAGAGGTTCAAGGTTTCTGCCTCAAAAGAATGTTAAATTGACACCTGAAGAAAGATTTAAACAAAGAAGTAGGCCAGAACATATTAAATTTATTGCTAATAACATCATGACATATATCATGGAAGTGATGAATCCAAATGTAATCGCCAAAGTTTCTGTTGAGTTGGTAGTCGGGAAGACTAAGGATATTCTAAAAGACATGTATAAACTTTATGAGCCCAATCTTGTATGCACTGGTTCGAAATTAAATACGAGAAATAGTGCGCCGCTTAAGTCGTGGTTATCATCTCGTCTACTGGACAGACTAGTCAAAAATTTTCCTTTGCCAGTTATTGTTGTCCCAGCATCAAACATGGGGCCATTTGAGGATGCATTAGAATTAGCGATAAATTCAAAATTCGAGTCCGGAAAGTCATTGTTGAAAAAAATGAAGAAATTATCTTTAGAAAGCAGTAGCTCTACGAGTGAAAGCGATTCTGGTGCTAGTGATACTGAATCTATCGATTCTGGTGCCTCTATGACTAGCCTGTCGAGCAAAGACTCGTATTCTTCATTCGGGGAAATCACTGATCTCTACGTGAACTACAAAAAGGATTTGAGTTCAGAATTGGTAAGACTCTCCGAGCAACCAGTTGATGAGAATTATTTTGCTAATTATTTGAAACCTATTGCCGACAAGTCTTCCGCGTTATGTCAAGACATTAAAGATATTAACCCAGATTTTCGAGGAAAGGGTGCTAAATTGGCTAGAATGATAACAGGATCGAATTCATTTGGTGTCGTTCCTTTCAAAACTAAATCATTATTGGATCCTGTGGAGACAAAAACTTCAAATAGTGAAGGGAAATCTTACAAAGAGTTACGAGAATATTTAAAGTCAAATGCAGCTCACAAAGTTTCGTCACCTCCTCCACAAATTTTAGTACATTCCCCATCGGAACCTTCCGAATCTTCTGAGAGTGAGGCTAGAAAGCCCTCTTTAAAATTTGTGGATTTGGATACTCCACACACTCACAAGGAACAAAAGAACTATCCGTTAAGAAAACTTTTATCGCATGAAATTAACTCAGTAACAAAACCAACGAAGCCAAAGCTCGAACCTTCTAAATCTGAACCTGAGCTTAACTCTATTGGAAATTTCCTTGAAGATAAGTCTAACCGTAAGAAAAAATCATCTAAGAAGAAGAAATTTTGGAAGCTCTTCATATAGATACACTTATTTTGTATACAGGTACGTAAAATATTACAATTTAGAGGCGACTTTGTAATTCACATATTGAACCACGTAGCCTTAAGTATGATATAAATGAAATCTTTCTTCATCATCTTACTTTTAATTTATATAGTGAGAGCATCATTTTTTGATACAGGGTTTGATTTGGATATAGATGAACCTATAAATTTACTTGAGAATAATGAAAGACGCAAGGACAAATCTGAAGGTTTGCAAGAATTTACTCCAATAAGGAATTCAATTGGCCAAAGCGAAACTCAGTACTATTCATTCAGTGTCAATACAACGAGTGGTTTGGGTCTGTACTATCAGTTTTTAATTTTCTTGACAGGAAACATATGTTCTCAGCCTGCAAATGTGAATGCAAGCGACCCTAGTTTGGCGGTATATTACTCTTTCAATGCAAGCATGTTCCAAAATTTTGAAATAAGTCATATGGAGCTATTTAAGAATGGATACTTTCAGGCGTTAGCGGATGTTCCTATTTCGGAGAGTAGTGAAAATAAAGATTCTATTTTATACATTGCGGTGAGGGCACCTGAAAATACTAACATATCGTCAATTTGGACCTATGAGATTGGTGTCTCTCAAAACGATTTAGTATTTCAGTGGGACGACCGGACATGGGCAACCCTAGTAGATACTGATGATGATTCAGCCTTGATAGTAACGGGTAACTTAACTATGGGTCAGGATACAAATTACACCACGATGAATGCTACTAAGTCTCAGTATTCGTTATCTATTTATTCTTATGATTATAGGCATTATTTCGCAAGTCTTAATAGTAGTTGGTGTGCCATAAGGAATGGACCAGCGCTATTTTCGATGTCAAATTTCGAAAGTAGCTACACTAATCGAGGAGGAGGATTACAACAACAATTTTACGTTACAGGACTAAACAGTTCTACAAAGTATGTTGCTTACTTGATTTCTGACTTTGGTGGGAACGATTTTGGAGGCGTAGCATATCAACCATTTGAGTTCGAGACCTTGGATAAGGATGCCTGTGATTTAATATATGATTTGGATTTCTGTAATCAAGTTGCGTATTCTGTTCCAGCAAACAGCGCTTTTACGAAGAATGAATTGAAAACCATGTATGATGACAGAGCAAAAAGCTTGTTTTCGAATTTTACGAAAGCCTTACAACAGATTGCATGTAATACTACAAAGGACGCTATTTTTTCGCCTGTTAGAACTTGCGACGATTGCGCTGAAAGCTACAAGAACTGGTTGTGTTCAGTAACAATACCAAGATGTTCAACAAGAAATATAACGGGCTATAAAGAAAGGAGCCACGATGACTCTAGGAATGACTTTATAAATGAAAAGGTCAAACCAGATTTCCTGTACTTTGAAGTCTTACCTTGTGTAAATGTATGTCAGGCTATCGTTAGAGACTGTCCTGCTGACTTCAACTTTCAATGTCCAAAAGATAATAAGAGTATTGAGTTATCATATTATTGGGATAATGGTGGTAAGTTCCCTACATGTAATTATGTTGGAAATTATAAGGCATATTCCAGTTTAGCCTCAAAGGTTCTCTTAGACTGGCGCATCTATTTAGTCTTTATTGCTTTACTTCTTTAGAGATCATGCTTAAGGTGTTCAAATAGATATAAGTTGTGTACCGGACGTGTACGCGCTTGAGGGTTTTTTTTTAATATACTTTCTCACTACTGTAACAACACTAGAGTTGACAGAAAAAGATCTTAGAACATGAGTCAACGCCGTTCTCATGAAAACTTACCTTGGTATGTAGCTTCAGATATGGTTTCGAGAAACAGTTGAATTAGTAGTTTACTAACTCTTGAAATTAAGGGTTGAGAAATATCGACCAGATTCTTTGGATGATGTTTATGGCCAACAGGATATAGTTGATACAGTTAGAAAATTTGTTCATGAGGGAAGGCTTCCTCACCTTTTGTTTTATGGTCCCCCAGGAACCGGAAAGACATCTACGATAATTGCATTGGCTAAAGAAATATATGGCCCAAATTACAAGAATATGGTTTTGGAATTAAACGCTTCAGATGACAGAGGAATTGATGTCGTCAGAAATCAAATCAAAAGCTTTGCCTCTACAATGCAAATATTTAGCAAAGGTTTCAAGCTAATCATTTTAGATGAGGCCGACTCAATGACTTCAGTAGCCCAAAATTCGTTAAGGAGGATTATAGAGAAGTACACAAAGAACACGAGGTTTTGTATTTTAGCAAATTATGCGCATAAGCTAAACCCTGCTTTGCTTTCGAGGTGTACGAGGTTTAGATTTCATCCCATATCAGAAAAGGCGATTCAGAATCGATTAAAGGAAGTTATAATAAAAGAAAATATAAAAATTGATCCAAAGGCAGAGGATGCATTGATTAAATTATCGAATGGTGACATGAGACGTGTGTTGAATGTTTTGCAGGCATGCAACGCTTCAAGGGACGACGATGAAGAGATTGACCCGAACATGATCTACGACTGTATCGGCGCCCCACATCCGCAGGATATAGAGACAGTACTAGACTCAATCTTGCAAGATGACTGGACTACGTCATTTACCACGATAGATAAATTTAAGAAATTAAAGGGATTGGCTCTCGTGGACTTAATAACTGGTTTCATTGATATCTTGAACAATTATGATTTAAAACCAAAGGTAAGAGTCGAGATATTGAAAGGATTATCAGATATTGAGTATGGAATATCAAAGGGTGGTAACGAAAAAATCCATGGCAGTGCTATCATAGGTGTTATCAAGAATGCGATGGAATATCAAGCATAAATACTCACATCTTTTCTATACTCATATAATATTAATGCAAACTCCTCATTTTCATTAACATATATCTGTAATGTTAGTACTGTTTTCGTTCATACGGTAGCATAAAGGTAGAATTAAGTCATATAAAAATTTCGTCTCATGAAACAAATTATCGAAGAGCTGGGTTTATAAACGCTATAAGCTTTAATCATACTAATTCTCTCTCATTGCTAAAACTCATGACTTACTGTTTCTCTGGCTTTAAATCTAAGTAAATATGGCCATTCGAATTTATTTCGAGGTAGTAAAAGAAAAGAAGAAACGAAGAAAAAAATTTCCATTTCTTTAATTTACAGGTCTTTCGCACCATGAGAATTTAAGCAAATTGCATCACGTCCGTTATCTTTGCATCGAGATGAGATATGGCTAATCCCACAAATGTAGATAGCCACTTTGATGATAAAGCGAATGTGGATGAAGTTATAAGTAATCTAAATAATATATTTCCAAGTATACTGGTTAATGACCTTAGAGCTAGAGTCAACTCATCTGACGACATCAATCATCTCGTGGAACAGTTAATTCAAGAGAATTCATCTACGAATAACGAATCTAGTAATTTGCATAATACTGCTCTGAATATCCAAGATCTTATAGATGTTTTTCCAGAAGAGGATGCAGATTTTTTGGAGAGAATTTTGAAGGCTTATGATGGAAATGTAATTCAAGCATGCAATTATTTATTTAATAATCCGGCTGAGAGCGCATCTGTGAAAGAGGATAATGTTAGTGAGATTCAAGATTTAACAGGGGTCCAGGCTACTGAAGTGGAAGCTTATCTCCAAAAGAATTCTGAGGATCCAGTGAGAGCCTTACTTGACATAGTATTTAGTTCTTTCGGTGATGCTAAATGTAAAGACAAACATTTCAAAAGGAGAGTTCAAGGAACAGCAAGTCAAGGAACTAAGGAAGCGGATTTGCCCTATATATACGATGAAGGGTCAAGAGAAGCCCTGGAGCTCAAGTCCTTATGCCTTGCGAATCCCGAAATGAACAAGATGAATTATGAGTTATTTGAGAGAGGACTCGTACTCTGCAAAGGAAATGTTGATAAAGTTATCCAAATAGCTACGTATATATTAGACCATACTGGGATTGATATTACACACGAATACGGAACGCCTGTTAAAAAAACTGATTCGTTATCAACTATTTTACAAAAGGCTTCCAGAAAGAGACAAAACAAAGTCTCACTCACTCCAAAAATAAATATTGCTCTTCCCAAGAAAACCGACTCAAAGCTGAGGCTATCTCATAGTGCATTGCATCTGTCTAAATTTTCAGCTGACGAGCAATCGCTTATGGACCAAAGATGGCTGTTATTAGAGCAATCCGGCTCTTTGGATTTGCATATGCTTTCTCTGGCAGCCGCTACAGAACTAGCTAAAGAAGCAGCATTTGACTGGTGGAAATTAGAATTAGATGCTCGTCAAGCTGATGGAAACTTCCTGAAGTTCGGATCGCTGGCCATATTTATTCAACCTCTTCGTATCATTACAGGTAGAGGTCTTCACTCCGCCAATGGGGTTTCCAAGATCAAGAATTCAGTGAAAAGAGTCTTGTCGTCTCAGTTATTCATCTTTGAAGAATTACCTGGTAGTCTACAAGTCATTGGTAAGCGTCTTAGATGAGTATAGTTATGGATTTTATCTTTTCTCTTTATCTAGATATGATAGTGCAAATCCTCCCACTCTTGTCGGCTATTTATGTCGTCGCGACAAGACGCGCCGAATTACCAACTTAGCCGGGTAACCCCACTCGCTTTTTGAGGAAAGCATTGTCTCCGGAGATCTTCATCAAGTTCACGTTGTAGATGATATCAACAAACCGTTTGATTCGACTCCTGTGGATAACTTAGTAAACATAGTTGAAGAATTGACTAAATACTGCTATATAAATTACTTCACAGGGCAAGACGCACAAAAACCTACGGTAATCGCCAAGAAAAACAACAAGTCAATTAAGTGTTGACTTCGACCAACAAAAGGATGGACAGTCCAAAAGGTTCCCTGTCAGTGCTAACTAGCGATGACGTTGGCAAAGAGCATATAAATGATGAACGTCTGAACCAAAATGAACTGATCTTGAATATGGCAACGATGCTTGTTCTGTCTGAGACTGGCTCCCATGACACACAGGTGGATTCTAATGGGGGAACGTTGCCCAGGATGCCAGGTTCATTTGATGTCAATAGATTAAAAACGAATAATTTTCTGTACAATGAGTTGACTGAACTGCTTAATCACAATAATGCTACGGCTACTTCGTTAGTAAACAATCCAGAATCGATGAGTACAATATCAAGATATTCGAGTTCCTATGGGACTGGTTCAGACTCTGCGGTGAACATCAAAACTCCTGTAGTGACATCCAGTGATTCGAATTCTGATGAGGTCAATAAATTTATTGAAAATCAAACTTCAGGAAATGATGAGCTCATGAACAATGAGACTCCCGATTTGGGGATTGCAGACCCACCCGAGACATTGTTAGGTGATAATGAAGGCACCAAGGTACCTGTGAACGAAATAAGTTATTCATCCGTAGAAAATTCTGAAGACGTACAAGAGTCGTTCAACGAAATAAAAGAAGCTTCACAATCGTTAGACGTGGATGAATATCAAAATAGGGATTCTCAGAAAATTCTGGACTCCGTTTCGCATTCGAGTGGACGAGAGTTGTCTCTGTTGAATCTGTCATCTGATTTGGTCAATACGAAGTCATCCGACTTAGAAAATTTCAAGTCTACGTTGGATCCCGGTAAGCCTTATAACACCAAATCAAACGTTAATTATCTGTCACTTTTAAAACATCATATTAGCGACAATAATGTAGAGTTAAACGAAAATGATGACCCTGCCTTAGTTGGTGGAAGCAGCAACTCGTCGATAATTCCAAATGGTTTGCAGGATGATACTTTAGGTAGAATCCGAACAATTGAAGATGAGAACATAGATGAGGATGCTTCAAGTGCAAGCAACAATCATCCTGAAAAAGAGCCTTTAAAAGATGGCCTAAAAAAGAATCTGACCCAGGAATCTACTGATGGATCACTTGTTGATGAAAGTCTGTCAACCATACAGCCTTTATCAAGAGGCGACAGATCGAATAACGAGAGATCTTCAAAGTCATTGTCGTCAAACTCTGGCAACTCTCAATCTAGAAATGTTTCATCCAGTTCAAATCAATCTCATCCCCAATCTAGAAATGTTTCGTCCAGTTCAAATCAATCTCAACCTCAATCGAGGAACATTTCCTCTGGTACAGTTGTCAAGAACAATGGAGGTGTGCCTTCTAACTTCGCATTTAACAAGACTCCTGCGGCAAGCCCTTTGCAGCATTCAAATGTATTTGCAACTCCCGCGTCAGGTTCATCTTCCCCGAGAGAGCATTCAAGTCCTTCAATTAGCAGCCCAAAAACTCCATCTTCTAAGATTAATGGCAAGAAAAGGAAGAGCGGAAATAGGGTCAAGGGAGTTCTTTCGCTGATGTTCAAATCTAAACCGGTTTCGAGCTATCCATCCCCAGAGCTGTCTATGAACATGAAGATCAGTACGCCGTTTAATGCAAAACATGTTGCACATGTAGGTGTTGATGATAATGGCTCTTATACGGGCTTGCCTATAGAGTGGGAAAGGTTGTTGTCAGCGAGTGGAATATCAAAGAAAGAGCAACAGCAGCATCCTCAAGCAGTTATGGATATCGTGGCATTCTATCAGGACTCGAATGAGAATAATCCTGACGAAGCAGCATTCAAGAAATTTCATTATGATAATAATCTTTCTAGTGCTTCAATTGCGCACTCGACTCCACCAACAACACCTTCTGCTTCCACCTCTCAATTTCAAGAACCCTTTGGGTTGATTTCCCCCAATGAGGTGTCGCATGCATCTCAAAAGTCTCTGTCACAGCAGCCACTGTTTATTCCTAGTCGACCAGCGCCGAAACCACCTTCTTCTCAAGAAGGTTTTTCAACGACAGCTTCTGTCCAAGTCATGCCACCCTCAAAAACCCAGAATAAATTTGCGAGATCAATCTCTTCAAAATCTATAATGTCGATCAAGGGCCCAAAGAAGGATAAAATTGTACCTTCTAGTCCAACGCCGGCTTTGCCTGTCGCACCTAATAGTATACCAAAGTCAAAATCTCATAGTTATTCTCTAGCAGAGAGGATAAAGGCAGAAGAGAAAGGATCTACAACGGCTCCAGTGGCTCCATCTTCCACTTTTAGTGAGTCAAAGGACGAAGAGAAAATTATCTACGCAAAGCAACGTGAAAAGGGAATAAATGCAACTCGGGCACCTCCTCCACCCCCACCGACGAGCAAAGAAGCTGATGAGAAAAGCTTTAGTCGCTCTAATTCCGAGAAGAATGAGGATTCTAGGAAGAAGAAATCGGGGCAACCAGTTAGAGATCCTAAGCAAGCTGCTCTCATGGCGGCCAAGAAGAGAGAAGATAAAAAACGCAAAAATCAACAGATATTGGCCAAATTACGATCCATATGTAACGAAAGCGATCCTACAAATCTTTACAGGGATCTCAAGAAGATAGGACAGGGCGCCTCAGGAGGTGTATACATTGCACATGATGTTAACGTAGGATCTACAGTGGCAATCAAGCAAATGAATTTAGAGCAACAACCAAAGAAAGAATTGATTGTCAACGAGATTTTGGTCATGAAGGGCAGCAGACATCCTAACATAGTCAATTTCATTGACTCTTATTTTCTTAAGGGAGATTTGTGGGTTATCATGGAATATATGGAAGGAGGTTCTTTAACTGAAATCGTAACGCATAGCGTTATGTCTGAGGGTCAAATTGGAGCTGTTTGTAGAGAGACTTTAAAGGGTCTCAAGTTTTTGCATTCGAAAGGAGTGATTCATCGAGATATCAAATCTGATAACATATTATTAAACATTGACGGACATATTAAAATGACTGATTTTGGTTTCTGTGCTCAAATAAACGAGCTTAATTTGAAGAGAACCACGATGGTAGGTACCCCATATTGGATGGCTCCTGAAGTCGTCTCAAGAAAAGAATATGGTCCGAAGGTAGACATTTGGTCATTAGGTATTATGATGATTGAGATGATTGAAGGAGAACCTCCGTACTTAAATGAGACGCCATTAAGGGCATTGTACTTAATTGCAACCAATGGCACACCTAAACTTAAGGAACCAGAAGCTTTGAGCTATGATATTAGGCGCTTCTTGTCTTGGTGTTTGCAAGTAGACTTCAATAAGAGAGCTGATGCTGATGATCTCTTGAACGACAAGTTTATTTTGGAGAGCGATGATGTCTCATCTTTGGCTCCCTTGGTTAAAATTGCGAGGATGAAGAAGCAAAGCGAATCTGAGGAATAGTCATTTCCTAGCTCTTAAAAATTTTTGGGTGAAAGTAATCGTAATGTCTCATTATCATATTCTTTAGTGTATTGTATTACTATTAAAATATATTATAATATATCGTAACTAATTAAATTTCGCACCAAATGTCGCTAAGTGTCCCGAACGTAAATCAGTGTATGCCATATATTAACTGTCAACTTTTGCCGCAATAAACAGAGCCTCAACTGTGTGGATTAATTCGCACCACCAAGAGATTCGCTTTGTTCCCCAGAAGTCCTCCAGCCGTGTGCTGTGGGGTACTTTGAGAAATAGATGGTTACTATTTGCCACAGGTACGGCTCCATTTAGGGATCCTCGTTGAACTGCTAGAAGGACGAGCACGAAGATCATACAGCTCACTGCATAACTGCCTATACAGCTCTGTTCTCTAAGTTACCGCCTCACCTGTGCTCTTGTGGTTGACCGAGTCTGCCTGCTTGCGCAACTATAGTAGCAATCGCAATACGGAAGTCACGTCTCGTGGCAACTCCGAGGTTTAGCCAATATAATATTTTATTAAACGACTCGACAGTACCATCTTGTAAATCATAACAATACATTAATCGAATGATTCCTAGAGTCCTCTGTCAGTTAATCTGGCTAACTTTTTTTTGTATCCTTGGATTCTTCTCCGCCGTCTCTACCTGATCTTGTTTGTCTCAGAATAGCAATACGTAGTTGAAAATATTCTTTTTCCGGGCTGCGTAACCTCCCGTGATATCATAGCTGAGTAGTGTCCCCCAGTATTTAAAGAACTGAGTTGGCTGTCGGATATACCTACTGCCAGTAATCAATATATTTGTTGATAATAAATTAAGAATCATAATTAATATGAGCGTTTCGCAGGAAAAGTCTTCGCCAGCTGCCGAGGAAGCTAAGTCGCCTAGTTTCCAGTCCTATTTGAACAATGATGGGATAGATGAATTGCAACCCGCGGAGCGGAAGCACAAAGTGTCGTCGCTCTCACTTTCGGACTTGAATCAATGGCAGAGTGGATTGACAAAATTGAGCTCCTCAACGTCATTGAATAATAAGAGCTCAGGAAGTTTAAAAAAGGTTGATTCTTTAGCCAAGTTGTCGCGAAACTCTTCAATTATTAAGAGGAAGAAGAAGTCTGTGATTGATCACGTCAGAGTCGCTTCGTATGCATTTTGCTTCGACATTGATGGTGTGATTTTGAGGGGTCCAAACACGATTCCAGAAGCTGTTGATGCGATCAAGTTATTGAATGGTGAGAACAAATATAATATTAAGGTTCCATATGTGTTTGTTACTAATGGAGGAGGTAAACCAGAAGCTGTGAGAGCCGCCGATTTATCTAAAAGATTAGGTGTTCACATTAACCCAGATCAAATTATCCAGGGTCATACTCCTATGAAGGATTTGGTTCACCTTTATAAGAATGTATTAGTTGTTGGTGGTGTTGGTAACGTTTGTCGTCACGTTGCAGAATCATATGGTTTCAAGAATGTTTACACGCCACTTGATGTTTTGAAATGGAATCCAGCCGTTACTCCATATCATGACATGACTGAAGAAGAACGTAAATGTGCTCGCGATGTTGATTTTTCCAAAGTTAGCATTGATGCAATTTTAGTCTTCGCAGATTCAAGAAACTGGGCTGCAGATCAGCAAATCATCTTAGAATTATTGTTAAGTAAGAATGGTGTAATGGGCACTGAATCAAAGACCTATGACGAAGGTCCTCAAATTTATTTTGCTCACTCGGATTTTATATGGGCAACAAATTATAAGTTGTCGCGATATGGTATGGGTGCTTTGCAAGTTTCTATAGCTGCCTTGTACAGAGAGCATACCGGTAAGGAGTTGAAAGTTAATAGATTCGGTAAGCCTCAGAAAGGAACTTTTAAGTTTGCTAACAAGGTCTTGAGTAATTGGAGACAAGGTGTGTTGGATGAACACTTGAAGAAGCTCTCAATCAACGATCCAAATGCTGATGAAGCAGATATTTTGATCAATGATGATGGTGAAGAGATCATTAATCAATCAAAATTGGAGAACTATGACTCTGACTCAGAATCTGAAGATGATGTTGATGAGCCGTTGGCTGTTGTTGGGAAACCTGATAAGATCACCTTACAGTTGCCGCCTGCATCTACTGTATACTTCGTTGGTGATACCCCTGAATCAGACATTAGGTTTGCTAACTCTCACGATGTCTCATGGCATTCTATTTTGGTGAAAACTGGAGTTTATCGTGAAGGCACGGTTCCAAAGTACAAACCTAAGCACCTATGTGAAAATGTGTTGGAAGCCGTGAAGTATGCAATTGAAAGAGAGCATGCTTTGGAGCTCAAAGAATGGAACGAGACCGCAGATGATGACAATGTTCCTTCTGATTCAAAGATCAATTTTGCAGATCTTGTTATGACTCCAAGCGAGAAAAACGGCCAGAAAACAGAACAAACCCAACAGAAGCAGTCCGCAACAAAAGCAGCATCGGAGCATGAAGCAATTGAGGTTCCGGTTCTTTTGAATGAGCAAATTAACAAGGTAAAAGATGTTAAGGTTGATAAAGGTAAGAATTAATGTGTATTGCATTTTTAAGTAGAAAATCGCTATCATATATCAGGATAGGACTATATAGTTAATTCAAATAGAGTTTACTCTAGAAATATAAAGGTGATACAAAAGATCGTGAAACTATAATATCAAAGGAATAACCTTGTCTGTAACTTTCTTATTAGCATCATAGTCAGTGGAGAATACGCTAATGGCTGTTTGACAGTATGTCTTACCAAGGATATAATTCTCACTTGGGAATGAACAGTCGCCATTGTAGCATTTATACAAACCGTCGTAAGTACCTGAGGTAGACTTGAATGAGTTTGTGGATGCATCGTACTCTAAGTCCAGGGTTGCTGCATCTTCTCCAGTCAATCTTGTGTGAACCCATTTTGGATTAGTGCAATTTTCATCACTGTAGCCTACAAGTGGAAAGTTCACATTCAATCCCGTTGATAAAGGAAGCGCGCGAGGCTTTTTACCTTGTTGTTTAAAGATCTTAGTGACAAGGTCGGTGGTTAATTTTGCATAGATGTTATAATACTGTTTTTCATCTGAAAAATCTGCATCTTTAAAAAAGGAATTGTTACCAACACTTCCAGAGAATGCAATGGCTGGGATTCCGCGATAAACAGCATTGTAAGTTGCACCTATAGTACCACTAATTGTGAACATTCCTGGTGACATGTTTGTTCCTTCATTGGGACCAGACACAACTAAATCAATACTTATATTATTGAAGTGTTGTGGGATCACATACTTAAGTGCAAAAGCAACGCATGAGGCTGGGGTACCATTAAAGTACCAGATATTTCCATCGTCGACTTCATGGCCCCATGATGGAGCTCCTGCCTTTACGTAACCAAACTCTCCATCGGTTTCCACTAAATCAGTGTTAGTATATTGAAGGTGCTTGAAGTACTGGACGCATTGCTACTTACATGTGTTGGACGATGGAACATCAAACTTTCCACTCCATCCTGACCTTTGTGAGACTGGGGCAGCCAAAATAACGTTATGCCCAGCTGCTTTCAAGTGGTTATAAGTTGCCCTGATATTTGCAGACACCCATGAATCATCATTTGTGAGAAGAATATTTTTTGCGAATGTCACGGCAAGGATAAAGAAGAGTCCGATAATTTTCATGTCCACTGTTTGTTACTGTAGTTAATTTTACTCAATTTCAAGAATGAAAGGAAGATAGAAGCCCATTTATATAGTAACATCTCGTAGTATTTCTCGAAGGAATGTAGCAGGTCTTCGCTGCAAGAAGAGTCGGTTTTTCTTTTAAGTTATGCCAATTTGATTCGTTGTGCTGCAACCTCACCTTGAGATATAGATCTTTTTTTCAAATCGCCTACCTAATCCAGAACGAAATGATCTGAAAGAGTAATCTTGTGTGTAGCAGCTAGGAAGGTAACAGCATTACATACCTTCAAAGATGTATGCCTTGAATATGTTGTGGGTTACACAATAGTATCTATTGTCTCTCGTCAGTAAAAGGAGCGAGAACGTGGCATGGTACCAACGTGCTCGCTAGAAAACTTAATGCTTAGTGGCACAGAGTTTATTTCCATTGGCGAAGACATGAGGACTGTTTAAACAATGTTACAATGGATTACATTACAGGTAATCAAATACGAGGGTCGTATGAAATTGATTCTTGTCAACTATATGTTAATTACTTGGCCCATAAATTAATTGGCCGATATCGTACAGCAAAGTGGTGTGGGCTGTTTTAAGTAGACCTGATTTTTTGAAGTATAATCCAGTACCAGGGGGGTAATAACATGACAGCCAACACAGTTCTGACAACATTAGCTCTCTTCACTCTATAAATTTGAAAAGTCTCCGCTCTCAAGAGGCGCCTCTCCTTGTCTTTCTGCCAGTAGACATAAGGCAACAAAAAATCTCTTGTGTACCACCAAAAGTGCCCTAAAGTACAATAGATGATTACCCTCCAGAAAAATTGTTCCTTCGTTATAACTGACATTGTGAACTTACCATTCGAAATAGCATCTAAGACTCTTTGGAAAAAGTCCGACATGAGTAAGTTCAAGAATGCATAGCACCACGGCAAATTAGCAGCCGTGATTGTGAATATTCCTAAGATATTGATTTCCATTAAGGAGTTTTTTCGGCACCAAATGTAGAATAGTATATCATCCAATAATGGACCTAAAAACATTATTTTCAAATCAAATAGATAGTAGCCAAAGGAGGCAGTTATGACTATAGATGAACATATTAAGATGAGGTAATGAAAATAGTCAATGGATCGATTTTTATCGATTACTTGATTCAATATCTCAAGTTGTGCAGGGTTCAATTGATCAATGCTAAAGGGAAATAAATGCAAGCTGGTTTTGAATGACTCCTCTATGAACCTGCTTGAGTTCATCATAAGCCACAAATATAGGAGAAACCTGAGAGATAAATCTTCGAAATAACAAAAACTTGTCACTAACCTCCAGCATTGTACACCTAATGCTTTATCTGGTACGAATATTAAATTATTTTTTAGGACAAGCTTAGAAGTTGTCAATACTGATGTCAGGAAGATCCCTATGACCCAATACTTTGTCACAGGCGGTATTTCATTTACTATCTCAAGGATTCTATCCATCTCTATTATATAATACAACTTTTTAATGTGCTGAGAGAAAGTCTCGATTTTCAAATACAGTAATAAAAATTTATACAACTTTCGCCATCAACCAAATGATGGTTATTATATCGTCATGAATATTAACTTAGAAAAGTTGATTGAGCCTGGACATGAGCAAGGGATACCTAGTCTGATACGTGCACCTTTTCAATACATAGAAAACATTCCAGGTAATAACGGAAATATCAGATCAAAGTTTTTGATAGCATTTAATGACTTGTATTATAAGATTCCTCACAAAGCTTTGTTAGCAAAAATTGAAGATATTATATCTATTTTTCATAATTCCTCGTTGCTTATTGATGATATCGAGGACTATTCAGATTACAGGAGAGGAGAACCAGCGGCACACACTAAATTCGGTATCCCTTTGACAATTAACTGTGGAAACTTGATGTACTTTGTAGCATTGCATAGAGCACAAGAAGATTTAACGAACATGTACATTGATCTTGAAGGCGGAAAAACTGAAGCTGAGATTGATAAACTCAAGTACGAAACACTGAGGCTTTTAATAGACGAAATGCTCAACTTACATCACGGTCAAGGTCTTGATATTTATTGGAGGGACCATTTGGTAGAGGAAGACTTGCCTCAAGTAGAGCAGTATTTACATATGATAAAAAATAAGACTGGAGGTTTATTTCGCTTGTCGGTTAAATTATTGCAGCAATTTTCCTTAGCCCCAAATGATCTAACTATCATTCGAATCACTAACTTGCTAGGAATAATATATCAAATCAGGGATGACTATTTAAATCTAATTGATGACAATTACTCTCATATGAAAGGTGTCACTGGTGAAGATTTGATAGAAGGAAAACTATCTTTACCTATTTTACATTGTCTACAAACTACAGTCAATTCCCCCGTTCATAAACTATTATACGATTTGAGGACAAGTGAAGCCAGAAAAGCTCAACCTGATCTAATCAAAGCTGCCATTTCTTTCATGAGAACAGAATCTCAGTCATTGATGTATTCACATGATTTAATGAAACAGTATGAATTGAGAGCCAAAGATATGATTTTGAGTGTATCCCCCACTGATGGTATACAGTTAACAAGAATATTGGAGTGGTTGTGTAATATATAGTCTTGCAACGCTAATAAAGTATGTGATCTAAACTATGTTTTATGAGATGCGTTTAAAAGTTTTCACGTGAGCAACATTTAACAGTACTTTTTTTTATCTGTTTTTTCAGCTACACTAGTAAAAAATACTTAGATACATAAATCATAGCATGCTCTATCTTATTGGCCTAGGCTTGTCTTACGAGACTGATATTTCAGTTCGTGGCCTTAATGCTGTAAAAAAATGTAAAAGAGTATACTTGGAAGCTTATACTTCTATTCTTATGGCAGCGGATAAGGCATCTTTAGAGAAATTCTATGGTAGAGAAGTAATTTTAGCTGACAGAGAGTTGGTTGAAACAGGTTCAGATGAAATATTGAAGGGGGCAAAAGAAGATGATGTTGCATTTTTAGTTGTAGGAGATCCATTTGGAGCTACTACTCACACAGATTTAGTTATCAGGGCAAGAGAATTGGGTATTCAGGTTGAAAATATTCATAACGCATCAATAATGAATGCTGTAGGAGCATGTGGTCTCCAGTTATATCAATTTGGTCAAACTGTATCTTTGGTATTCTTTACTGATACTTGGAAGCCTGACTCTTTTTACGATAAGATAATGGAAAATCGAAAAATCGGTTTACATACTCTTTTGTTATTGGACATAAAAGTAAAGGAGCAAAGTATAGAGAACATGGCTAGAGGAAGATTGATATATGAACCCCCTAGATATATGAGCATTAGCACAGCAGCTCAACAATTGCTTGAAATTGAGGAAATTAGACAAGAAAAGGCTTATACCCCTGAGACACCGTGTGTAGCGATATCGAGATTAGGGTCACCTACACAATCTTTCAAAGCGGGAACCTTGAACCAATTGGCTAATTATGATTCTGGAGAACCGTTGCATACTATGGTCATGTTAGGAAGGCAAGTTCATGAGCTAGAGTTGGAGTACTTGTATCAGTACACGGACGAAAAAAATGGTTTTAAGACAATTGTTCAAAACGATCAAGAATATTTTAAACCACCGCCTTACGTTCCCCCTCCTGAAGAAGATATTTGAAAGAGATTGGAACTTCATTAATTCTAAATATATATTCTTATAGTCTTTATTCCTTCAATTATTCTTCTTCTTGTATATACTTGCAAGTTCAGGCAAGACGTTTTCGTTTATATCCCATATCATCCATTCATACCATCCATAATAGGCCGGAAAGATCGTCACAAGGTGCCACAAACTATGTGCATCTATCAAATCGAAAAAGACAGGGGGGAAGTCAAATATCTCTAGAGACATACCCACTGTCACAATGAAGCTTAACAACAATGGATATAAGGAATATAGCTTTGGTGATCGGGTATAAAACGAACTGAACAAGGTTTTATCTTTTGCATATTTTAGATGGTTCATACGGATAACTTTATCATCAGTCTCCCCTGACTCTGTTTGATAATACTTATAGTATAGCTGAAAGCAAAGGCAGTATAAGCAAACGTTTTGCAATATTCCACAAAGAATGTTTGCTCTCATATTGTATGTATACAGCCAGTCTGTCAACAATCTGTATATGTGTCCACAATAAGCTAGCAAACATCCAAATGAATATGCATATTTCAAGATTCGTTTTTTTGGATGATACAAACGAAACAACCTTGAGCCAATTAGATGAAAACTCATCAAAACTACCAAACCTGCAAGAAAGTAATCTAATCTCTCTGTAATCAATACATCCCTGATATGGAAGATCGTAGAGCATGTCCAAGCTAGTATTGTAATAAATGAAGTTAATAAAACATTAGTATACTGGCACCTAAATTTCCCATCTAATGAAATCGTCTCTTTGAGCAACTTTTTTATACCAATGCAATGAACTAGCAAATTGCCACACGAAAATATGGTAGATGCTAGCTCTTGAATGCCTAAGACCCTGATGAATGGCCATTTCCCGTGAAACTGAAGAACCTCTTCACCAGCATCCTTCCTTTCACTGGTTACTTTTCTCTGACACTGATAATCACAATCATCCGCACAACTCCATTGAAGCAACCGAAGGTATAACAGAGGCGGACCATTGAACTTCCAATCAGGATTAAATCCTCCTATCATTGCGTAGATGGCAGGACTCTGGAAACACACAATTTCTTCACATTGAAACTTGCAAGCATCAAACTCTTCTAAATCATCACCAGGAGATGCAGAAGAAAATTTCAAAAAAAAAGCAATGATGAGAAGAAATGCTGCACTTGGGATTAGTTTCATCGTCTCAAGCCTATGTCTCTTGTTTCTATGTCTAAATTGCAGCAAGATTCGAAGAGAAAGATCATACTGCACGAGCACCTCAGCATGGCTTTTTCAGGCGTGCATATACTCGACTATAGGATCAGGATTTAATGTCAATTAAAAGCTAAAGGAAAACCGTAATAGACAGTCTTTGAAAGCCGACATCATATATTCTCCAGTCTCGGAAATTTTAGCCTCTCTTTTCCGATGTTGGCTTACAATTCTTCCTGTTTTCTTACTTCTGGTTATCTTGTCGGAATTTTGTCGGAATCTTATCTACTTTAGGATATTGGTGATTGGTGGTTATATGCAGTAATGCTAACTTATCTATATAGAACCAGGGATGTCTATCTAACGACTCAGAAAGTATGTTTTTGTCAGACACCTGGACATAATAAAGAAAAAGTATGAGCACTACTAGAACATCAGAACCAGTTAGATTGGATCTTAGGCCAGAGACGTCTAGATCTTATGAAGTCGGCACAAGAGGTGCCCACAACCTTGCGCATGGTTTAAGTCACCCTTTTACTTTACCAAAGTTTCAAGATAAAACTGAAGAAAGAAAATGGATCAAACAGCATGTTGCAGGTGCATTTAGGGTATTTGCTAGAAAAGGTTATACTGAAGGCTCAGCTGGACATATCTCAGTAAGGGATCCTATTGATCAAAATACTTTTTGGATTAACCCGCTCGCCAAACATTTCGGGTTAATAAAGGCTAGCGACCTTGTACACGTAGATGAAAAAGGAAACATATTGCCAGATGGTAACCAAGCAGCTGTCAACTCGGCTGGCTTTGCTATTCATTCAGCCTTACATAAGGCACGTCCTGATGTCAATGCCGCTTGTCATGCCCATTCTGTACATGGGAAAGCATATTCTGCGTTAGGGAAGCCGCTTGACATGATAAACCAGGACGTGTGTATTTTCTACAAGAGCCATGCCGTCTATGAGGATTTTGGGGGTGTAGCAATTGAGGCTGAAGAGGGCCGCCAAATTGCCAAAGCCATTGGAAACGGAAAAGGTGCAATATTACAAAACCACGGATTGATTACCGTAGGTAGTACTGTTGACGAAGCTGCTTACTTGTTCACACTACTTGAAAGAAGCTGCGAGGTCCAATTAATGGCAAATGCAGCTTTGAGAGAGGGCGAGTCATTAAAGATTGTTGGAGATGAAGAAGCCGCTTATACTGAACATCAGACTGGCGATCCTGAATCTCTTTATGCTGAGTTCCAGCCAGATTTGGAAATGGAACTTTACTTGAATGATAATTTTATGTTGTAGACATATATATATCGATAATGTAAAAATGTATGCTTTTTCCTTTAATTAGAAGTATAGGATTCTTCTCACAATAATCGAAGAGAATGGTGCAACAAGACAATTTTGCAGTTGAACAGTTCATGGATCAGTATGAGCATAGTATTAAGTTCAATATGGGTGAAACTTGTTGTAACTCATTGTCTGTAAATGAAGTTATTGACTTGGCATCAGAAAATGGGGCAAATGGGTCTCAATTAAAAAGAGGGATTATAGACTCACTTTTTTCAAAGAGGTTGACCTATGGAAACATTAGTGGCTCTGAAGATCTTAAGCATGAAATTGCAAGATTATATAATACCAACAACGATGGTAGTTTGCTAATTGGGCCTAAAAATATTGTAATTACTAATGGTGCAATCGGTGCAAATTTCTTAACATTTTATACCATTGTTGATAGAAATGACCATATAATTGTCGTTGATCCCTCATATCAACAGCTTTCGTCTGTTCCTGGTGTATTTACTTCAAAGAGAACTGATGTTGACCTACTTAGATTAAACTTCGAAGATGACTATTTACCAAACTTGGACAATTTGAGACTGCTAGTTAAACCAGGAAAAACGAAGTTGGTCGTTATTAATAACCCCAACAATCCTACTGGTGCTGTTTGGGGAGATGATGTTATGAAAGAAGTTGTGTCTATTTGTGAAGAACATGATATCTACTTGTTATGCGACGAGGTTTATAGACCCTTATTCCATTCTGTTACAATGCCACCTTCATCGGTGATCAACTTTGGTTACGAAAAGTGTATTCTGACATCTTCTATGTCAAAGGCATTTTCCTTAGCTGGTTTGAGGCTAGGCTGGATTGTGAGTCGAGACAAATCGTTCATTGAAGGCGCAATGGCCAAGAGGGACTATAATACCATCTCAATTTCAGTCGTTGATGATGAACTCGCAACTTTTGCTCTCAAAAATCATGATACTATCCTCAAGAGAAATTATGAACTTTGTCGAAACAATTTGAAGCTTCTTGAAAACTTTATCGATTCTTCGAAAGGTTTAATTGAGTGGGTTAAGCCTCGGGGAGGAAGTACCGCGTTCGTGAAAGTAACGATACCAGGCATCAATACCTACGAAATGTGCTGCGAGTTGGCCGATGATTATCAATGTCTTGTAGTTCCTGGAGAAGTGTTCGGCAAAGATAAATCGGGTTTCTTAAGAATTGGTTTCGGAAATAGTCAGGATGATTTGAAAGGTGGTTTGAGTGTTTTGAAAAAATACTTACAAGATAAAGAATTTTGGCCATAACCTTTTTTAGGATATGGTCAGATTCAGCTACATCATACCAATTACTGTAGATAAACACCTTGAGTGCTTCCTAAAACTACAAATACATTATATATTATACTAGAGCGCAAGAGAATTACTATCATTGTTAAAACGAAATTTAAAAGTTCCAATTAATGTTACTGGGTCTTTCGACCCAAAAGCTGTAAATACGTTACAGTGCTTATCCGAATTTCTTAACGTGCGCTAACTTCTTTGTGTTGTGTTCCAGCCCAATCTCAGTATTTCATCGCTACCGAAGGTTCTATCTCCCCATGGGCTTTTGGGCTAGTTTCTTGTGATAATGTCAGGACAAATGAATTTTTCAATGACGAACCCTTCAGAACCCGAGGCTTACCGCGTGGTTTCTACATCTTAGGGAATGTCTAGTGGTTGAGTAAACATGGGATTCAGAAGATACTGTGCATCCAAGTAGAATATACTCCGAGGTTCCCCGCGAAGACTGTGACATTTTGCGGTTGAATGTGCCTACGATGAGAATCACAAGAACGTCAAAAAATTAATCTAATCGCCTATATATCAGAAGCCATGCCCTTAATGAGATTTCAAAAGTTTATTAGTTTACTTTCATCCTTGACCATTTAAAAGTTGAATTCCAATAATTAAATATAATAAACTTAAATATGGTGTCTGTTAGAGGTACAGTGACTACGTCTGAACCACCTAATCCAGCCAAGTTGATTCAACTTGAGCGCGATAGGGCTACTTTTGACCCAGAGCTAATGAATTACTTTTTGGAAGGATCTAAAGAATTTTCCGAGGAGGCTAAAGAATTCATGCAAAGAATGGAAAGGGATCCGATTATGTCGGCTAATCCAAATTATTATGATTTAACTAAAGAGCAGCAAAGAGAGTTAACTGCTCTCAAAATCAACAGATTGTCTAGATACATTGAGATCGAGACATTTGATAAGTTTGAGAGAAGTATGTCATTGATCTCTGTTTTCGATCCTCAGCTCCATACGAGGATTGGGGTCCATTTGGGGCTTTTCCTTGGTTGTATTAGGGGTAATGGAACATTGGAGCAGCTCAGCTTCTGGGCCTTGAAAAAGGAGACGGCTTTTATTAAAAACATTTACGGATGTTTTGCGATGACTGAAATAGCCCATGGTTCCAATGTTGCAGGGTTAGAAACAACGGCTACTTTCGATCAGCAAGAAGACCAATTCGTTATAAATACGCCTCATATCGGAGCCACCAAGTGGTGGATCGGTGGAGCTGCCCACTCTGCTACACACGCAACAGTTTACGCCAGATTGATTGTTTCTGGAAAAGATTATGGTGTCAAGACCTTTGTGGTCGCCTTAAGAGATAGCAACCACGATTTGATGCCAGGTGTGAGTATTGGTGATATTGGTGCAAAGATGGGTAGAGATGGTATCGATAATGGATGGATTCAATTTAGTAATGTGAGGATTCCAAGGTACAATATGTTACAAAAGTACTGTAAAGTATCCGCTGAAGGTGATGTGATAGAGCCACCCAACAATCAATTGTCTTATTCTGCGTTGCTCGGTGGTAGAGTCATTATGGTTAAAGATGCATTCAGATGGTCTTCAAGGGTTCTTACCATCGCATTGAGGTATGCGGTAGGCAGAAAGCAATTTAAGTCCTCCAAGGCAGGTGAAAACGAAAGTGAGACACAATTAATTGATTATCCATTGCACCAACGTCGTTTGATCCCGCTATTGGCGTTGACTTATGCATTCTCTAATGGTGCTAATGTCTTGGCAGAGCTTTCCTCTACTACTATGGATGAATTGGATGATGCGGTCGCTAATGAGGACAAAGAAGGTGTTGACAGAGGGATTGAAGCCATGAAATCTTTATTTGTTGCATCTGGCTCCTTGAAATCTACCTGTACGTGGTTAACCTTAAATACCATTGACCAATGTAGGCAATCATGTGGTGGTCATGGTTATTCTTCTTACTCAGGATTTGGTAAGGCCTACAATGATTTTGCTGTTCAATGCACTTGGGAAGGTGATAATAACATATTGGGTATGTCTATTGGTAAACAATTGGTGAAGAACATTTCATCGGTGCTTAAGGATGGTGTCAAGTCTACTGGTATACTTGAATTTTTGTCCGACTCTAAAAAGTACTTGAACAAGGACATTATATTGAAGCCAGAGGATTTGAATAATCCGAGAAAAATATTGTTTGCTGTTGAAGTGGCTATTGTTCGTGCTTCTGACCAAGCTTTAAAGACATTGGATGCGCAAGATCAGGATTGGGATTACATCGGCGCAGATCTTGTCCAATTATCAAAATTATTGGCTCATTTTTTCTTATTAAAGGCTTTCCTTGACAAGGTCGATACTATGAAAGAGAAAGAATTGGCTAGTGTTTTGGATAAGTTAGCTCAATTATATTGTGCCACAATAATTCTAGAAGGCTTTTCGGGTGTATTTTTGACGTTTTCTGTTGTTTCTACTGACACAATATCGATTTTAACTGCAGAGCACATTCCGAAATTATGCAAGGAACTTAGGCCACATGTAATTCCTTTGACTGATTCGTTTCATTTGACTGACATGATGATCAACTCATCCTTGGGGTCTTACGATGGCAACATTTATGAAAATTACTTCAAAATCGTCAAATCTATTAACCCTCCATTCAACTCCAAGGCTCCTTATTCTTCTTCTCTCCAAGCTATGTTGAACAGACCCTCTCTTGATGAAAGACAAAGGGATGAGCTTTCTGATGAAACTGCTGAAATCTTGTCTGGAGAGTAAAAAGATAATAGTATCATTTTAAATTATTCTATAAAAATATTCTAGATAGCTGCGAAATAGTTCCCATTAATTTTTTGTTAGTTTTTTAATGAAATATATGATCGCATATAAAAGCCTTGGTTGGATCTTCGAAAGTAGCTCTCAAATTGACAAGTCTCTCGACCAAGCTTGCTTGTTTCGTAGAACCTGAAATTGACCGCTAATGTCAAAGTTTTACTTGTGGCGACTTCTGTTTTAGGGCACTAAGTCTTCCCCAAATACTATTTCATTCTCCGCAAATATTCCGTAATCTAAATTTTTCGGGAATGTGATCTCTAAAGTGCATATGAAGAGTAACCACCTATTTAAGGGTAGTGGAAACATGATTGACAAAGAATTTTAGTTGGTATCTTCAAAATTAATCCAAAGACGATGACTTTAGCAGAAGAAGGCTTTGAAGGTTCTGAACTTTTCGATCTCATGAAAGAGATTGTCGATAGCGACGAAGAGCTTAAAAAAAAATCTCTCAAGACAGTTAATGCAATTGTGCTACTTACTCTTAAGAATAAGCAGGGAAAGACGAAGTCTTGGATTATGGACTTTAAAAAAGATGGCACTGTGGCCAAGGTTGATGGTTCTGCTCCGAAAACTGATATATCCTTAGCAATGGCAGACAAAGATTTTATCAAATTAGTTAATAACAAAGCGAATGCACAAAGACTATACATGAACGGCAAACTAAAGGTGAAAGGAAACTTGATGAAGGCGGCTTCAATTGAAACTTTCTTAAAGAAGGTTGACCCTAGAGCGAAGCTATAAAACATTCAGTATACGAACTTATTTTTTATATTGAAGAGTTTGTGTGTCCTCAGCTTATATGTACAAGTTCAATATTTAACTTTAATAAAATTATTCACTAAATACTTCTATTTACCAAAGGGGCAGAACAAAGAAACCTACGAGTAACTTTGTGGCATTAGCTTAAGCTGATCCAGCAGCCATCCGTGAGAGAAGAGGTTAAGTGTGATGACATTTTTGGAGGATAAATATTTGACAGATCTTGAGACTTCAAACTTGGGAACATTTGCGCAAGTCTGCAGATGATGTACGATGCTTCAGTCAAGGCAAATTGTTGGCCCAAACAGATTCTAGGGCCACCGTTGAATGGCAAATAAGCCCATCCTGGCTTCAAGTTCTTATCGCTCCATCTTTCTGGACGAAATACGCTAGCGTCTTTGCCGTAAAATTCTGGGTTCCGATGAGTAGAAGAGATGACATAGCCTATGACTCTACCTTTCTCAATAATAACTGGTGATAGACCATCAGGCCCTCCTCCTCTTGGTAATGTAGTATTCTTGGTAGCTACTCTGTAATTAATTGGAACACTAGGATACAATCTTAAAACCTCTTGTATAACCCATTTCAAATATTCACATTTTTTCAAAGATTCAAATGAGATTTCTTCTACTCTTGCAGAATCCCCTTTTCCAAAGTGACTGTACACATCTTCTTTAACTTTTTCCCAAATCGCTGGATTTCTAGCTAATTCAAACATTGTAAAGGACAACAATCCAGCTGTGGTATCTCTACCAGCTATCATAATGTTTAATAATTGATCTTGCAAAACCTGAGGATTTCTCGTCTCTTTAACCAATTCGTACAAGAAGACATATCCACCTTTGCTTCTTTCTTCAACTTCCTCGGGAGTCGCCGTTAGAGCCTTATGGACATAATATTTGGCAAAATCATGAACAACTTTATTATTTTCTTTAAACTTAGAGTTATTAAAGAGCCAATACCAATCCTGGGACCATGCTCGAGTGGCCAAATATGCCTGGGACGCTGTGAAGCTATCGAAAAATTTATCTCTACCTTCGAAATCAATTTCTGGGTACTCTCCTATTGATTCATCTTTCAAGCCGTGAATAGATGCACCAAAAAGAAACTCAGTGGAAGTATCAACTGTCAAAATAAAGAACAAATCCTGAATATCTAGCTTAAATCCATCGTGCTTTCTGATATGCTTGGCCAATGTCTGAAGATGAGCCTCTAGTGACTGAACATGTGCAACCTTCTCTCTACTAAAATTTGGTCTCAACATCGCTCTCGAATGTTTCCACCCTTCTCCATCCAAAGTGAAGATTCCATCTCCCAATAATGGCTTGAAATGGGCATTTCGAAAGCCAAGTACAAAGTCGTTGAATTGAGTAGCCAAAACAGCCTTTATGTTCTCCGGATCCAGAGTGACAAAAAGCTCGGAACCACCAATAACAATCCTGAAGTTTTTCCCAGCTTCCTCAAATAATTTCCAGACAACTTGCAATAATGTTCCATTTCTTTTAGCGTTTAACATCATAATTGGATTCCTACTGAAAAACCAGCCGCTTCCAGGTATATAATTGGCTTGATAAGCATTGAATTTTCTCTTCAAATAATATATCTTAACATTGTAATATACAATATATATTACGAAGCATCCAAGTAGCGTGATGAACCAGTTCTCATACAAACTTTTTAAATGAGATTCTTTTTGCATCATGTAGTATAATTATGTTAACTGACCAAAGCTAAGTGAGATTGAGTAATATGATCAAGAGTGAAAAAAGTTGAAGATTGATAAATGAGACCTTCGAAAAGGTACTGATATATATAATAGCTTTTCACATGAAATAGGAATTAGGAATTAGGTGTGTGGATGTTCGCTTAGTTAAACTTTACGCTTTAAATAAACACTTGTTTGCAACTAATTTTAGCAGTCGATGTGGTTCGTCGGGTACAATCCTTAGTATTATAAATTAGTGTTCTTGTTTGACAGCTGATACCAGATCTTATGTTTGTACTCATAGCCTTACTTCATTTTTAGTACGGTGACAGATATGTGTTCCCCTTCATGTTCTAAATTGCAATCGACACACTTTGGGAGAGGTACGTCGGACTTTCTTAACGTGCATTGAGTGTATTGTGAGCACGGTTATCACTATTTCTGGTCTTTTAGGGTGAACTCTGGTGCCTTCAGCACATGCTATTTCGCGTCATGTCTGCTGTCACAAGAAAATTCTGCTCCCTGGGACCCCACCAATCGACCGGTGGAGAACGATACTTTATACAGGAATTTGTTGAAACGTGATATATCTCAATGAATCATATGAAAGTGAGACATTGATCTGTGGGGTCAGTACAATTCGTTCCGCCAATAGAAATGTCACCATACAAAGCATATGGTAAAAGCAGGGGAGAAATATATGGTTCAAAGGGAGTATAACATTTGAGCTATATTATCAATTTATAAAAGCGTATGTACACCTGAATAGATTTACAAATAAAGTCTTCTCACTATCGGGTCCAAATTTTATTTTTCATCAGTAAAGGATCGAACAAGACTAAAATAGCATCAACGTTTTTCGTTTAAGGTAGTCAGCGTTGATTTATTCTACAAACTTAGCATAACTTAACATTCAATATAAAATGACTGCTGAGATTGATTACTTGAAGAGGGCATGGGACTACTCAGAAGATGATGAGATCGCTTTAAAACAAATTTACGCTTATTTATTTTCATATTTTGGGTTTACCGACCACAAAGACAAAGACATCGTCAAGGCAAGTAATTTTGTTGGTTCTGACCATTCTTCGAAACCATTTTTGAGCTCAGAGAAAGCCACTGGGTCAAGTATTAGTTTTTCTAGCGATGAAGAGACGAAGGTCAACTTATCTGCCTCTGATGATATTAAATCTCGCTTCAAAACACTAGGAGGTTACGAGGGAGTGTTAGAGCAAGCCCATAAAGGGAAATCTAAAAAGCATCACAAACATTTCCATACACATAATCACCATCACAAAGCTTTGCAAAAGCACGATCCCAGCGACCTTTTCATATCTTTCATTTTGTTTCCTAGAAATGAAAATTTTGATATCATTATAAAGCGATTTTTTGTTGCAAGAAAAAAGAAAGTGGATGATGTTTTGGAAATGATGGCGAAAAATTTGGATTGGAGAATTAATTCCCATCAAGTAGATCGATGGGTAAATGGTGGAGATGCTGAAGTATTCTTTAAAGGTAACAGTCCTCAATTCATTGATGCTTTCAAGATCAACCAAGCGTTCCTTCGTGGAAGAGACAAAATTGGTCGTCCTATTGTTGTTATTCATGTCAAGGATCACCTAGGTAAAAATTGCCCCGAAAGAGAGTTTGAGAAATTTATCTGTATTCTTATCGAATGGACAAGATTCAATTTATCTTCTTTACAGGAAGGCGTTGACAAAGCTTGTCTTCTTTTTGATATGACCGGTTTTAGTTTGAAAAATGCTGACTTCGCTGCCATCAAATTCTTAGCTACTGCATTTGAAGCCAATTATCCTGAATGTTTGGGTGCAATCTGGATTCACAGTGCTCCTTGGGTTTTTAATGCTGTCTGGAAAGTTATCAGGGGTTGGTTAGATCCAGTTGTTGCACTGAAGATCCACTTTACCAAGACGGCAGAAGATTTGGAGGCCTTCGTATCTAGGGAGTACATTCCTAAAAGTCTTGGTGGTGATGACGAGTTTAACATGAAGTACAAGAACCCTACTCATGAAGATAACGAAAAACCAAAAGACGAAAGATACAAAGAATTAATTGAAGAAAGAGATGACTTAATCATAAGTTTCTTCGAAACCACGAACAGGTGGTTGCAAGCCAAATCAGTAGCAGAATCTGACAAATATTTGCAGAACCGGCTCATCTTAAGCGTCAAGTTGGCGCAAAACTATATCGAGCTCGATCCTTACATTAGGAAGAGAAGCATCTTTGAACGTATTGGCGAAATGAAGGAAATTGGGTATTAATTAGGTAATATGCGACTATACGTATATAGATTTCTCAATATGTTCTTAATATTTATAAGATCGTGGTTATTTACAATTGACCAAATTTTTACAGAGGCTAGTCAATAGACATTCCACCATTTGGATTGCGAGTTGAATTGTCCTCAGGTGTATGTATCTCTTGATTCGTCATAGAACTCTACGTACTTTCCCAGTTCTATGATACAATATTAGCAACAATGAAAATAAAAATTTTTTTGAAAAGTTCACTTGAAGATTGACGGAGTGAACATTGGAACAAAAAAGATATGAGAAATGAAGAACGGATGTAGTCCAATAATGATTTCAAAAATTTTTGATCAGAACCATCTATACTTCACAACTCCGATATAATATCTCTAACGCTTTTTAAGCCATTGCACTCTTGCATATAAGAAATGTTTGGTTGATTATATACAGGCATAAAGGGTTTCTAATAGCATTTCAATATTTAAGGGTTTCAACACGTTAGTTTTTCGTCACCTGCAACTAACAAAAGATCCCCCCTCATTTTCTCCTTAGACCATGTCCTTCCCCTGCATGTTTGAGCTGGAATATGTGGTCTGAAGTAGGAATACAAATACACTATCATGTGATATTTAGCAAGCTGCACTTCAAGTTACTAAAATGCGATATTTGTAACTGTATCAGGATATTTTCTACTCCACAAAATGCCAAATAGCTAAAGAAAGGTAAAAGCACTATTAGTTAGCCCTTTATGGTATTTTATGGTCATTGGTCCTTGGTCCTTAATTAAACCAGACAAGGATACATAGAATAGTTAATAGAACACACATGGTGTCTTTAGACCTTAGCATCGAAAGTGTGGACAGTTTATAACTACCCCAGTATAATAATGAGCCTGATCAAAGATTCATGAAATATGTTTCTCAGTCAACCTTACACATTTCTTACATCTTTCTTGTTTCTGAGCCTTGTATGTGTTTCTCTAGTGCCATTCGCGGCTGCAATTTTTGAGTTGAAATAGCGATTAAGCTTTTATCGAGGGGTTCCAACAATACCTTTAGATTCGATTTGTTCATTTTTTTAGGATATTTGGTTTCTCCTGGATTATTTCAATTCTCAAAATGGCAATAAAGTATGTGGTCACTCGATATAATGTCTAGCTTGCAAATTCATGCGTCAATACTTAAACATGAATGCAAGCCAATAATTCGAGTGTCACCTGAACTACAGGAAGAATGTTGGTAACTAAATTAATAGTCTTCTCCATCTTTTTCAGGTTTCTCTCAGGAGCTTCTCTCGAGACTATATACAAAAGAGAAATAAAGAAGCCTTCCTTAGACCCTTTTTATGTTCCACCTAAAGGTTACGAGAAATACAAAAATGGGCATATACTAAAGCACAGGGTCGTTGAAGATTTCGGATTTTTCAAGATTCCAGTTAAAGCCAAAGAAGCACACCAGTATCTTGTCCGTTCTGAAGATAGTATGGGAAATCCTAATGCTATTGTTACAAGTCTATTCGTCCCTTATGATGCAGATCCAAGCATGCTTGTTTCTTACCATATTGCTCAGGATTCATCGGACGCAGATTGTGCAATATCATACGGTTTACAATTGAACACAACTTGGGAAACTTGGGTGATGCCGCAGCTTGAGGAAGCTGTATTTCAGACTTTTTTATATGAAGGTTACTATGTGGTAGTTCCTGACCATGAGGGGCCCAAGGCAAGCTTTGGAGTAGGTAGGCAATCTGGACACGCCGCGCTTGATTCGATAAGGGCCGTCTTGAGCACAGGAAATACAACAAAGATTGACAGTAAAGCTAGAGTTGCCATGTGGGGATATTCTGGAGGATCTCACCCTGGAACCTGGGGTACCTACTTACATTCAACTTATGCTCCTGAAATTAATTTGGTTGGTGCGGCAATGGGTGGAGTTATAGTGAATTTATATGATATTCTTAAAGTGAATATAGATACTCCGACAGCAGGTTTAGTTATGGCAGGGCTTAGTGGACTAGCAAATGAATACAGTGCTGTAAAAAAATTATTAAAAGAAAACTTTAAAAGTAATAAACTAGGTGATGAATTTTTCGAGGTTAACAAAAAATGTTTGATTCCATACATATTCAAATATGCTTTTAAGAATATTGACGACTATATCAAACTGGCTTGGGAAGTTATAAATTCGCCTGCAGCGAAACCATATGCGGATGCGCAGAATATTCTTCTTCAGAATGGAACTACAAAAGTACCCATTTACCTATATAATGCAGTAGGAGACCAAATAATTCCCGTTAATGATACCAACAAATTTTATGAGCGTCTTTGTTCTGGAGGAGCTACCGTTGAGTATCGAGAAAGTCTTTTTGGTGGGCATATCACTGAGTGGGCACTTGGGTCTGGAAGTGCACTAGAATGGGTAAAGGATAGACTTAAAGGTGTCCATATGACTCAAGGTTGCAAGAAATATCAGGTCGAGAGCAACGCTTTGACTGAAACTGGTATATCTGGATTGAGTGAGATATTTGGTAATATCTTATCATCTGCACTAGGTGAGGAGACCGGTCCAAAGTAAAAACCTTTTTAGATTTAGATGATTATTTTATAAGCTTTTATCAGAATTCAAAGAATACCGTCAATTTTCAACAGGCTGCAAAAACTAAGTCCGCTAATCAAAATTTTTTTGTAAAAATGCAAAAAAATCATAATTAGTTACATCGAGCAGCGGGACATTTAAAGACTCAAGTAATAACTCTAAATAATGATATGTGATTCATACATCAAAGCGCATCAAAAGCCAATAAGTGCTAAGCTAAAGAAGGAATATCAATTATATCTTCTTATAGGCAACAAATGCCAACGCGATTTTGACAAACGCCAGTAAGATTCTCGTCATTGAAAGGGATATTTTTAATTCATTTGATTTATAATCAACAGATAATAGAAACAAAAGTAACTTTCGCAGTATTAAGCTGACTTAACATAAGAGAGATGGTTAGGCTCGTTGCGATGTCAAATTAATGAAAATGATTGATTTTACACTACTTTAAGTGATGATGGGATCATGAACCTGTATATCAATAGGCAGTGTGATGTCAGTATGACTAAAATTACTAATCTACAATAAAAGCACCTTTCGTTACTTTAACTTAGTGACAAACCCTGAGGCAAGATAGATGAAAACACCCCAAGGTAAATAGGCAACACCGAAGATAAAATTCGAAGAATTTTCTCAAGAGCTTTGGGGTATCTGCTTGCAGTTGAAGTCGCATTGGATGCTTCGAGACGCCTTATTGTAAACCAGCAGTCTGCACCCTATATGCATCAAATGTGGTTTTAGTTGTGTTTCGGACAAAGAATATCTAGCTGGCTGGCTAAACCTTGCATCTTAATAGTTTATTTGTCACTATAAAGAGTGGCAAAAAAAAAGGATAGTCCCTACGACCTAGTCATTATATCGAAAGGTAATAACGAATAGGTACCGGCTTCTATTTACAGAATTGCGTTATATATGCACGGCGGTATCCCGTCCTCCTAATATTCTAAGGAAGAATTCGGAAAAATTTTGAGCGAAGCGTTTTCGATAGGCGCAGGTGCAGGGATGATGACGTTTATCGGCAAAGGAGTGGCTTACCTGTCTCCGAAGCGAGAGAATATTCCCTAATCCTGCATTTTGTAGCAAACAAGTCTTTGGTTGCTCCTAATTATGCATTATGTCTCAGACAGAGAGGATGTTGTGTGCCCACTATCATCCATAGGTAGCTCTGGTTTTCCGCCAGTTGTATTAAATATGTTTTGGTCCGATAAATTTAGAGAGGTGAAACTAATATATTAGAAATGTCGGATAGTGAAGCCAAAGACACATCTTTGGAGCATAAAGAGGCAGTGGGAAGCTCTCTGAGCTCTTCAAAAACACTTAATAATGGAACTGATACTCCTGTAGAGCGTCCAAAGGTGAGGGTAGAACCAAACACAGAATCGAGGGCTGCAGTTCCTCGTTTAAATAGTCAAATGAGAATGGATAGTAAAGTGACCATTCGCAGAAAGAAATCTAGGTTACCTGGTAAACTACTTGATGACGGAAGACGTGTGCTTAAGGAGAAAGAGTGTTACGACAAACTTGGGTTTTCTTTTCCATGGTGGAAAAAATGGATGATTTTAACCGTTGTATTCTGGGTTCAAATGTCGATGAACTTCAATACAAGTGTTTATCCGTATGCTATCCCGTTGATTGCAGAAGAGTTTAGTGTTAGCCAACAAGCTGCTCGTGTATCACAGATGGTTTTCCTTGTGGCATATGCCTTTGGATGTGAACTTTGGGCTCCTTGGAGTGAAGAATATGGTAGATGGCCCATAATGCAAATGAGTTTGTTTCTTGTTAACATCTGGCAAATTTTAGGTGGATTAGCGCCTAACTTTGGCTCAGTTATTGTTGCACGTTTCTTGGGTGGTCTTTCTTCAGCAGGAGGCTCAGTAACATTAGGAATGACTGCTGATATGTGGGAGGCCAATGATCAAGGGTTTGCGATTGCATATGTTGTTTTATCATCTGTTGGAGGAACTAGTATTGGACCAATTTTTGGTGGTTTGATGGAAACTTATCTTAGTTGGCACTGGAGTTTTTGGATTCAGTTGATCTTTGGTGGTGTTGTTCAGATAGCTCACTTTTTCTTGGTTTCGGAAACAAGGGCGACGATATTAGTGGATCGTGAAGCAAAACGTCGTCGTAAATCTGGAGAAGATGACAATATTTGGGGACCTGAGGAAGTAAAGGAAAATCGTTTATCACCAAAAGAAATCTTGCGTATATGGCGTCGTCCTTTTGAAATGTTTTTAAAGGAACCGATTGTTCTTTGCTTATCTCTTCTCTCTGGGTTTTCGGATGCCTTGATTTTCATTTGCATGGACTCGTTCACTTTAGTTTTCGCTCAATGGAACTTCTCGACTATTGCTACAGGTTTAACATTCGTTGCAGTGGTAGTTGGTTACTTGATTGCCTATTGTGTACACATGCCAGATATATATCGACAAAGGCATATTATAAAAACTGAGGGTGACGATGCAAGGCTAGCAGAGAGAAGATTATTACTTCTTTTATACATTGCACCATTGGAAACGATAGGTTTGTTTGGATTTGCTTGGACTTCTATGGGACCACATTATAATCCCTGGATTGCACCGTTGATTTTCGCCTGTTGCATTGCTATCGCTAATTATAGTATCTACATGTCGACTATTGATTATATGGTTGCGGCTTATGGTCCATATTCCGCGTCTGCAACGGGAGGAAATGGGTTTGCCCGTGATTTACTTTCAGGTGTCTCTGCGATGTATTCTACGCCAATGTATACCAACATTGGTCACAAGCGTCATCTCCAGTGGGCCAGTACAATCCTTGGCTGTATCGCTATAATTGTTGCATTGCCTATTTATGTATTTTACTGGAAGGGACCATACATTAGAGATAAAAGTAAGTTCGCTCAGACTTTAGCTGCTGATCGTAAGTTGACAGATATTGGAAGTGACAGTGAAGAAGAAGTTGAAGTGACTGAGGAAGAGGCAGAAAAAGAAGCTGCTGCCCGCAGGGAACAAGAAATGGCAAATAAAGTTTAGAATTAGAAAAAATTAAACCTTAGACTAGAGCATATATATCAAGCATTTAGAATCATATACATTGATAAAGTCAAATTTTGGACTGATGATATGACATAATGAGATACTTCTTTCTTAACTTTCTTTTGGATACTCTAAAAGAATTACCATCAAATAGATTCTCACAGAGGTTCGAGTTTTTGACGGATAACAGAGTGCCGGACAGTGTGCACATTGTTCTGATAAGAAATTATCTTGAACGCCAGGGTTTATAGATAGACCAAAGGCAGCGCAGACTAAGAGGTCATGTGTACCAATATGAGAGCTACCTTTGACAAGTATAAGGTTAGCTAATGTATATATAAGAAAATCAAATTGAAGCTATTCTTTCCTATAATTACTAAAAAAGCTTTCGCATGACGGGGTCTCCTCTCCTTTTCTTTTTCTTAGCCACTAATCCCGGTTGAAACGGATTCTTTTCGCAAGATATAGTAGAATTAAACGTGGAAGGCCTATCAAGGAGTTCTCGAATTTTCATTCTCCAAAAGAGAACTACCGCAAAACTGCCCGGAAGTGTTATTTAATTGAAAATTATAGCGAAGAATGTGAAATAAAAATTAAGGTATTCAACTATGAGAGGAATAGTATTTCATGGAAAAGGAGATATAAGGTACGAGGAGTCGTATCCTGAACCACAAATTCAAAATGCAGATGAAGTCAAATTAAAGGTATCATATTGCGGGATATGTGGCAGTGATTTACATGAATATTTAGATGGCCCAATTTTCTTTAAGGATGCAAGAAATGAGGTATCGAACAAGCCCAACGTTCAATGTATGGGACACGAGATGTCTGGTGAAATTGTTGAGATTGGTTCTAACGTAAAGAGTTTGAAGGTGGGTGATAAGGTTGTAGTTGATGCTACGGGTACCTGTCTCGATAGAGTCAGGTTTCCAGGCACCCCAAACTTCAAAAACAAGCCGTGCGGATCTTGTGCCGATGGAATTTACAATGCTTGTGATCATATTGGATTCACCGGATTAGGCTTTGCAGATGGTGGTTTTGCAGACTACTGCGTTGTTGGTGAGAGTCATGCCATTAGATACCCAGATACAATTCCGGATGATGTTGCAGCTCTAACAGAACCATTGGCAGTCGCATGGCATGCTGTGAGAACATCTCATATTGATTCAAAGGGATCCGCATTGGTATTGGGTGCAGGGCCTATTGGTTTGGGTACTATCTTTGCCTTGAAGGGTCACCAAGTTCAAAAGATAGTTGTTGTTGAACCATCCTTGGCTAGAAGAAACTTGGCCCGTAAGTTTGGCGTTGAGGTATTTGATCCATCAGGATTCAATTCTGTCGAAGAGACTGTTACTCAATTAAGGAAGTTGTCGAATAACGGTTATGGGTTTTCTCACAGTTACGATTGTTCAGGAATACCTGCTACATTTAATATGTCTGTACAAGCTTTGAAAGCAAATGGTGTCTCGACTAATTTGGCAATTTGGCCACACAAAGCTATAAATTTCTTCCCGATGGATCTCACTCTTCATGAGAAATACCTCACAGGCTCCATGTGCTATGTCAGAAAAGATTTTGAAGAAGTCATACAGGCATATGAACAGGGACTATTAAATCCCCATGAAGTATCAGAATTGATCACTTCGGTTATACCTTTAAAGGATGGAATTGAGAAAGGCTTTAAGGAACTAGTCTTTCATAAAGATAAGCACATCAAGATTTTATTTGCCGTTAATGGGAAAGTGTAGCGCTTCAGAAATACAATTGAACGTTTACTTTATAATAGGCCGAACTTATAAGTTTATCTTTGTAATCAAATAATATATGAGTAATTATGACCCTATTCAATCAAATGCTTTCGAAACTTCGAAACTTAAAACGCTTGTTTAAGCATTTCTACAAGTGATACATCTACACTCTTTCTTTCATCACCGAAACCACGGTCTGTTTCCGAATACGTAACCATATCCAACCTGATGCCTGTATTTCATATTAGCAAGTAGGGAGCGACATGGCAAAACAAATTTCAATTTCAATTTTAATTTTTGAAATAGGTAACGCATTCCCAATTTGCGGCACTTTAGCATCAAGCTTCTATCTAGTACTGTCTGAGGGTAATATATCTTACTAAGCCATTTGAAAAGACTTTAACAAAACACATACTTTACAGCTCTTTTATGTAGCTGTAAAGTCAAAATAAAGATGTGTATAGTTATTTTTTGACCTACAAAATACACACACTTACTCTTCCAGGAGGTAAGATAAAGACCTAATTATTCACAAGAAGACTTCCACTCTACGTTGCATATGTTTTATAGCTCACTGAACCCAGGTGATGGAGATGTAATCAAAAGGTTCCGAGCGCGAACAATTTTATATCAAGGGCCTCGTAAAATTATATATGCAGGATGACATTATGACTATTAATACACTTCAATAGATGAGACCGCCCACACAGCTTTTTTGAGATTTTTGTTAAACAACAAGTTCTTACTAGTGAAAGTATGATTCTTTCGTTAAAATACTTAACCTTGGGGTTATATTTGTCCCTTTGTAGGGCTATTATAATAGACAGTCAAAAAAGCGGAAATTTTCTGGTGCTGTTTCAAATTTTTTATGATGACGAGGGTGAGTATTTCATGGCCGGTGAGGATATGTCTTTTAGCGTTAAGGATTGCCAAAATGACGATGTGTGTCCAAAAATATCACCTGTTGGTAACGTTGGTGACTTTTTCCTGAAAGTTAATTCTTATGACTTCTTTAAGTCTGCATTGGAAATGAACAAAAATTCCTTCAGTGAAAACTTGAATCAAACTGGTGGCTTCTTTCATTCATGGCAATTTGATGACAAGGGAAATCGATTACATTCATTTCATTTCGATCATAAATATAAATTAATTATTGTTGTGCCTTGTTATCTATTCAGTATCATACTTTGCACGTTCCTTTACTATGCCAAACGAGAAACATTAGTGAAAATGAACTTTAAGATGAATAACATATCTAAGCTACTTTTGAAGTATGCCACATTAAAGATAATCGTCTCACTGCTATATCTAATGCTGCTAGTATTATTTGACGATCATGGAATCAATATTTTTGGTAGCAAAAGTTTATTGTTAGTATTCTGCTTTTTAAACTATGTTTTGCTTTTGCTTGGATATGCTTTGGTTATCTTATTTGTTGCTGGATACTACACAATTTTCTTCACATTTACGAACTGTAAAAAAGTATTAATCAATGTCACTGTATTAGTACTTCTTCAAGGAATATTTTTACTTCCAATGCTAATTAATCAGTGTAATATGATAATGCACACCAACATTCCTTACTTTGGCGAGAACATGATATTTAGGGTCCTTTATATCATATGGAGGATCGTAATGGCCATCAACATTTTGTGTCTAGCTTATTACACGTATATAGGAAAATCCAATAAGGACCGAAAATTCCTTATTTCATGTTGCATAATCGGAGGCGGTTATCTATTGAATCCTTTTATTATTGTTCCTGAAGGTGGAGGTCAATTATTATATTTTTTGAAAAAGAGCTTTATTTTATCAGAGCTGCTTTTCGATAATGATTGGACGGATGGTATCCATATCCCCGAAGTTATTGAACTCTTAATTATTGCGTCACTTATGTACATTTGGAGAGATAAGTATGTCGAAGATGATGAACTCGAATACAAGGAATCGAGTTTGTATGAAACTTAAGACTTCACTTTGGTTCCAATTTTTTCTCTCAAATTGAACCCTCTTGGGAGAGATAGGTGAATTGAAATAACCTTGATGCTACTTATTTTAGGTGATTCTTGACAGGCTCTTAATGGAGGCAGTATCAGTTCAACTAACGTCTCAGAAGACTATACTGATACCCTTGTTCCCCAGTGGTCAGATTTTTTTTTTTTTTTTTTTTTATTTATTTTTCCTTTGAGTAAGTCATCATACAGATATATGGGCTATTCAACTTTCTTTACGGTAAGTTTTCTATTTTTTCCAACCTTCTATTCTAGTATCAGGATCATTCGTATTATTTTCTATTCCTTTCAGCTAGTGTGACAACTTTACTTGATGAGGTTATTAATTAAAGAGGCTCACGAAAGCTAGTAGATCCTAAGCAGTACATTTAGGGTTGATCATTTCATCTTTTTTCTCAAGGATTCCTTCCATATTTTTTTTTAAGGAAGCATCTCCGGTTATAGGATCTGTCAAGGATGGTGTTAGGGTCTTGTTCTAACAAAATCTCAATAGAATAGATATAAAAAAATATAATTTCAAATAAAATTGACAGATATTCGCAAGTTATCAAATGAGCAATGATACGCCTTTTACTGATGATGTAATGCGATATTGCAAAATTTTACAATTCCTTTTTCAATGTAATGAAGATTACTAATTACAATGCTCCCAATTCTTAAATATTCAAGAGTCAAGGGAATTATCATATTATTTTTCTGCACTAAGTTAAGTTCATATTAAAATTAATTTGTATAGTGTTTTGGAGTCGCGGGCCTCTTTTCTTACAAGGAACAAAACCTTGACGTGACTGTGTTTATGATTGATTAATTAATTCTTAAAGGATATTCCATCCTTTTAGAAGATAATCAAAGCGATGAAAAGTGAACTTGGTGTAGTTCTAATAATAGGTACGTAAACCTTAATAATTTCTTCAAAATCTATTTTACTAAGAATGTATATACATAGAGCTATCATATGCGTGTTATTCGAGCAACACGAGAAGCGTCTGAGCATCTTACTTAAAATCACAAAGAAACAATAAAAGATGTTCTTTTCCAGCGCACATATTAGAGAACCTCTATGCGTTAAGGGCTATGCAGGCCGTACAGCGCACAAAAAAATGCTGCATAATTTGATATCAGCCCCCGTGCCAAAGATGGAAAGCGCAGATGATCATCACCAGATACCAAATATTTACTTCCATTAGAGCAAAGAATTCACAAATTTCAAGAATACTGAATAAGAAAAGAAAACAAATTGGTATTTAACATTGAGCACATCACTTTTATGAATCTATATTTCCAAACTTAACTGGAGTTGGTTCAAATCCAGCTGGCAAAAATGACAGACTTATGGTGATGAACTAGAAGGAGGTAATACGGGGCCCCACCCACATCAAAGAAATGTAAGCCATACTTGTTTAATAGAAAACTGATACCTATTTCAAATTAAGATATGATAGTGTAAAATACAAACACAATATGAAACTTTTATATCATATTTTTTCTTTTTCCAAATACGGTTTCATATTCTTTTCTTATCATAGTTTTCTAAATTATACACAAGTTAAGTAGATTCTAAATAGGACCCTATGGCACGCACTGTATTCAAACTCCTATCTTGATCTCTGAAAGAGAGATAAATTAAATTACGAGATTAAAAAATCTTTAAACTCTAAGGTTTACTCAATAGCTCGTTTTCCTAGTATTCCACGGAAGATTTTTGCCAATGAATGTCGCCCATCCCAAAGTGGGAAAAGTCCAATAATAATGAGTGCCATGTACACCCAAACCAAACCCATAACGGTCCAACCTCGGAAATATTCAATTGACCAGATCCAGTCACGGTAAAGTGGCAACGGCCAAACGACCCAGGTGATAATGAGCACAAAGATCGAAGCTCCAAGGACAATTTTTCTGTATAAGTCGATAAGACGTACTTCTTCTTGAGTATACGTGATACCCCTTCCCTCATACAGCAAGTTATCAATTTCTCTAGATTCATCAACAGCTTCTCCTTTCTCTTCGTCGAAAACTTTTTCTTTTGAAGCAGCTTCGACAATTTCCGAAGAAATCTCCAGACTCTTTTCATCGACAATCAATTGAGACTCTGCATTTAATTTTCCCCAGTCAAACTTAGAGGGCTTTAACAAACTGATTACCACACTAAGAATTCCAGGAAGAAGGAGAGTGGTTAGACCTCCATACATACAAGGCAATTGTTGTCCCGTAGTGAGAATTGTCACAGACCCGTAGAGCTTCCAGGCAGTAACCAACCAAATGGCCAATCCACTCAACATTCCGACTATAGGTGATATTATAAACGCCAATTTAGTTTGACCATCCCAGGTAATTAATAAAATCATTGGAATAACACCAGGACAAATTAACATCGAATAAAAGTAACCCAACCATGTCATATCGACTCCAACATAATGGAGCATTACGCTGAAACCAGCGCTAAATAAACCAAAGAAGACAACACCTGCATGAGATACATTGATAAGCTGTTTATCTGTAGCATGAGGTTTGAAATATTTTCTATAAATGTCAAAAGAAATAATAGAACTAACAGAAATCATTTGAGCACTTACTGTAGATGTCACAGCAAGATAAATGATCAAAAGAAGTGCCCCGAGTCCACCATTTCCCATTAGAGCCTTGGTTGTATATACAAGTCCTAGACCAGAATTAATCTCGTAAGAACTCATTTTGTCTGGGTAAGTTGGAAAGATTGGATTATCTTCTATAATGACATTCCCCAACCCAACTATCGTTCCTAAGGGCCAAACATTAGCAAATATGGTAAAGGCAGCAAGAAGATATCCTGGAACAGAGGCTCGTACGTCGGCACTGAAAGACTTCTGCCAAAAGGAAGAATCCATAACTGTTAATCCAAAATCACCTACGGCATGAATAATTCCAAAATAGATTGCGCCTTGAGACTTTCCAGTTAAATAAGATCCTTGATAATTTCCTGCAATATAAGTGGCTGTTCCAGCAAGTTCTTTTTCACGAATCAGATTATAAATACCGTCAATTCCTCCTAAATGCTCACTAACGAGAGCTTTTGTACATATATAGCATAAAACGATAAGAACAACGAGAGAATGAATGTAATCCGTAAGAAACGTGCTTTTCAACCCCCCAACTGCTGTGTAAAGCAATACTCCAAATGGTATCAACATTGTTGCAGCCACAATATGTAGATCGCTACAGATTGCAGAAATGGCTCCAGCAGCCCCCAAAATCATCGACGAGGAACTAAGAAGGTTATTAACTAGACAAAGAAACATGTAAAGAACATGCCCTGATCGGCCATAACGTAATTCCACAATTTCGAGACATGTATGTCCCGTGGGTATCTTCTTTTTCGCCTCAATTCCTAGAAGGCCCATGACACAGATCTGCACCGCTAAACCAGCTCCGTACCAATACGATGCTTGGACCCCGTAGAGGTATACCATTGTAGAGCACCAAAGAAGCTCGGTTGCCCAAGTCCAGGAAGAGTATACCGCTGAAGCAGTGAGTCCAACCCCCACAGTTCGGTTTGCAACCATGAACATTTCAGTAGATTGAGAATTTTCATGAAGATATTTGCCCATTAGGCGAGTGGCTATGACGATTCCAATAGCGAAAAAGCCACCAACTCCGACAAGAACACCATAGCCAGCTCCTTGGTTTAGTAATTGAACTACCATATTGTATTGAAGATTCAATGACTCGACTATGCAATAAGTAACAAGCAAGTTCAAAAGTATAAATATATTTAGCCTAAAAATACATTACATCAAATTCATATGCTCTTTCTTGTTCCTTTACTTATAGATCTAATTTCTCTTCGCTTCAAAGAGGAAATCAAACAATAGCTATCATAATAACTTTAACCACACTTTGAGCCACATTTTGAACCACATTTGATTTTCGCTAATTTAATAATTAACTTCTAATTAGTCTAATACCAAATGTTCTATGGGCAGCACATTGTTCTCGAGTAAAAAATAATCTAGCTGAAGACGCACATGTTGTAAGATCTTTAAGCGAACTGTGGCGAAAAAATTGCGAAACAAAAGAAAACCGATGAGCCTTGCTCAAAATAGGTACTTGGGATCACATGAATCGTGTACTTCCTTTGAGAGTGACAACTTTTGATGAAATTCATTGCTTAAGGTTGGTCAATTTAGCGAAACAAATATAATATATATTTAGAAACCTTCGCTTATCCTCTTCAAAGCTAAGTGCAATAAACCCGATAAAACCTATATATTACTAGCAATTGAGGAGGCTCTTTATTGGTGCTGTTCGATAAAGATCCTGGGGCGGTGGATTCCATCTATGTTTGGGGTGTCACGCAGACTTTCTTTTTTATTCTAGTTTTTTCTATTTGAATCGGAGAATTCAACGGGTGCTGTACCTGTCAAAAAACTCGGCGTTAGGGTCTTGTTCTGCAGGAGATGTAAAAAGAAACAAAAATAATACTTTTTAAGTAAAATTGATTTGTATCGTTACACGTAAGGCTACATGAGCATAATATACGACAACCATTGGGATATAATCTCCTAAATTTTCGAAGACTAACTGTTTGTCTCGGCAACTCTCCTCGAGTCAAATTCATTTAATAATGATGATATGAGACATTGGAACAAAATGCAGTTTTATCTGATAATGCAATGAATAATACAAAGAGCCGTTGAAAATGCCTCAGCGAACTCTTGGCAATTTTATTATTTGAAAGTATCTGAATTTTCAGATTTTCGTTATTGAAAAGCCACACATTTCCAAATTGGAATTAGCAAATTTGAGCTGCTGTTTTACGACTTGAAAATGTGGCTCTATTTCATGGTCTTTTATTCATTTGGAACTCCATTCAAGTAATTAGACGGAGCATTGAAAATATGACTATGATATGACGTGAGCCAATTATAGAATTAGTTTAAATTACTTCAATAGAAAAAATCCCCAACTTCATTAAATTTTTTAACTTACTACTTTAAGTCATTTCAGATAAAGAGTAAAATTGGTACATTAGATATGACTAAGGAACAAACTGGACGTAAGAAACTTATCATCAATGCATTTGATATGGGCTGTATTGGATTGCAAAATCCGGGATTGTGGACGCATCCGGATGATCATAAAGCTTCTGGTTATAAATCAATTGATTACTGGGTTAATTTAGCTAAGTTATTGGAGAAAGGTAAATTCAATGCAGTATTTTTGGCGGATGTTTTAGGAGGTTATGATGTCTACAATGGCCCTAAGAACATAGCACCGGCAGCAAGATCGGCTGCCCAATGGCCGGTAAATGAACCAAGTGCCGTTGTAGCTGCGATGGCTGCTGTGACAAAGCATCTTTCATTTGGAATCACATTCAGCACAATCAGTGAAGAGCCATTCCATTTGGCCAGAAGGCTTGCTACATTGGACCATTTGACGAATGGAAGAGTGGGGTGGAATGTTGTGTCTTCTTACTTGGACAGTGCAGCAAGAAATCTCTTGAATGATCAGCCTTTACCAGAACATGACGAAAGATATGTTAGAGCTGCCGAATATATCCAAGTCGTTTATGAATTATTCTTATCATCATGGAGAGATGATGCGGTCTTGAATGATAAAAAGAAGAGAATTTACGCCGATCCAGAAAGAATAAGGGAAATTAATTACGTTGGAAAGTATTTTAAAGTGCCTGGTCCTAACATAACTGAGCCAACGCCTCAAAGATTACCAGTTATTTTACAAGCAGGGACTTCTAAGGCAGGAAAGGAATTTGCTGCCAAAAATGCAGAAGCTATTTTTATCACCACTTTTACACCTGAAGCTTTAAAAATTCAAATCGATGATATAAAAAAGCTAGCAAAAGAGAAATTCAACAGAGAGGAAGGTTCTATTAAATTTCTTCAGCTAGTTACCGTAGTCATAGGAAGCACTTTTGAAGAAGCAGAATCGAAGTACAAGGACTATCGCAACCATGGCGACTTAGAGGGTGCCCAAGCGTTATTTAGTGGCTGGACAGGAATTGATATAGGTCAGTTTAAAGAAGATGATGAATTGAGAGATGTTGGCTCCAATGCAGTCAAAGGCTTTGTTAGTAACTGGACTAAAATTGCTCCAGGAGAACCAAAAGACTTGAAGAAGACCAGAAAATATGTTGCTGAACAGATAACGGTTGGAGGATTAGGGCCTGTCTTCTATGGAACTGCAAAGCAGGTAGCCGATGAAATTGAGAAATGGGTTGATATTTCAGGTGTTGATGGATTTAATTTCACATATGCCGTATCTCCTGGTAGTTTCGAAGAGATTGTTGAATACTTGATTCCTGAGTTACAAACCAGAGGATTAGTATGGGATGACTATCCTGAAAGCCGCGATGAGAATAATACTCAACTCTCATTCAGGGAGCAATTGTTTGGAATAACTAGAGACGATCCAAAGTTTTTACTTCCTTCACATCCAGCGCATAAGCTAAGATGGACACCTCGTCATTCAAAGGATGATTTTGAAAAATATATAGCTTCCTTGGAAAATGAATAATTGAATACGACATCTCAATAAATAGCTCGATATCTAGATGCTAAATAACTATAGTGTTTAAAACCTAAATCAAGTCAGAAGTTGAACTACAAATTTACCCCCAAAAGAACTAGTGGCTTCTAGTTCTTGTAGCGCCTGAGGAACAGACTCGAGTCCCCCACTAAAATGCTTGTATCTAACAGGCTTTATGATGTGCCTATTCAATAACTTAGAAGTTTCTTGAACAAGTTCAGCCCCAAAATCTATGTCCTCATGAAATCTTTTGATAACTAAGTCCTTTATATTTACATCGTGTACGTCTCTGGGCTTTGCAACAACTCCTACGAATTCTGGAATTGAGTCAATTGTATTCCTCTCATCCGTTAAAATACTTATTAGGTCGTACGAGGTTTCCTTCGAAACACAATCCACACCATACTTTATACCAGTTTTGTGCCCAATAGCATCTAAATGCTCAAAAATATCCTTTTTGATATCATCTAAAGATTGATTTCTATCCACAACTTTATCAACTTTAATTTCTTGAGACAAATAGCTTTTATTTTGAAGACTGGATATAACTATGACTTCAAGCCCCAAGTATTTTGCAAGCTGAGCGAGGTACATACCAACCACTGTAGAACCTCCCCAAATTATCAAAACGTTCTTATCCGACATTTTCTCAAGTTTAAGGCCAAAGCTTTTCTTAATTATAATCGATGAGGTGACAAGTCCAACCCCGATGGTAGCACCTTCTATATCAGTAATAAAATCTGGTAGCTGCCACACCAAACTTTTTTTCATGACAGAGTATTCTTGGAAAGTACTTGTTCTATTATCTCTATAGCTGGTGCTCGATATGAACACTCTTTTACCTAAAAGATCTACATTACCATCTCCCTGCATTACAACTACCCCACTGCTCTCTCTGCCATTGATCCAAGGGAAATGATATATTCCGAAACGATATTTTTTGGCTTTCCAATCTATAGGGTTTAAACCAAGGAATTTATTCTTAACTAAAACCTCATCCTCATTGAGCTCAGGGAAGGAATCAAACACATGATGCGCTAGAGGCTTTTCAAAGTCAGATACGACTACAGCTCTAAAACCTTGACTGAGATTCAATTTTTCGGTCATTTTTTCTTGATATACTTCTGTCTTCTGCTTCTTGTTTATGAAGCTTGTCTTTGAAGTGGTGACAATTTGCGCCGTCGGCGATTTAACTGACATTTTGTTTAAAGTGTTCTGTAAAAGTACAAACGAAATAAAAATTTTACGTAAAAGTATGCATTTATTCAAATGAAATTTTTGGAAAGCTGTGGAGTTTTTCCAAAGGGGCTGAAACTATATTGCAACGGTCTTAGGAAAAATCACGGACAAGATAGACGTTATATCGAATGCTGCCACAATATTGCAACTATTGATATTTTTTGACAAGTGCTCGTAACATCACATTATCTGTCAAAAACTGTGGCTGATATAGAAAATATAGGCTTTCTAAGTTCAATGTGGCGCCTTTAGTTCTTGAAATGATCGGATTAAGAATATAAACTAAAGGGAGAACCATAAACTTGTTTTTTTGAAGAATCCTCAGAGCTACAATGACAGTTGATTTCAATATTAAGTCTGTAGCTATTATAGGAGGTGGTCCTGGTGGATTGGCAGCTTTGAACGAATTTTTACACACTACCAAAGAAGGTGTGTCAACATTCAAAGAAAATAAGCAAGCTGCTGAAAGAGCATTCCCTGAAATAGTACTCTTTGAACAGAATTCAAAGCCAGGAGGTGTCTGGTCATCCTTCGATAAAAATTACAATGAGTTTGATTTTCCAACACAAAATATTCTAGATACCGAGAAATATAATAAACCTGGAATTGTCGCTCCAGATTTCAAAGAAGATATCCCAATTGGATTGAAGCTGGAGAACAATATTTCTAACTCTTTAGTTGAAAAGATCACAAAAGAGGAAAAGGCAAGGTATGTCAGCTGGATCTCAAAAAGTGGAGTGTATGACGATTTATTTACCAATATACCTGCGAAGTTCACTCGCTTTTCGTATCTTCCTGATGAGGAAAAGTACCATGATAAAAAAAGGATCATTTATCCTTTCTTGAATCGGAAAGAGCTTTCAAAAAGGATAGAAGATTTGATCGAAAGAGAAGACCTTGCTAAGTATATCAGAACCTTCACGACTGTGGTAAATTTAGAAAAACGGGATGGTAAATGGGAATTGACATTGAGAAAACTCGATATTCAGAAGAGCCAAGTAGAATGGTATAAAGAAACTTTTGATGCTGTGGTGATTGCAAATGGGCATTACAGTATTCCAAACATTCCTCATATTCGTGGTTTGGCGGAGTACAATGAAAAGAATCCAGGAGAATTACTTCATGTGAAATCTTACAGCAATGACAAGATTTTTGAGGGTAAGAAAGTATTATTTGTGGGAGGAAGTATCAGTAGTCTCAACATATTACAATATGCGGTCCCCAGAGCTAAGCAAGTATACATTTCGAAGCGTAGTCCTCACGTTGTGTTTCCTTGGATAGACAAGGCGTCAGAATCTGAGGGAATTATTCCAAAGCCAACAATACAAGAGTTTCTTCCTGACGAAAAAGCCGTTGTGTTCAGCGATGGATCTAAGGAATCTGGCTTTGATCTCATAGTTTTGGCTACCGGATATCACTACCATTTTCCATTCTTGGAAAATGACAAGTATTTGACAGTATCTAATCCTTCTAATTTGAGTCGAGTTTCTGGCCTTTATTTAGATGATTTTTCAATCGAAGATCCAACTCTAGCTGCAATAGGTATCACAATCACCCACTTAAATTTCCACTCAATAGAAGCAAGTGCAGCAGCTATAGCTGGAGTTTGGTCTAATGCCAAGAAGTTACCGTCGAAACATGAACAGTTACTTTGGGTTGATGAAAGATTAAAAAAAACAGGTGATAACTTATTCTTTCACATGTATGAGCCTAGAGGCTTAAAGCCCAACATAGTTGATAAGTTGATTGAATATGCCCCCAGAGATAGAGAGAACCCTCTCGAGCAGGACATAAAAAGTATAGAGGAGCTTGAAGAAAGTTTCGATATTTTAGAATCTCTTTTCTACAAGCTAAAAGAAGGAAAATTGACAGTAAAAGAAACAACTAGCATTTATTAGATTTACACTTTATAGACCTCCTGGGCTCGAGTCAAAAGACCAAGTAGAAAGAGGTTATTTATTTACATTTAGAACTTGTGAGATTTAAATATGAACTTTTTTGGCAATCCATGGATATATTTTAAATAAGAGCACTTCCTTATTTGATCATTAAAAGACGTTCTTTATTGAGAAGCTAAGACGTATTTATTTTTATTTTCTATGATTTTAAGCTAAAAAGTATATATTTTACAAATGCTTAGCAAAGTTGAGAGGCAAGATTTATTAAAACAGTATGATTTATTCATGGATAAGAGAACTTCGGCTCATACGGTTCTTCCAAATATTCAATGTCCTTCTTGGAAAGGTTCAAAGTACGCAATTTAACCAAATCATCGACTGCTTCTTCATTCATCACTCCGACAATAGGAATGACATCTTTCTCAATCAACCAGCCAACGGAAATTTCCATCATAGAAACATTGTATTTTTTCGAAAGTTCCTCGACTCTGTTAACTATCGTCTCATCTGATGGCCGTAAAGGAGTAATCCCAGTGGCTTGCAAAATTTTAGGATCTTTGAGCTGTGCTTGAGATTTCTCGGACGTTAATGGACGAGTAAGTAGCCCCCTTGCATTAGGGGACCAAGGAATTATTCCAACACCTGTTTCCTTACAATAGGCGTTCATTTCCCTTTCTTCTTCTCTAAATAAAAGGTTATATAAGTTTTGCATTGAAACAAATTTATGGTATCCCTTTTGATCGGCAACCTCTTGTAATCTAAAAAACTGATAGGCTTTCATAGAAGAGGCCCCTAAATACCTTGCCCAACCCTTTTCAACGACATCATTCAAAGCCCTCATTATTTCCTCGTATGTTACATCAGTATCGAGCCTGTGAATTTGATAGACGTCCACGTAAGTTCCAAGCCTTTGAACTGAAGCTTCCGCTGCATCAAGAATGTGTTTCCTTGATAAGCCTTTACTGTTCATAAAGTCAGGTGTATTAGACTTGGCAAGACTAAAACCTTCCTCTCTGCTCACAGGGAAGTAACACTTCGATAAAATCACAACTCTCTCTCTGGGAATATTATATTTCTTTAAAAACTTACCAACTATGATTTCACTAATACCATTTGAATACATATCAGCAGTATCGAAAGTCCTTAACCCATTGTCATAACATTTTTTCAAAATCTTGAAACATTGCTCTTCATCTTCAATACAATACGGAGCCCATGTTTTTACCCCGAACTGCATTGTACCTACAATTACGTCCGATACTTTGAGACCAGACTTACCTAATCTCTTAATAGAAGCACTCATGATTCAATAAGGAAAAATCTCTTAACAATTTATTGAAAGTGAGAATCCTCTTTAATGAATCCCACTTTAAATATAGTTTAGTTTCAGTCCGAATCGTTTCTTGCTCGCTAAAAGTTAGCCCGATCCTTCACTATTAGTCAGCAACCGGCGAGGTTAGATGGAGCAAAAAACCGAAAATTACCGAAAGAAGGTAACATTTGATTTGACCTCGGAGAAAATATTGAATCAGCCTGTAATCTTGAAGAAATCAATATTAATGCAAATAGAGCTTCAAGTTTCAAGCGAAAAATCGATGCCTCTTCCTGAAGCTCTTACGAAGAACCATGGTTTACGAAGAGTAGGATGACAACGTAGATGTTGTAGCTTTATTAAATCTGAGCATACATAGCTGAATTTGCATGTTCTTTTAAAAATCCAAGAAACACAAGTAGATTTCGAATCGAATGGACGATTTTCATTGCCATATATGGCAGAGCTATTCCAAATTTTCACAGGCTCGTTCAGAGATTGATATGAAGATAAAGTGAGCTTTGTTACATGGCTGCGAAAATGATCGCAGAACGGGAGAGGCGGAGGTGTGGGGTTTAATTGAGATCATATCTTTCAAAGGCTATTTTGATTGAGCATTTTTACGAGTGAAATAAGTGCTTTCTTCAAAACGATGTTAGAGGTGATCAATTCCTACCAAGGTAAGACTGTGTGGCTGGAAAATAGGACTCAATCTTGATTATGATCCCAGTGAAATTATTTTTGAATTTTCCATGTCACTATTTTGGAACTCCTCGTGAAATAGGTATTTCCGGATTTATTTTAAAAACCAATTATCAATTTGTCACCATCCAGCTCATAAATCTCTTGCACAAGTGAGTTATTTCCAACTTATTGCTTCCAGTTTTATTTTTTTTTTCATAATTTAAACACCTTTTGTCATTCTAAATATCATCCTTTTCAAGCCAATGCCCCTAATTTAGGCGTCCAAGAAGTTAAATCTCAGTTTCTGCGAATTCTTTCTACTATTAAGTCTTCGATAACGATGACGAGTTTCTTCTCGAAAATGTGTTGACGAAGTCAGGATTAGAAATTACTTCTGCTTTTGCAACTACGGGTAAGACTCTCACTTTCCACTTCGCTGCAGTTCTTAAACATCTAGTTGGAAGACAGGTTTTCTTTTCCACTGTATTTTTAGTTGGAATTATCAATAATTGTGTTTACGTTGTCAATAAATGACAAAGCTGGCCCCGTCTTTGTCTCAATGTCTTTAATTTTGTATGGTTTTCAAATTAACTGAACCAATATTTGTAAAGCTTTGGGTCTTTTAGAGTTGTATTAATGTAATATTATTCTATAGAATGTCGTCAAAAGCTAAAGAGACTTGATTAGGTGATCTTAATTTACCCTTCTTCAATTTAAAGAATAATTTTACCTACGAGCTACACTAAATATTATTCAGCAAGTGCTGCAATGTAAATGGGAATAGAAGTGGTAGATACAAACATTGTAGAAGTGCAACGGACCTTATTGGTCTTGTAATATTCTTAGTCGAAACATACCTTAATTCACAAATTCAAATGAATCATGTACTTAATCCATTACAAGATCCTAAACAAGGATAACTGTAAGCGTATGTTAGGAGGTTCATCATTTTTTTATATAGAAAGTTCGTAATCTGAATTTTCGTGAAGTTGTGTAAGGTTATTGTCATATTTAGTGTGTGGTTCCCTAAAATGATCACGATTCCCCTAATTTAAATTTCAAAAAGATTGATAAGAAAAATATTAGCATTTGAGTTTAATGTGAGATTGCAGAAGACCTCTATACTATTTGAGCTCATAAAATGTTTTCAGTATTAGATGCCGATTCATTAAGAACATTAGAAAGCAAAAGAACAAGAGATACTAGAACTGTGAAACCACTTAAGGTTAAAAAGTTCAAAGCGGAGCATATAATATATGGGAAGTCAAACCGATCTAGAAATGGTTGTCTTTGCTGTAGAAAGAGAAAGTAAGTATTTGTCTTGCAGAAATGAGACCATATTTACTGACTTAGATCAGAAAAAAATGTGATGAAGTTTCCCCAGTATGTGGATCTTGCCATCAAAGGAAAGTACAATGTATATGGAGGCACAATGAAAACTTCAATGAAAAAGGAAGCGAACTTGAATTAGAAATACTATCGGCCGTTGAGCCACAAAAATCTATATCTCCTGTGAATATAGTCGTAAGCAAATCAAAGGGGGAAGAAAGTGGAGATGTGGATCCATGGTATCAACCAACTTACATTGACTATTCAAATGGGTGCCAGGAGTTGACTACTTCTGATGTAAGGACCAACATAAATTCTTTAGAAGAAGTGGCGGGCCAGAATCCTGAACTAATATCAGAATGTATTGAAATAAATAGCCCAGCGGTTGAAGAAGAAAGAAAGCAAAATACCCATGAAAATTTAATATATTCAACTGAAGACCTCTCTGCCAATAAAGTATCCTATCCATTATCCGGTACTTTTGCAATTACTTTAGATGAACAAGGCTCGTCATATTTAAAAAGTTTTATAGATCGCGTTGCGAGAGTTGTATGTATCGGTCCAGAATCCTCCAATTACTTCTTAAGCACTTTTTTAAAGTTAGCTAGAGAGGAGAAACCAATACTGTATGCACTATGTTCTTGGGGAGGATTATTTATCGAGAAAGACAATCTTGTGAGCTCCCATATGGGAAAAGCTTTGGCAATGATAAACCACAGATATCAGCATGCATCTCACCTCAATAGTTTCGATTTATACATACTTTTGAACTTTTTCACTATTTGCATCGGGATGCAAGTATGTGCCGGTGACGTTGAACACTGGTATAAGTTTTTTACAAAATGCTCTAACGTGATCAATAATAATGGTGGGTTACGAAGTATCTGCGAGCTCTTTAATTATTCCAATGATATCAAGTGGTTGGTATCAAATTTACAATTTCACGATATCATGTCTTCGGTTGCTTTTTTAGAGGGGACTATCTTTCCATTAAAGGATTATGATTTCATATTTAATCAAAACAAAATATTGGAAGTGGGGAATTATGGCCTTGATCCTCTCCAAGGTTGTATACAACCCCTATATTTAATACTAGGTGAAATACAGATGGCTAGCATAAGACTTAAAGAGAAGAGGGAGCTCCTAGAGTATCATATGAATCGATCGCATGATGAGTATATAAACAGTGGTAGTTCTGATGTTAAGTCTTTGAATCCTTCTATAAACAATGAAAAAGACTTAAACTCGTTGAGGATAGATTATTATGAGGAAGTTCAGGAAGTTTATACATCTTTGAAAAATAGTATATTGAACTGCCATCTCAGTCCCTCACAAATTCTGCTCCTCTTCCATGACACTCAAGAGCTAGAATTGCATTTGTTGCTATTTGAACTTTATGGTTACACTTGTGAGTTATGTTTGAATATGCAAATAAAACAGCTCCCACCCAATTCCCATGAATTGCAAAGCTTATTACTAAACGCATTAATAAGGATAGATATTTTGAAGTCTACCAAAATGGTAGCTTCTTTAGCAATGCTGCTCTTAATTTGTGGCGTAACTTGCTATACAAAATCAGATAGATTACTTATGAAGGAACGGTTCGAGGATGTATTCAAAAGATATAAGATGGGTAATCTAAAGCGAATTTGGACTATAGTGCAGGATGTTTGGCGTGAGGACCTGGATGGAAGTAAATGCATAAATTGGGCATATATTTGTCATAAGAAAGGCTGGATTTTATCCTTATGCTAGCTTGACCTCTCTTTCATTATTGTATAATGTTTGAGGTAGGACATTATTTTTTAGGTCGCTGTTAATTCAATATAGAATAAGACTCTTCAAATTTCATACTTCTTCGATCAAATAACGAAATCGTTTTTTTTACCCTAACTGAAGTTCTTAAAAAACAGAACATTAGTGAAATCACATAACAAAGTAGAAGTATCGGATTGAAGTTTTAATTCGATATAATTGTTCGTGTCAAGTAAGATAATATAGCTACGATCAGAAGTAGAATTACCAGTATTTTTCATCAAAGCATCTCTCAAGAGACTAAATGTTGATCGTGTATTGGGTAATTTAATATCGATATTTAGAATAAGAAACCCACAAATATAGCTTAGATGACATTTCTTCATATCTCTATCTGGATACAAAGTTAACTTTCAAATGATCCCCTTGCAAACTCACCAAATGGAAGTTATACATTACTTAAGTATTCAGGGAAAACCAAATATTCTTTGCTGCCAAAAGAGAAATTAGATGCTCCTAAGTTTGAAACACACAGTCTATTTAAATCTTCATTCCTTTTCAATAGCCAGAAAATTAAGTCCAATTATTCAGCTTTTGAAACTGATTCTGATCAAGAAGCATTTACTTGGCATTATTATCATCAACTTTCTTTTGTGTTGAAACCGTTCAATTAATAGTAAGATTTTTATTGATATTCGACATCTTTCTCACTTTCTCTGATCAAATAAGCTTATTGTATTTCGAGATAAAGTATTTGTAGCTGCCGTTGTATCGACACCATAGTTGACACTATTACACAATGCATGGTCGCTATAAAAGTATATGAATAGTTATCAAAACTATTCTTCACTCTGATATATGACGTAAGCTTTCTTCATTCATTGGGCTATTGTTTTTATGATTTCTTTAACAGTATATAAACTAGGAATGATGGAATCATCTCGAAGTTTACAAGGTCCGTAAACTTTGTGAGCTTAACAGGTCGCATCTTGAAGTTGCATCAATTCGATAAAACTTAGAATAAACCACGAATTTTTTAGGACGATGCGTCAAGCTTTAAGATTAAGTCAGAACCTATCCCCATATCAATTTCCACGGTAATATTCAAACTAGCATAATTCCGGTCAACATTCCATTTTACACCAAATATTTGTTATATATGATTCAAAGCGGAATAAGATCTTTGGTATATACATGAACCTGGAAATCAGACGTTTACAATAACCGTTAACCTTATAGTTTGGATTGGGCAATTTTTGTGTCTTCATTTGAACAAATACACAATTGAGTAAGATAATGAACGAAACCTTTCTCAGTTAAACACACAAACTTGCAAAAGAAATTGACATAGTACGCAGTAGCAAATATCTGGTCCTTCCATTTACTCATTCTTTTAGTATGGAAACTTTCGATCCTACCCATATGAATGAGATTCAAAGGAGGCGGTTTTGATTCGAAATTTTGATTCAAGGATAATGTCCCTTTGTTATTTCGTTTCCTTTGGACATCTCGCAAAGTATTCAAAACTTATGATTCTTAGAATTCGGTTTTCAAGCTATTCCTGTAATTACTACTCTATTGCGTTGTTAGTCGAAGCTACAGGCTAAAAAAAAAAAAAAACTACTGAAAGCTGGTTATATCAAAATCTTCATCCACCGATGAAAGCAGTTCAATATTTGCTGAAATGTTTAAGTTATGCATTCCAGGGATATCATCCACATGTTTCGAGGGCATGAAAGTTTCAAATTCTTCCAAGTTCTGTATATCAAATTCAAAATTTTGAATAAGTAGTTGAAAAAAGCACGAATCTTCATAATCACGCCAATAACCAAACGTTTTCATGTTATAGTCCCTGAACCAAAGAACATAGTCCATCCATATGCTGTGTTTATTGGTTACTTTCATTTTCAAAAATAGGCACATGCAAGAAAAGACATATAGAAGCTTTAACGCAAAGTAATCTTTGTATACTCTCAAATAGTCATAAAAAGCATCATCTACTATAAAGAGCCATTGCGACATTAGACGTTTATGCCGGTTCACTGTGACCAGATAAAACACTCCTTCAAGTAAAGATATAGTCTGTTGATAGGTTTCTCTCGATCCTGCAACTAAATTTCCTTCGTACAGAAGGTCGATGAAGAAAGATCTTAGGTATATTATCAATGGATATTTTTTCTCAATACTTTTATAGCCAAGAGCTCCAGTGTCCTCGGAAATAGCTGAATAGCGAGCCGTGAAAAGAAGTGGAAATGCTTTAACCATGGAATACTTCATTCCCTTGCACATTGAAAGAAGGTCAGGCTCCCCCTCATCGAATGAAATTACCGGTATAAGTTTTAACGGATGAAAAACCAAAATAGAATATATTAAAATAGTTGAAAAAAAGATTTCAGCAGCCTCAAACTCGGAAGCAGGTCCATTGCCTTTCTGAACGTTTTCAATAATATTCCTCGTGTGACTTAAGCATACAGAAAAATAGTCGTCAGTGGTCTTGAAAAAATTTGTTCCATCGTTCAAAAGAACTTGGTTCTGTTCAAGCGCATCACAATGCGCTAGAAGTATACTATTAGCACGGCCACTATTTATATCTTGTTCGTAGTCCTGAGTTGATATATCGGAAAGGTTTTTGAGGCATCCCAAATACATGCTGCTGATGCAACTTATGCATTGTCTTAACAATTCAGATTCGTGCCAAAGTTTAGGAAGCTCAATCTGCCAAAGAGCTATTAAAGACGGCTTTTGTGTTGCCATTTCAATTCCGAAGACCTGATGAAAGTAGTAGAGAAGTCTATATTCGAACCGACTAATATTGAGTTGATATTGCATACAATTGAGTGATGCCTGAACTGGACAAAACAATTGTCCATATTTTACTAGATCACCTTGTCTACTTTGTTTCCCATTCTTGCTTTTCAATTTTAGCTGTCTCCTTGGGCCATTGGCATTTGGATAAACACATTCGCGATTTCGATAAACGCAGTATTCGCATGCTGGTTTAGCCTCATCACACTAAATTATTCCTGTTAGTTCCTTATGTCTTGTCTTATCAATATACGCATGCACTTACTTTAATCTTAAGACGTTTGCAATTAAAACACTTATTTGAAGATCGCTTATTGAGATAAGTAGATGACAACTTTTCTTGGGTCATTTTCCCCGTTGCTATCCATATCCAAACCACTTAACTGAATCTTGATATCTCGAAGTGTTCAAGGAGCCTGGTCATAGACTCATACTCAGAAAATAGACCAAATACGAAGCCGCACATATAAGCGCTTACATAATCCACAATATTTCTCATACTACTACCCCTTCTAAAAATCCTGCGCGAAAACTGAAACTGAGTCATTCTCTATTACATATGGTCCGGCGAGGCTCTGTGATAACACAGAGGTGTTGCTGGCTTGAAATCGGAACTCAAAAAAAAAAAGAAAAAAAGATGTGAGACATAACTATTGAGAAAAGGCTACGAAAGCAAGAGTAGAAATATGTTTAGTAGCATACTCTATGGAGAGTTAAGAAAGTATGCAATCCAATCGAGAGTCGAATTGTATAAAAGGTGTTTGAAGCTTAACCACATCTACACACCTAACGTTATTTTTCGTTCTTGTTTTTCACCACCAAGGAATGAAATGTCGCTTATTGCAGCTACACGATGGTTATAGCAGACTTTTAGAAAGAAGAGCACTGCTCTTGGAAAGACATAGAGATTCTTGCTTCTCGATAGTTCGATATACGGGATTTTCGATTGCTAATTTTGAACTTTGTCAAGTTCTCAATATATGGTTATTGTCAATGAAATAGAGTTCAAGTAGTATCATTTCATGAGTTTTGATCTCTATTCACTTAAAAGCCTTCAAAAGGTCCCCAACAGTTGTGATAGCCGTTCGTCACATCTTATATGCACACGAGATCGACAAACTTGGCGGCCGTGCATATGTGCGCGTCGTTGAAAAATAGTATACTAAGCTGCCAACTCAGTCCCTCGAAGGTTCTGCTCCTCTTTTATGACACTCAAGAACTAGAATTGCATCTGCTGCCTACTTGAACTTTATGGTGACTTTTGTGAATTTCGACAATGGTGCAGGGCTTTTGATATAAGAATCTGGATGGAAGTAAATGTATAAATTGGCCAGATACCACAAGAGAGGCTCGATTTTATCCTTATCCTGAAATGAATTCGGCTTTTTTTATTCCAAGAAAATTGGATTGGCAACGTAATATTTTAAGTAGAAGTGAATCACCACATCGAACTAAAATCGTGGAAATTCAATACTCCTCTGACAACAATATATTGAAAATGTTTTCTTTGAGTTAACTTTTACTATAATTCTTGAATAGGAGCAAAAGTAATAGATCGTACCACAAACATTAATTAGAAATATCGTGAATTTTGCTCTCTGAGGTAGTTGATATTTTTTTTTTTTTTGATAATCAGAAGAAGAATGTACAGGTGCTTTACCATTGAAGTACTCTTGAGAGATGAAACGTCCAAATGCTATACTATGTATATTTCCATCTATACTTAAGAGCAGAAGTCTGCTAATTTAGTTTCGAGAAGCTTCATTAAATTATCTACAGATTTAGTTTCCTTTTCAGACATCACCTCTTCATATTCCTGTCTGAATACAAAGACAAGTTTTAAACGGCCTTCTTGCAAACTCACCAAATTGAAAATGAAGTTATACATAATTGAAGTGTTCAGGGAAAACCATATATCCTTTGCTCTCCAATGACAATTTGGATGTTCATGAAATACGCCTAGGTTCGAAAAAACACACGTTGTCTTAATCTTGGATCCCTTCAAATAAGCTGAAAAATAAGACCAGTTATTCAACTCTTTATGTTGAGATCGGGCAAGAAAGCATTCCCTTGTGGTAATACTATCACCAACTTCCTTATGCGTTGCCTTCATCAAATCAAGAGTTATATTTGCATCTTCTATTGGTGGCATGGGTCCAAAATTCATCTCTAATGCCGCAGCCATAGTTCCATAGACGAACTTTGAGGTATCATAATATCTCCTTCCATTGACTGCTAGCAAAGTAGAAGTTGAAAATTCGTCATCATCTTTACTTTTGATATCCTTGAAAACAGTTTCCTGAAGGCATTGGAGGCATATTATATCGAAGTAAGAAGTGAGCGTAATTCCTTGAGATTTGCAAAACTTTAACATCTTTCCCACTATTTCTGGCTCAAATGAACTTGTCCTGTATCGAGAGTTAGTGTTTGTGGACACCGTTGGATAATTGAATAATTTGCTCTTTTCCAGGATCTTCTTGCCATTTGCCTCATTGATTCCTGTCATGTTTTCGTTTTTTTTGAAAACCAGAGAATTAGATACACGTGAATTTGAAGCCTCTGTTAGAGGTGTCTCATACAAATCGAATTCGTTTTCCCTGGCCTGTGGAACTTCATAGTGATCTGGATCCACATCAGCTTCCAATTCAAATAAAAATTCTTGAAAAGCTGTCGATTTCGAACAATACACATCTGAAATTTCCTTTAACAAATCTTTTTGGAACTCTAACGCAGCCACGCCATCAAACAATGAGTGGTCGCAATAAAAGCATATGTACTGCTTGGCGGGCTGTTCTTCATTCTGATAGACAATTATTCTCCAAAGAGGTAAACATAATTCATTCATTGGGCAATTGAGTTTATTTATACCTTCTAGCAAATCTTCATCAACAGATGACGTAATCGTCTCAAATTTTACAACGTCTGTAAACTTTATGTGCTTAACAGGTCGCACCTCGAAGTTGTGACCATTGGATTCAGAGTCGAGTATTGAATCATCAATTCGATAAAAATTTAGAGTGAACCATGGATTTTTTAGGACCATGTTTCTTAAAGCATTTGAGATTAAGTCGGCATCTACGATCTTATCAATTTCCACAATAATACTCAAATTGGTATAATAACGTTCAACATTACGACATATGTAATATCTCTCAATGAATCCAGGCTTTCTAGATATCCCCATTGTTGTTTGGTGTTGAATGTTTTGAGAAAAGAGCTTCTCAAATCAGTTCTTATACGCGTAATGTTTGTTATAAATGACTCATTATCCGGTGGGATGTGAGATAGCTGATAAATATACAGGATTGAGATATCAAAAAATCCGATAAGAACCTCTATTTATAAATTATGTTCGGTTAATAACGTGATAATTTCTATATCTACAATATAAATAAGTATCCAACAAAACAAATGCAAAAAGCAAAGCCAAATTTCCAAGTCAGGAATGTTCTCAAGATACTAGAGAATAGAGATAGCACATAAGCAGCAAATAATTCGTCTTATCGCAATTTATCTAATTAGCATATCTTGAGAACCTTTTGACATTTTTTATAACAAACGAGACCTAAGAGCGTACTTTTACTTCAGATCTAATCACTTTACCCTTTCAGATTCTCGTAAGAATCTCTTATCATTTCTATTTTGAAACTAATGACCTCTGGTTCTTTATTGATAGTCAAAGATAGAAATTAATATAAACGAAGAATTGCTAGGTGCAGTTTATATCAAATCTTCATCCACCGATGAAAGCAGTTCAATATTTGCTGAAATGTTTAAGTTATACATGCCAGGGATATCATATACATGTTTCGAGGGCATGAAAGTTTCAAATTGTTCTAAGTTCTTCAAATCAAATTCAAAACCTTGAATGAGTACTTGGAAAAAGCTCGAATCTTCATTATCTTGCCAATAACCAAACGGTTTCATGTTATAGTCCCTGAACCAAAGAACATAGTCCATCCATATACTATTTTCGTTTGATATTTTCATATTCAAAAATAGACACATGCAAGAAAACACATATAGAAGCTTTAACGCAAAGAAGTCTTTGTGTACTTTCAAATAGTCAGAGAAGATATCATCTACTATAAAAACCCATTGTGACATTTGACGACGATGAAGATTTACTGTGACCAGATGAAATACCCCTTCAAGCAAAGATACCGCCTTTTGATAGGTTTCTTCCGAATTTGCGAGTAATTTTCCATCGTACAAAAGATTGTCTAAGAAAGACCTTAAGTGCTTAATCAATGGGTAATTTTTTTCAATATTTTTATAGCCAAGTGCCCCAGTATCCTCAAAAATAGCTGAAAAGCGAGTCATGTAAAGAAGTGGAAATGCCCTTCCCATAGTATGCTTCATTCCTTTGCATCTTGAGAAAAAATCTGCCTCTCCCTCTTTAAAGGAAAGTACCGGAACAAGTTTTAATGGATGAAATATCAAGATAGAATACATTAAAACACTTGAAAAAAAAGATCTCGGCAGCCTCAGCCTCAGAAGCAGGTCTGTTACCTCTCTTAACTTTCTCAATAATATACCTTGTGCTACTTAAGCATACTAAAAAATAGTCTGCAGTAGTATTGAAAAAATTTGTTCCATCGTTCAAAAGAACTTGGTTTTCACCAAACACGTCAACATGAGCCGACGCCAAATTATTACAATGGAAACGATTACGGTCTTTGTCGTAGTTTTGGTAGGCAGTTTTATGGATGTCCTCAAGACATCCCAAATACATGCTGCTGAGGCAATAAATACATTGTCTTTAACAATTCAGATTCATGCCAAAGTTTGGGAAGTTCAATCTGCCAGAGACTTACTAGAGATGGGCTTTGCGTTGCCATTTCAATTTTAAAGACTTGATGAAAGTAGCAGAGAAGTCTATATTCGAACCGACTTGATATTGCATACAATTGAGTGACGCCTGAACTGGACTAAACAATTGTCCATATTTTACTAGATCACCTTGTCTATTTTGTTTCCCATTCTAGTCTTTTTATATATTTATATAAAGAATTAAGATATAGTCCAGATTATATAGAAATATATAATATATTTATAATATCTTCAATTTTAGCTGCCTTGGGCCATTGGCATCTGGATGAACACATTCACGATTTCGATAAACGCAGTATTCGCATGCTGGTTTAGCCTCATCACACTAAATTATTCCTGTCAGTTCCTTATGTCTTGTCTTATCAATATACGCATGCACTTACTTTAATCTTAAGACGTTTGCAATTAAAACACTTATTTGAAGATCGCTTATTGAGATAAGTAGATGACAACTTTTCTTGGGTTGTTTTAACTGTTGCTATCCATATCTAAACTACGTAACTTTAATTTTACTACCCCGAAGCGCTCACGAGGCTTTGGTCATCAAAGCTAATACGCAGAATAAACCAAATACGAAGCTGCGCATAAAAGCGCTTACATAAGCTTTTGTTTTTCTTCAACACTACCATTTGTAAAACGATGTAGATCCGGGGAAAACACTGAACAAAGGAACATCCAACACATGCTACCCTGTGAGTGACGCCGCAAAAGAATGTTTTTCAAGTCGCAATTATGGTCCAAATAAAAGAAAAAAAAAACAAAGTTCTAACTTCGTCGCAATGTTCAATTTAGAAGCTTTTAAAATAAGATACAAATACGTCTCACTGCAAGAGGTTCTAGTTAACTAACTATAGGTAGAAATCAGGTCTCAGAAGCTGACAGAAAGTATTATATTCTCTCGTTTTCGAAGTTTTACAATCTTGAGATAAAGTCTCACGCCTGCAGCTCCTAAATCCATCGGATTACAATCAATCCTCGCGCATGACCTAAAATTGAAATCATGTTAGCAGGGCTATAACTGTTCCATCTTTAACAATGAAATGAACATGGGATAATAACTTAGTCACAACGTTCCGTCTTCTATTCACTTGAAAAAGCGTTTAAGGACCCCAAGAGTTGTGATAGCCGTTCGTCATGTCTTATATGCACACAAGATCAACAACTTGGCACCCGTGCATATGTGCGCTTATATAAGCTTTCAAACTCAATCGGCCACCAATATTTAATCAGAGCAGCTTGCACGGGAAGTAAGCAGTAAGAAGTAAGATACAAGGAAGAAAACTTATTCTAATCATACAATATCAGATTATTTATCATGGGTTTTGAAGCAACTGGAGAGGGCATTGCAGCAAGCATATTTTTATCACTTTATACCATTTATTCCGTGATTGCATTGTATGTAGTATACAAGGCGGGTTTTAGGTCTAGATATACTACCCTACTTTTTTTTGGGATCATAAGAGTCGGAGCACAACTATCTGGTGTTGCTTTCTCAAAGTTAGGATATGGATACTGGAAATGGCTCGTGGCATATTTAGTCTTGGGCGCTGAAGGGTACTTTATGCTTATTCTTTCATCTTTTTATTTCATTAGTCGTGCTTTGGAAGATAAATTCGGTTACAGCTGGTTGTTGCAGCCACTTGATAACTGTCGTCAACCTGAACCTCCAAAAGACGATAAAACAAAGTGGTATTTACGCTTCCTTAGACCAACATGTGCAACTATATTTCATAATATATTGATAGCAGCTAATGCAATTATCATAGCGGGTGGAACCACGCTCACATCTGTGGACCCTAGTGACTATGACTCCGAGAAAGATAAAGTTAATACCTCGAAGGCTTTGCGGTCCTCAGGTCAGGCAACCTTCTTATTTCTCACAGTTTGCCTATTTCTTTTAAGCATATACTGTCGCGTAAGGAATAACGTGACGGGTCACAGCATTTACTTGGTTATGATTGTGTTGCCATTTTTGTTTGTCAGGGGCATTTACGGTTTGTTGTCTTGTTTCGTGAGCAAAATGAATTACTTTCAGCTATCAAATTACGGGGAATCGGGGCTCTCAACATATTTTGTAGCCACCGAATATGCTCTTGCTACTACTATGGAATTTTTATCTGCTTCTATCTTGTTATCTAACTATTATATTACTCGATATTTGAACAAGCAGGAACTGTATTTCGTTACAGAAAATAGTACCAAGAAGGAGGTTCTGGAATCGGATTCAAACGTTTGATTTTAATTAGTTACAATTATCATAAACTCTTCTTCGTTTAATACATTTGTTAATAATCATTTAAAAATTTAAGATTAACTAGTTTCGGAGTTGCTATACAATTGCTAGATCACAGCCTTCCTCGCATACGCGAGTATGGTGATAGTTGCAATAGTTTGATATTTCCTTTATGTTATCAAGGGTACATATTCTTTTAAGTTATATACAGTCTTGTTTATTTCTCAGTGAAAATAAAAAACCTAGGAAGCTCTGATTACACGATTAGCCTATAAAATTACTGTTCTCCATAATATATAACTGATGTATTCATTCAATTCTTTTCTCTACAGCATTTGATAAGACGCATAGATAGCTTTGTCTGTTTTAAGGTTGATTTCAATAAGACTCTTTTCTCCCGATTTAGTGCCACCATGCTCCACCTTGAACTTTAGATGACACATATCTTATTTTTCAAAACATTTTTCGTACTCCAATTCATTGACTCAAAGGAGAAAGAATTAAGCAATCTACGAAGCTTTTATATCTGCAAATATTGGAAGTTCTCTATTTAGATTATTTACAGCTAGCAAACTTTCTTCTTGTTGCTCAGATGAACTGTATTTTGCTGAATTTGATACGCTCTGTACCTAATAAGACTGAAATACGGGAGACTGAACTACTCACAGTATAATTCAAAACTGTTAGTACTCATATAATAGTGTTTTTATTCAAATTAATTGAAGAGGACTTTCAAGTAGGAGAGTTGTTCATTCACTGTACTTTGAGTATTAATTCATATTTAGCTTATGGCTCAATGCTGACTGATGCCTTCTCCGACTCCAGTCTGACAGCAACATTACTTTGAACGATAGTTTTCTTTTCTTCCAATGCATCCCTATCACCGAATACCTTATCCATTTCTTCTAATGGCACACCCTTTGTTTCAGGAATGATGAACCAAGTGAAGAAGAAAGCAACTATCGCAAATGCTGCAAAAAATATATAAGTACCCCATTTCATGTGTTCCAACATTGGAGGGGTCACCAACCCAATTATGAAGTTATTCATCCAAGTAGAAGATGTAGTAATTGAAATAGCTTTTGATCTTATACCGATATTAAAGATCTCTGAAGGTAAAACCCATCCAATAGGAGCCCAACTGTAGGAAAAGTTAAAATCATATATGAAAATGAAAGCAATGGCTGCTCTACCAGCAACCTTATTAGTAGCTAAATTATCACCAAATTTTCCCACAATGGCACCCACAATTACCAAGGATACAAAAGTTCCCATTGCACCACACATAAGTAATGTCTTTCTTCCAAATTTATCTACCAAAAAAACTGCTGGAATTGTAGAAAGCATATTAACGATCCCATAAACACCAGTTCCCAACATGGAAGTGGTGGTAGAATTCATGCCTAATTGACTGAAGATAGTTGGAGCATAGTAAATAATTGCGTTACATCCTATGAACTGCTGAAAAAACATAACAGCAGAACCGATAAAGACCCTTTTGAAGTTAGACCTAACCGAGACTAAATCCCAATATCCAGCAAGCATTAAAGATAATCCTTTTTTATTAGGAAATTTTCTGTTTTTGTAGTTCTCTTCAAAAAGTACATCTGACTTAATTTCCAAGAATTCCTCTTCCACAAGTTCAGCATTTCTCTTCTTTCTCAAATAGTTCAAGCTTTCCCATGCTTCATTTTCGCGTCCTTTAGATAAGAGCCATCTTGGAGATCTTGGAAAGAAAGATATCCCAATTCCCAAAAGAAAGGCGGGAGCAATCTGTAAACCAAATGGAATTCTCCAGGAAGCATCTTTTTGGCCATAACAACCACCTTCAGGGACATCGACGTAAGGATTGAAACTGTCTCCTTGGTATCCTCTATTTGGGGCACATTTAGTTCCACCGATAAAATGCGTCCCATAATCTATCCAATAAGATATCATGATACCGATAGTTATTGACAACTGTTGAATGACTACTAATCCACCTCTGACTGATGGTGGTGACAACTCTGACATATACATCGGAACAACCATTGTCAACTGCCCAACACCTATTCCTGCGACCGCACGGCCTCCAAAAAGCATAGAGACGTTTGTTCCCGCACACTGAAATATTGAGCCGATGACAAAAATCACACAAGCAATCCTGATTGAGTCTCTTCTTCCAAACTTGTCAACAATTGGTGAGTTTATGAGCGACCCAAACCAAGCACATAATAAGAAAGTGGACACGAACCAACCTTTATAGTCAGAATCTGAAAAAATACGAGGAAATTTGGCACCAAAAGATTCCATGGTAACAATTCCACTAATCACACCTTGGTCATAACCAAACAATAGACCCCCGAGAGATGCAAACGCTATAACGGAAAACATGAGCGGATCCTTGATCATCACTGATAAAACACTTCCGCTTGCTTTGTCCCGCAAAGAAATTTGATCCATCTTCTACCTGACGCTGCTATTCTTATTGTAATATCCAATTTTTAAAGTAGTGTGTCTCAATACTAAAGAGTCAAATTTTTTAAAAGTTCAACTTTTTAAAATAGACTAACAGCACGATTCTTGGTCTCTTGTTTTTACAAACTTTCAGTTTTATATGTCAACATATATCCTAAATTTCAAAATCGAAACCTTCTTATATATTAATTTTATGTGACAGAGAAATGTTGTAGAAGACTATGCATGTCTCGAAAAAACAACAATAAAACCTGCAGATAATATAAAAAAAATCTGGGGATGTGGGGGAGCGCGGACACTAGATCTCCCGACTGCTCCTAATGGAGAAAGATGTCCGGCAATAGAGTAACAACGGCCATGAACCCAAGAATTAGTATACTATTAATTCAAGAAATATTTAGGAATACTATACAGTTCCTTCATCCCCGCAAAAAATTTTCCGACAATCATTGAATATCTATGAGATACGGAATGAGCCTGAGCGAAATCTAACACAAATGGCTAAAATGATCAACTTCGCGATGAAACTGGTGTCAAAGCTCGTACGTGACAGTAATAAGTCCCAATGGGGATATTGGGGCCGTGGAATAATTCTTCGCGGCCATCCTCCAGCATCTCAAAAGTATATTACAGGCATGACCGCTTGACCAAAGAATTTGGTCTCCACACAACTGTATCATGCTGTCCACTAGATACTACGTTCCTGAGCCCCTCCCCCAAAACGATCGGAACAACCATATGCAGGGTACCATAAAGTCGAAAGATGTGACGGAGCGGAGAGATGTTGACATAGAATATTTAGTAGATAGATTGCTAAATTTTCACGAGAGACACCAAGGACCTAGCAGAATTATTGTTACAGTTGCCGGAGTTCCTGGTTCTGGGAAGTCTACTGTAACCAAAAAAGTATGCGATGAACTTAACAAGAAACTAGGTGCCGCATTTGTTGTTGTGTTGCCGCAAGACGGTTTTCATTACTATCGTAAAGAGTTGATGAATACTGCCGATCCTGAAGAAAGTATGCGCAGAAGAGGAGCTCCTTTCACTTTCAATAATGAAAAGCTCTTGGCAATGGTTCAACGTGTAAAGTTTCGTGGGAATAGTACTATATTAGCACCGGATTTTAGCCATCAGTTAAAAGATCCTACTGAGAATTCGATAATAATAACTCCTCAAACAAGAATAGTTTTGGTGGAAGGAAACTATGTTCACTTAAATGCAGACTCATGGAAGGAAATATCCGCTCTCGCGGACGATAAATGGACTGTGCTTGCAGACCTTGATATGATCAAAGAAAGGTTAATTAAACGACACGTAGAAGCTGGTATATGTGCGAACGAGAAAGAATCTGAAGCACGAGTTGAGAAAAACGATCTCGTCAATGCCAAATATATTATAGATCATTCTGTTAGTCCGAATATCGTCATCATGAATCTGACGTAGCTATATAAATCAAGTGAATTTAACCAAGTACACGTACAAACTGTAGTCATGTGATATTTTCTATTGAGTGATGGTGCTAGAAATCTCCCGAGCTCTAATTATAGATAGAATACTTGATTGATCCGAAATCAACAAGGTGACATTTGTTCAACATAAGTTCATTTGTCTCATGCTTGAAGTCGATCGAAAGAAAAACATAATAATGCAGCAGGCCTGTGACTCATGTCGACTACGGAAAATGAAATGCTCACAAGAATATCCTTAGTGCTTGAAGTGCAAAGAGCATACATGGAATTGTGTATACTCTCTGAGGAAGATAAGGACACCATTTACAAGAACATGCGTGTCAAAGGTTGAAAAAAGAGCTCACATCCTAGTAAAGTTATTGAAAAGAATCTTACCTGAGGACGTTGAAATAAATGATTTACTTCGAACCCAAAATAATAGTGCCTGTGAAAGTAGCGAAGATTTTAATGAAGATGATGGGATAAGCAATAAGTTTTATAAACAGATTAATTTGACGACAGAGGAGTTGCGTCAAGTTTAAGAAATATAGATAAGATTAGCCACAAGAAAAGCTACGGAAACCCAGAATCAAAAACGATTGGAGTAGCGACCTGAGGATCATCTAAAGAATATACGAGAGAGTGGTCTGAATTCTTTTGATGCAAGAGGGTAAATTATTAACAAACCAGAATTATATTATTTTAGTATTGATGAGATGGCTGCATTGTCAAATGATACCGGCCTTAACTTTGATGTAAGTAATTTGAATGGCGATTTTGAGATCAACTCAAGTAACGGGTTATTGAAATTTTTCAAGTCAGGGAACAGTATCTTAGAGTTGAACCTGAGCAAGATTTTGAAGAAACTATATCTTGAATGAGGATATTAGTGTTAATCGGAAAAGGGTTAAACTTGGTAAAATTGATAACTTGTTAGATAACCTTGAATTTCAAGAAATTGTGATCGTGCAATCTCGAAACTAATTTAACGCTTATCTCTTCGAAAGCAAAAATATTTGACTAGATGTTAACTTCCACCAGCGGAGAATAAGGATCCAATGAATTGAAACCATAAGTAGTCAGATGTCAAAATGACAGTAAAAAGATTCGTGAAACTTTCTTATCCTGATTGACAGATAGATTTTCGTTTATTGATTCAATATTTGTGGAGATTTAAATGAATTTATAATTTTTTGGTTTCATAAAGAAATATTAATATTTTAGTATAAGCAAATACCAAAATAGGAAGTATTTGCATTGTAAGAACATTTTTAATTCTGATGCTATGATCTATTGAGAGAAGTTGAAAAAAAAACTGTCCCGCCAACGCCTGTTTCAAGTACTGCTGAACTGATTTCTGCAGCTTTTTAATCAAACAATCCATACCTGAAGGATTAAGAATGTTATTCAATTAAGTAAAAACTTTTCCTCAATCTAAACTCCTTGAGTTTAATACAGGTGCCATATATGTGTCGAAAACGATACCAAAAAAGTATTCAATGGCATAATAATCTTGAAGTAAGTTTTGGTGACCAAAAAATGGGCACGATAATTTCGCTATGTCTGCTAAAAATAAGACAAAGAAGGCCATTATACTCCCTATCAAGCAAAGTCATATTTAGCCTCCCCAGAGATACTTCCTCGTCTAAAAAATAATTAACATTCTATAATTGGCAATTATTAGCCCATTAGCATGACATATTAATAACACATAAGAACAGACTTCTTTACTAAACCCATGATCCATTTCTGTAGTGTACTGTGATGACTAATTTGAGTCGTCAATTTTCTTCAGCCTCTGATTTGGCAATTTTTCTAGATACTATTGCCAGCCCATCGGCAAAATCTTCTTCCAGAAGCTTTTCAGTATTATTAAGTTCATTTGAGTGTTCATAATATCTGTTCTTACCATCTAAAGTTCCCGATTAATTTTAGAAAAATCGCTATCAATTCTTTATTTGCAGCATGATAAGTACGCGCTTGAGTAAAATTTCACTAATGTTGTTCCTGTGATTTCATGGCTACTCATAAATGAAATGTCCTCACCCATAGTTTTTGCATTAAGTTTGTAACTTATTTAAATACGAATAGTATCCTTCATTCAAAACCTTAGACACGGAATACTTTTTATTGTCAACACTCTCTTGATTGGGCAAACTTAACCGCTATACTTTTCCTTCATTTCCTATTATGGCGAATTTGACTGCAGCAATTTGATAACGAGCCACATACAGGCAATCATATATACGTGTAAAAAGACTAATAAACTATCGAGGCATTTTGTATATGGTAACATGTAACAAGAGTCTATTGTGTTCTCCTTTCAATTAATTTTTTTTTGGAATTATTAAATTTGACCCATCGATATACTTGTAGCTGAAAGATTTGCGAGAAATCTTATCTTATTTCGAACCTAAATATTTGTACAATTTCTACCACATTTGATCGCTTTATCAATAAAAATCAAGCTTAACTACTTAAATATTTGAATTATTTATATTGTTGATAGTATCTGATTTTAATCTTATCGGACGATTTCAAGCCTTTAACCTTAACAATCACTTCGTCCTCTGGGAAAATATCAAACCCGTTGTCATCAATGTGTAAATCTTTCTCAAGGATTATTTCAACACCTTTTACAGGCTTATTAGTACTAAATATTACTGATCCGTCTTTAACTTTGAAAGAAACTTCTCTACCAGGAAATTTCAAATACTTAAGAGGTTGGGGCCAATCAGCAGCACTTGCAATAATTGTACCAGTTTCCTTGGATACGACCCTAGCATAAACAACAGCAGGAAACTTATTGGAAACAGGGCGATCTTTAACAAACTCAGTAGTTTGGTTAGCTCTCAATACAACATCTTCATCCGGTAAGGCATCAACCTTTTCACCAGAGGTGACATTATAGATATCAATCTTTAAGATTGCTGGAACATCATCAATTCCTGAATTAACCCCCCAAATATCAACTTTATAGTCAATTTCCCTATAATCAAATGGTGGGGTGTTACCTGGACCACAATCGTCTAGATATTTATTTGGGTTTTTATGCTCAGTTCTATAAAGACCAATACCTAAAGGTTTGCTTTCTCTTTTAACCGAATAATACGCCAATTTGGGTCTCTTGTAATGGTCAACGATAGCCCAAGATGCGCATGGCCAACAGTCATTAATTTGCCAAACTAGAGCTCCTCCCAGATATCTTTTACCATCCTCTCTCCATTCTCTTCTCCAACATCGGTAAGCATAACCAAGACATTCAGATTGCATCAACTGGGTAGCATATATCCAAGAATCCAAATCTAACCCTTCAACCTTAAGATTTTCCATAACATATAATGCAAGACGTCTTTCAAATCCCTTGGATTTATTATGGTGATCAATCATATAACTTTGAGGGTACATTTCAGTAGCGTCGGTAATACAATCTTCATACGTCTTTCTGGATGGTAAACCTTCCATACCAAATTCAGAGACAAATCTACCACCCAATTTGTACCAATCTTGATATTTTTCTTGTTTCCCGTGCCAGACATTCCATTGATGAATATCACCAATGGTAGGATCATTAGTAGACTTACCACCCCATGGGGAACCAGGGTGGTAAGGAATACCAGTAGTGTATTCATCTACTAGTTGAGGGAAAAGGCCCTCGTAGAATGTTCTTGCTGGGAAATCGGTTTTTGTGTAGTCTCCAGAATGATCCTCTTTATCCCAAGTTAATTTAAATTGTTCTGCTAATTGATAATCCTCATTATTACCACAAACCAATGCCATAGAGCAATAGTTTCTGAGCCTTTTCATCTGACTAATTACTTCCTCTTTGACTAACTTCATATATTCTGGATATGCTGGGTATATACCACAGGCAAACATTAAATCATGCCAGATTAAAATCCCTAATCTATCACACTCTTCATAAAGAATATCTTGTTCATAGTAACCACCTCCCCAGATTCTAAGCATATTTTGATTACCATCAGCCATAATTTCCATCCATTCAGTATAATCTTTTTTAGTCATGCAAGTTTGAAAGCTATGGGCTGGGATCCAATCAGATCCACTTGAATAAACTGGTACATTATTAACTCTAAAATAGAAACTAGTTCCTGGTTGGCCATCCAAGGGTTCTTGGACCAATTCCATCCTTCGGAAACCTATATTTTTTGACCAAGTTTGAACTGAAATCCCTTTCTCGAGAATGCTAACCTCAAAATTGTATAAAGATGGTTTACCATGACTGAAAGGAAACCAGAGGTCAGGATTTTCAATTTCAAATTTAGTTGAATTAACCCCTGAAAACTTAATTTCGTCGGATAATGATTGCTTTACTAACTCACCGTCAGGAGAAGTCACTTTGATACTTAAAGTAACACCTTCCTTAGTAACTATATCACACTGCACGTCAACATTTACCTTCAAATCTTTATTAACATCAATTTTAACGTAGACATCTTTCAAGGAAGAATCATATGATTGCAATTTAATTGGCCTATAAGGTCCACATGTCATAAAAACTGGGCCCCAATCCCACCCATAATGATATTGAGCTTTTCTGATTTGCATTCTAGTGATTTCTCCATTAGATCCTACATATCTTCCATGGGTCTCTTCCAATTCTCTTCCTTTCCATAATGCTGATTTAAATACAATCCGTAATTCATTTTCACCATCTATCTTAATAGAATCATTGACTCCAGTACGATAAATAATGAACATGTTTTCAGTTTCCAAGATCTTTTCTTCATTCAAATAAACCTCCGCAAATGTATCTAAACCTTCAAATATCAATTCATGGTTAGCAGCCGCTTTCGCTGCTTTATCAACCTCAAAAGTGGTTTTATATTCCCAATCTTTCTCTCCAATCCATTGAAGCGTCTTCTCGTTATCATCAAGGAATGGATCTGGAATATCACCATTAGCATACAAATCAGGATGAATTTCCGTAGCTTCGAACCCTTTCCTAGCTGGCTTCCAAACTTTTTCCCCGATTTGCCTAAAGCTCCAATCCTTTAAAGTGATCTCATTAAATTTAACCATTCTAAAAAAAATAAATCTATATCAATTGTTCCAAGTTTATCAATTCAATTGTTTGTGGTCTATGAAAGAGATTTCTAGCTATTTTCTAATACACTGTTATTACAAAATGCAGATTCGGGATGGTCTCTTATGTAGTACAAGATCAAAGTAATTGTAAAGAGAAGTCACCTCAGTAATAGGTAGCCATTGGTCAAATTGAATTGACGGGGAGAATGGTGGGGGACAGATCTGACTTAGCATATAGATGCATAACAATTGCAGTATATGCAAGATATGACGGGGGCACAGAAGATAATGCGACATTCAAGATAACAGGTATCTCTATCCAAACGATGGGGGATTGTTATCGATATGATAGGGATCACTGTCAAAACGATGAAGAATCAAAATCAATACAATAGAGAGAGTTGCGACGACTGGAGAGTGCTAAGTTATAAATCCGACCACAATTATAAGATATATGCCTTCCCCATTAAGAAATAAGTATAATCCTTTTCCATTAAATTCTGAAAATCCTCGGTTAATTTCTATCAACTTTTCGAATGTATTTTCGCCTCTTTTCTTTCTAGTTTCACGCCACCCTTTCTTTTTACGTTCATCTCTCTATTTGCCTACATTGTTTTGCAAAATAATCTGATACTCATCTATATTATCACTATACTCGGGTTTCACTATACTCGGGTTTTTGTCCAAGTGCATCTTCTACACATTCAGTGTCGCTAGATCTGGAAGCCTTAGATAAACGAATACTCTCTTTAACAGATCCTTTCACTGTAAAAACGTGTTCAATTTCTTCTAAACTCAATCCACTGGTCTCCACAAACATAAAGTAAATTACAATTAGTTCCAAGAGGTCCCAAAACACAAAAAATACATAGTACCAGTATGTGATCTTTTCCATAGCCAATGGTGCAGTGTATAAGTTTAAGGTTGAAGCAGCATTGGATACTAAATGCCACAAAGCCAAACCTCTAGCTCTCATTTCGTTTGATAAGATTTCAGAGGGATAAGTTGGCTGCAAGGGAGTAAAAGCAAACGAGAAGAACACAGCCTGGAAAATGTAGATGAAGGCGATTCCAACTTGAGCCGCCATTTTATTGTCACTGTTATCACTGAAAGCTTTCGTACTGATAGCCAATGCAATGAATGAAATAACGAACCCAACGCACGCATACATTAGCACCGGTCTTCTTCCTAACCTTTCTACCGTCAATGCGCCAGCAGATGCAGTCAAAAAACAGATGATAGAATTCACTGCAGTTAATAACAACCTAGTGGTAGCATTAGTGACTCCCAAATTCAAGAACAAAGTTGTCATGTAATAGGTAATCACTTGATTTCCGCTATATTGACAAATCCAAGACCAAAGAATCACCAATAAGGTTCTTTTCTTGAGAGCTCTTGATTTCAAAAAGATACTGAAGTCAAGGTAATCTCTTGGTTTTAAAAATCCACTTTCTGCAAAAGATTGAGCCATTTGATCCAATTCTGCTGATACAAGTGGATGATTTTCATCACCATTAGCATGATATTTCACAATAAAAGATTTTGCTTTGTCAATCTTATTTTTAGAGTAGTAATATCTTGGGCTTTCTGGAAACAACCAGATGCATGATAGCACCAAACCTGGACATAAGAGTTGTAACCATAAAGCAATAGTGAAACTTTTATGTGTGCCTTGGTATCGAATGGAAGTACCATACATTGTCCAGGTAGCAATAATTGAACCAATGTAGTAAAACGTATTATAAAATAAAGCTAATATTTTCATGTTTGGTGGTAAGACCTCCATCATATAAGCCGGTGCGGCGGTAATGGCAATAGTGCTACCAAAACTAATAAAGAATCTTGCAGCAATAAAAGCATCATGATTGGATGTAGCTGCCGACAAAATAGCACCGGCAACCAGAATAATTAAACCAACTGCAATAGCTGGAACTCTTCCAATATAATCAGCTAGCCATACCAAGCAGGTAGCACACATAGAGCCTATGGGGTAGATACTGAATACTAAGCCAGTACCTGAAGCGGTATTTTCTAAGTTAAAATAATCAAGATACTCCGGCAAAGTATTGATAGACGTCATCAAAGACCCATCATAGCCACTCATAGTGGCACAAAGGTAAAGGCAAACGCAAACCAAGTAAAGTTTTATTCTCTTATTGGAGAAATTAGAAATTGGACGAGCCTTTATTATTTGTTTCAAAGCAATGTCATGATTATTAACGGCACTCATATCAACATTATCATGTTGTTTAAAATCATCGGTAGCTGTGGTTTCTTCAATAACCACCTCTCCTTTATTCAAAGAAGAAGCTTTTGATTCCATGATAGTCATCATTAAAAGTAAATTGCAGTCTTGAGTATCAAATACACCGGTCAATGTCCAATATATATACCATAAAATTCTCCTCAGGTTATTATCGAACTTTTTATCATAAAAATAGATAATGCATGAGTTAGATGGTTCCAAATCTAATCAAATGACATCGGGCTTACCCCCCACCCGGTATCAGATTCTTCTTTTATTGTTCTCAATTCCTTTTCCGAATATGGTTGATTTTTAACGCTAAAAATCTACTTATCTTCAAACAAAAATTTCTTTAAAAATCCCCCCAGCAAGATAAGATGGCCCCCACCGTCATCCCCGCTGATTTTGGCTTATCTTTGATGTCTTTTTGTGACAAAACGTGTGACGAGTTAGGAAATTATGCGTCTCTGATTGATATATAAGTTCTGGTGACCTATTAATACATACTTAGCATCTATATTACTCTTTGCTAACTTCTCCAACTGTTACAAAAATCTTGCAACACTTTTGCAATGGTGCCATATATTTCCGATATATAATACTTCTACTCTAAAGCCTATGTTAAGTAACTGAATCTAAATTAGGTAATCTTCTGGTTGGCTCTCTATCCTATTAATATCTAATGTAAAGAAAGTTTATTCCAATTTCATACTTCTCCCCATTAAATTCATCATTATTGTTACTTAATAATTAAATTGCTACTTTCTATTTGAAGAGAAAAGCTATCTTCTCGATTTAGCCGATAATAAAAAAATGCTGATAAAGACTGGTTATCACCTTCATTTTTTTCCTTTTCGTGTGAACAAAATGGCATTCCTTGACCTGGAGATTAAGGTTCAACACAGATCACATATGCAGCTTCTTATATATGTAGTCTGGGTGCAAATTTTAACTTTCACGATAAGCTCCAAGCAAAGCATTTGTCTCCTTATTAGCATGTCTCGAAGTATGACAAAAAAAAAACCTGTATGTAAATATTTACAAAGATCTGGGGATGCAGGGGCAGCGGAAAGAAGGTCGAACCGGAAGAGAAACAAAAGCAGGCCGCAGGAATGCTAAGCAAAGACCTGAGGGAAGTCTTGCATATAGCCCTATATTTTCAGATTCTCAATAAATTGGCCCCCGAACCCCAAACAAGAATGGAACCCCAGCATAATGACCCAATGGGGTTATTGGGACCGCGAAGTAGGACCTCTGGGGACATCCTTTCGGGAGTTTAGAAGATTATTACAAGAATGAGCGCTTAATAGAAAGCTTATCATACTTAGCATCCGCACTTCGCTGACAGTGTCTGCTGAGGAGCCCCATTCACCATCAACAGTGCAAAGTTCTTAAAAATGGTTCAATGAGTAAAGTATCAAGATACTGTTCGCACTTGACTACAACCAGAGTACTCCATTTCAATAAATTCCGAAATAAGAATAGTTTGACACTTGAATAGTGACTTGGAAGTAAGGACGCTAGGTGAACTGTGCTTGTAAACCTTACATGATCGTAGAAAGGTTAGTAAAGGACACATAGAGGCAGATATATATGCAAAAGAAGAAGAGTTTTCAAAGCGGTCGAAAGATGTGATTTTATCAATGCTAAAAATACACTAGGCTACTCTGTTAGTCCGAATATCGTCATCATGAATCTGACGTAGCTATATAAATCAAGTGAATTTAACCAAGTACACGTACAAACTGTAGTCATGTGATATTTTTTTATTGAGTGATGGTGTTAGAAATTTCCCGAGCTCTAATTATTGATAGAATACTTGAATGATCCGAAATCAATAAGGTGTCATTTGTTCAACATAAGTTCATTTGTCTCATGCTTGGAGTCGATCGAAAGAAAAACATAATAATGCAGCAGGCCTGTGACTCATGTCGACTACGGAAAATGAAATGCTCAAAAGAATATCCTCAGTGCTTGAAGTGCAAAGAGCATGCATGGAATTGTGTATACTCTCCGAGGAGGATAAGGACCCCATTGACAAGAACATACGTTTCAAAGGTTGAGAAGAGAGCTCAAAACTTAGAAAAGTTATTGAAAAGGATCTTACCTGAGGACGTTGAAATAAATGATTTACTTCGAACCCAAAATAATAGTGCTTGTGAAAGTAGCGAAGATTTTAATGAAGATGATGGGATAAGCAATAAGTTTTATAAACAGATTAATTTGACGACAGAGGAGTTGCGTCAAGTTCCAATAACGTTAAAAAATATAGATAAGATTAGCCAGAAGAAAGCTAAGGAAACGCGGAATGAAAAGCGATTGGAGTATCAACCTGAGGATTATTTAATCAATATACGAGAGAGTGATTTGAATTCTTTTGACGAAAGAGGGGAAATTATTAACAAATCAGAAGTATTATATGATTCTAGTATTGATGGCATGGCTGCATTGTCAAATGATACTGGCCTTAACTTTGACTTAAGTAATTCGAATGGCTATTTTGGGATCAACTCAAGTAACGGGTTATTGAAATTTTTGCAAGTCAAGTCTGAAAAAAATGGGAACAGTATCTTAGAGTTGAATCTGAATAACAGCAATGACCAGATTGAATATGATGACCAAGATTATGAGGAAAACTATATTTTGGATGAGGATATTAGTGTTATTTGGAAAAGTATTAAAAGTGGTAAAATAGATGACTTACTAGATAACCTTGAATTCCAAGCAATCGTTATCGATTCATTCTTCGAAACGTATTATAATGTGTACCCTTTCATTAACAAAAAAAATTTCTTTACCCAGTATGCAAAGTTCAAAAACACGACGGAATTAGTGAATTATATGTACTCTGATGAATTCAATGACTATGACTCGCGGCTTCTAAGCTTTCAGGTTTTGCTCAACACAATTTTGGCTATAGGAGTGTGGTGCAAAATTGGTGAAAACTCTAATCTTCATTATTTTTACTATCAGAGAGTAAGGAGCCTCATACAGCATTTGAACATTTTCGAATATAGTGATATCAATTTGTTGGAAAGTTTTGTGCTATTGAGTAATTATGTACAGAAAACTAACAAACCCAATACGGGATGGAGTTATCTAGGGTTATCTACAAGAATAGCTACAAGCTTAGGTTTACATAAAGAAGTCAAGGTAGATGTTGACACATTTACATCTGGTACAGACCACAATGACTCTCTAAACTTGAAGTTATTCGAAAACATAGAGGCTCGAAAACGTCTTTGGTGGGGCATGTATTTTTTTGACGTTGGTACGACGTTGACTTTCGGAAGACCGCTTACTATTCCACCGCTTGCTACTATTGACTTGGGTCCTGTTTCAAACGTAGATGATAAAATATTGAGTAAGGGTGCAAGTATTAAAGATTCTATCGTCCATTACCCAACTATTTACACCACTTTGATTTATGAATCAGAGCTAACTAAGATATCAACTAGAATCTACAATTACAACTCTTCAGTTTTGAAGTTGAAAAATGATAAATCCAAGATGATAGGATTGTTAGAGATGAACGAACTTCTAGTAGATTTTGTTAAGGCGCTACCGATTTATTTCAATGAAGACGAGCAAATATCCAAGGAAGGAATATTGGCTGACTGGCGATATTCTGACTACAACGACTCAAAAAATCCCATTCCACCTTGGCTCTCATTATCTAGATTAAGATTGATCTGCAGGTATAAAAACTTAAGAATTTTGATATTTAGGTATATCTTATGGGAGTCTGTATACGAAAAGGAACAAGACGCTGCCTATTTAAACTTGATAAAAAAATGCCATCAAGTGTGTTTCGATTCTGCGATCGAGACAATAAGTTTAATCGACACTTATATAAACAATTATCAATTAGACTATTTGTCTTCTTGGTATGCTACTTATTTTTTGTTCCAGGCCGTCTTAATTCCTATCTTACAACTGGTGATTAACTATAACGCTTTAGCAGGAGCCAACGGCCAAGATGAGACAAACTTTTCTCAAGAAGCGGAATTATTTAAATTCATCGACATTGCAAAGTTCAACTTCGATAAATTAAAGAGATTTAATAAATTGGCTGGAAAGTTTAGAAAATTGATAGACTCTTTGGTTTCTGGCAAGAAAATCATTGAGCATTCTGCCGATAATTTCAATTGGTATTGGGACGATGTTGAAAAGGGCCTTGAAATGTTCGGAAACTTGGACGAGAACTTTGACTCTAATTTTTATGTACAATAAAGTTCACAAAATGCAAGATTTAAATAACTTGACCATTAATACATGCATCCAATAAAATAAATAAACTGACTTTGGAAATACATAGATTGAAATAAATCATATGAGAATGAATGAACTTTACACGTTTCTCTGATTTCGACAAAGAAAGATAATGTAATATAGTATTACAGCGCTTGAAACCTTTAAGGCAATTGTATGGAATTTTGTATTAACTTTTCAAATAAACCTCGAGAATTGAGTGAATTCAATTTGGGCCGTCACAGTAGATCTATTTGCAAGACTATTTCAAAGAGATATGACAAACCATATGATCTCAAGTCTTTCTATTTTCGGGAACAGATCTCTCTTTTGGGACGACTATAAGTCCTTTTTCTTCTTTAGTTTTACATTGAACTACTTTAAGCAAATCATAAACCAAGGTTAATATCGGTGCCTCGACACCATTTTTCTCTGAAATTCTCACAGCATTACCACAAATCACTTCTATTTCAATGAAATTTCCTTTTCTCAGGTCTACTAACATTGAAGGTGAGTAGTATAGACCATCATCTGATCTTATCATAGTCTCAATGACACTTTCAGGAATGTCTGCACCATCTGACTTAGCAATATTCAACACTTCTCTCATTGCTTTCCGAACAAGACTATCTACTCCTCCAAACAATTCCAAACGACCTGTATCAACGCCAGTCAAAGTACAGATAGTATTAAATGTAGCATTATATACCAATTTTCGCCATCTTGTAGACTTGACATCTTGGTCGTAAGTACAAGAATTGAGGCCATTTGCGTATATGTCAATAAAATTGTCACAGGCCTCCTTCTCTTCTTTCGAGTCAATATTTTCATTATGAAAATAACCTATTTTCAATGCATCCTTGCCTTCATGGTCAATGAACCCATTGTAATTGGTAGACGAAATCATGCTAACGCCGCTCAAAACTTTATTCTCAGGAAAGCGTTTTAAGATAGGAGCCCCAATGTCAATACCATTTTGAAGCAAGACTATAGTTGAATTTTTTGTAACAATTGGCTCAATGATATCTTCAACCTTAAAAACATCAGGAATGTTTTTTGTCGTAACAATAATAAAATCGAATGGATCAAATTTGGAGGCATCCTCTACACTTTTGACAATCTTAGAAGGCTTGAATCCTTTAATATGGCCATAGTCACATGATTTAATCTCAAATCCTTCTTTCTTCACAACATCATAATCTGATCTAATGACTAATGTCACTTCTGCTTTACCTCCATACTCCAAACCATATGCCGCAATTGCACCAACTCCACCGGATCCAACTATGATAACTTTGGATTTCGTCATTTTGCTCTTTCTCAATTCTATAATATTTATAAATAATTGAAGTGGCGACTTTGGCTCGATTAAGTACTATCCTTATCAGCTTTTCCGAGAAAAGTATTTGGCGACGTTTTACCGATGCGCGGTTAGAAGAAAAATATCAATTATTGTTTTACGATCGATAACGCGTTAAGCATTATGTTATTTCGTAGAGAATTCTATAGCTGCCTGATTCTTGGAATTGTCTCGAAGTAGCTCAGAGGAGAGTTGTTTTATTTATGTTCTCTTTAGTGTTACGCATTTAAGAGATTTGAATAGGTTATTTTCCTAATCCCGATCTTATCTACTTGCTTAAAGAAGCATCATTGCTCGACTGCAAAATGGCCCGAAGATAGCTCTAGAAATACAAAATAAGAAAAGACAAGAAAATATCTCTAGTGCAAAATACTCCAAGATTCTCAAGTATATCGAAAACGCATCTTTTGTAAGACCTCTTAAGTAACTTCAAAAATACGTTAAAAAACTGTTATTGATGCACTTGAAGATAAGAGGTAGGCAAAAACAAGATATTACATTATCTTAGAGGGAGTTGACACTTGTCAAATCAAGACATATATTTGAATGTAGTAATTAAAAACCGAGAATTGAAAATTATAGTCATAACACAAATTAAAGCATCCATCTAAAGTTTGGGTTCGCAGGACCTTCTCCCAATTCTGAAGTCGATATATCTTTATAAGAAAGGGTTACTCCCTGTTTCTTGTTTCGTCTTCTATTGTCAAAAATCATAAATATAGAAATTCCACATACAATCAAAATTGCTAGACCACCAAAACCTGCAGTAATACCCAAAGCTGGCACATACTTGGGGGCGTCTTGTGGCCTAAAGATATTTGTTGAAATCAACCCTGCTGCATTAGCTAAGGGTACACCTATCGCGCTAATGACAACACGGCGGTTTTCATTGGGTGTGTTATTGTTGTACCAAGTGGATGTCAAAACAGACGAAGCAGAAACGCCGGTTGTCATTAAGAAGCAAGAGAAATAAGCAGCACCAAGGTTCTTTTGAACATCAATAGTACCAAAAACCACAAATCCAATTAATGTCAGTAAAACAGCAATACAAATAAATATGGATCTTACCTTAAAAAGGTCAGATGAAAAACATATTATGAGTAATGAAACTGCCCCCCAAACATTTGGAGCTACAGTGTATAAATTCGTTTGAACAGTTGATTTTCCCAAAACAGCAATGATCTGAGGAAACCAGTTATTAATTGAATTAATTGGTACACCAATACAGATTTCTTGGAACATCCAAAGAATAGCAACTGGGTGTTTAAAAACTTTCAAAGCATCCTTAAATTCCATCTCCACACCTTGAAGAGCTGAAGAATCTGTCATCACACGGTTCTTAGCACATTCTCTTTCCTCATCTGTAAAGAAACTGGCAGATTCAACTGACCTTGGAAGAGCAAGAAAAGCAATAGTGGCTATTACAACTGTGCAACCACCTTCAATTAAAAACAATATTTGCCATCCATGTAAACGGGAACTATTGATTTGAAAGACGCCAAATGAAAGTAAGCCTGAGAATGCATTAGCGATGTTCGCTGCAGCGTAAAAGATGGACAATCTTCTTGCTAGTTCTAAACGTCGGTAAAACTTGGTCAAATAAAAAATAATCCCTGGAAAGAACGCCAGTTCTGCCATTCCCAAAAACCATCTTGCTGTCATCAAAGAACCAAAATTAAATGCCGACACAGCCAAAAGGCTAATAGCTCCAAAAGAAAACATCAAACATGGAATCACATTAGCTGGCCCATATTTTTTAATGACTAAGGAAATAGGAAATGCACATAACACAAATGGTATATAAAAAATCGATAACATCAAATTCCAATGATCGCCTGCAATACCTAGATCAATATCGATACCATCAGTTTTTGCGTTACTTATGTTTCCTTTGTCAAGAGCATTAAATAGATACATGATAGCTGCTAAAGGCAAAATTCTGAAGTCTAACTTCCTGCAAACTCTTCTTTCAAGTGCATGATCAATATAGTGATCATTCAAAGGAACTTCTTGTCCATTGGCTGAAATAACCTTCAAGTCGCTTGAAGAGTTCGATTTTTTCGACTCCACATCGAGATTCAATACAGAACCCTTACCCATATCGATAATTAATGAATTGAATTCTAACTGAGTCTCCCTTGTTGGCCAGACATGCTTTATTTATATGCCTTGGCTTGGGTGATTATGATTGTTTGCCCACTGATGACCAAAATAGTAACAGAATAATCGGAGAGATTTTTTGAATTACGGGGAGCGACTTGGTGGCAGGCAGTAAAGTCATAAGATAAGCAACTGCCCCCACCAATTCTATTGTTGTCCAAAATAACCCACCATATAAATACCAATGAAAATTATAATGACCTAAAACTCCTTAGCATTAGTATTATCCATATATAGAGCCTCACTATGACAGCGGAAAAGATTACATGGGCGGCAATTGATGGGCAGGAACATCCTGTGTTGGGACCCGCGTGGAAAAGTAATGGCCATGTTTTCACCTCAGGTATTGTGGGCCAAAACTATACCACTGGAGAGATACCACTGTCACTAGAGGAACAGACAGAGTTAGCTATTTCTAATGTTAAAAAAATCTTGGAGGCATCTGGAACCTCAATTGACAAGGTATTTAAAGTCTTAATGTTCATTTCACATTCTGATTACTCCTCAACTATGAACAAAATTTATGCGAAGCATTTTCCTCAAAAACCAGCAAGAAGTTGTGTGGTTGCTGCGTTCATGGATGCTGCGATTAAAGTTGAGTTGGAAGTAATTGCATCAATGGACTAATTTTCATATAAACTGTATGTAAAGGAAATAGTTTAATTTAAATGTCTTGTAATAATTATCTATTATGTAAGCAGTATTTATTACTTTAACCCTCCGTAATTAGATGATTCTCTAAACCAGGCACTTTAGCCATGAGTAATACAGATTCACAACCAAAGAAAAGAAAAAGAAACTATGGCATATTTTCCTGTGATATATGTAGTAAACAGTTCACAAGGAATGATCACTTATCCCGACACAAAAGAAACCATGATCCGCTGTCGTTAAAATATATTTGCAGTTGGTCAGGATGTAATCAAAGATTCTATAGGAATGATATTAAAGAAAAACACTACAAAAGACACATTAAGAGATCAAACATTATGTTGGGACTAGAAAGCAATAACAAGAATGGTTTAAGCGATCAATGCAGCGCCGAACAGAGCGTAAATAGTAGCAATGTGATGGGTCAGAATGATGATACGTTTTCTGAGAAGCGTGAAACAGGACAAGAGAACTCTTATGAAAATATAGCACTGAATATGGGTGTTTCAGAACTAAATAAAGTAAACAGTATTGTTGATGTTCGAAAAGATGTTAGCTCCTTACAACAAGCAGAGCTGTTGTCCCGACCATACCCAACTGAGAGCCATCCTGTATTGATTAACAAAGATTCCACCACCAATGCTAGAAATGGGCACGCAATAGACATGGGTTTATCACTATCTTCTGGCCCTCAGAGCATTGTAACGACCGATTTATTGCAACAATCTAGTCATGGCACTCTTCTGAACAGCATTTCGGCCTTCTCTCAACAGCTTCAAGAAAGCAATCGCAGTGAAACAAGTGAAGCTGGCTTTTTAACAAAATCCCTTTCACCTTCTGACTTAATTGACTGGCTTTTTCAGGATGATAATTGCTCTGATAAGGGCCCCCTGAGCTTAGACAACACTGGGGCATTTTCCAATAGAAACTACATTGATTTTCATAATTCCCATTCTCCTGTATCTTTGTTAGACCAGATTTTGTCTGTTTCACCTAATTTTCCTAATTCAAATAGAAGAACAACAATTGACGAGACTGTTAGAAAAAATATGATAAAAATAATTCCATCGTTAGGATTGAACGATGATTTCAGCTTGCTTGGAATTGAGAAGTGTTTGGAAACTTATTGGTTAGTCTTTCATCCACAATATCCTATTTTGCATAGGCCATCGTTCTCCAATTTTGAAGCACATCCATTGCTATTGCTTGCGATGATTATGTTAGGCGCCAGTTTAAGTAGCTGTATCAAAGATGATGGCAATGTGATGCACGCTAACCCTGAAGCTTTGGCCATGGAAATAGCTGAATCTTTAAGATGGCTCATCTTTGCCCACCCTGACTGCAAACCTCCTGCTAAGGTTTGGGTCATCCAAAGTTTACTTCTATTGGAAACTTATGAAATTACTAATAGCAGCAGGGCATTACATGAGAGAGCTTATCTTCATCATGGTACGAAAATACAAATTCTTCGCCGCTCTCCAATTTTAGGCGGTGACCCGTTAAAGGAAGATGCTGAAGACGGATCTTATGCATTACAAAGTCAAGTTTGGAAGAAGTGGATCGAGGCTGAATCGATGAAAAGGGCCACATTGATGGCTTTTTATTTGGATACTGTTCATGCTACTGTGTATGGCCATATGGTAATCCTTTACGCTCATCAAATAAAGCTTTCGCTTCCTTGTGATGATAGCCTTTGGGAATTTGAGAACATGGATCAAAAGTTTGAAGTGGTTTCGCCAACAAGGACTCCGAAGTTCTTGGTTGCCTTGAAAAAAGTCTTAAACAGGCAGAAGGTTCATACAAATACATTTGGAAAAAGGATATTGTTAGCCGGACTATTGACAATTATGTTTCAAATGCAGCAAAAGGATTTGCAATTATCTTCCTTGAATTGGAACTCCATTAAGGATTCTTGGAGAGATACCATTTCTCTTGCAATTGATGTATGGAAAATTGATGTTTCAGAGGGAGGATGTTGTAGTAACGAAATGTCAGTCTATTCTGCACTTTACGATCAAAATAATTTGCCGCCAATGCTTAGAGCTAACGACAAGCGTTGCAAGTTTTGTCTCTATCATATATCTCAAATATATTTACGCATCACTCATTATGATTATATCATATATGCGGGAGCTCCAAGCAGAATGAATGTGGTAGCTAGCTCTTCGGAATATGAAGCAGTGTCAAAAAGAATAGTTGATTGGTCGAATAGTGAAAGTGGCCGGATTGCCGTCATACATTCTTATTTGTTTCTTTGTGAAATGTTTTTGTCTCCTGAAAATGAAGATTTAACCTACACCTACGACCCTAATTGTGATCCACATTTGCATAGAAAAAATGTCGTAGCAAGTGCTATTTTGGTGATATTTGCTTATAATTTTTCGTTAGAAGGACCGGAGTGTGATATATTTGATAAATATGATATATCTGGATATTATCCTGCTAAAGAGAATGGCTATGATTATTTACGAAGAATTAGAAGAGAACTATCAAGGGGCCCGGGAGGTCAATTTCATGCCTTGGGTGCGAATAATAGTGCAATATACCACAATTCAATAAAGTTACACGCGGAGACTTTGCGCAATATAGAATCAAAAAATCATATTGTCGGCTTATTAAAGATCGCTTACAAGTCCTACAAATCTTGTAAATGGGAAGTTGGATTTGAGTATTCAAATCTATTCAAAAATTGTATAGAAAGATGCTTGGGACGAAAAAAGACAACCTGTGAGGATATGTATGCATCTAAGGATTAAAGTAACAATTTATGCATTTTTGTCTAGTATACTCCTAATTGCTGATGGCGCTTTTGACCGCCAAAGTAGTATCATTAATTAGATCCTTCCCTTGCTGCAAAACCTCATCCATAACCATCGCGGTATGAGGCACCTTGGGATATATTCTAATTGTAGTTGAAATTCCGTTTTTCTTTAATTTTTCAGCATATTCTTCAGCCTCTGATCTCAAAACGTCACATTCAGCAGCTGCTATGAAGCAAGGTGGGACCTTTGCAAAACTTTCATCAGAATAAAAAATTGGAGACGATTCTGGATTAGTCAACTCTTCTTCCCCATTTTGTAGATATAAAGTTCTATACCACAACATTTTCTCAGATGGTAGTTGTGGAGTGTACTCATTCTCACGCCACGAAAGATGAGTTTCTGGCGAGGCGGAATTATCTGTGACGGGAACAATCATCAATTGAAATTTAATCTTTGGGAGCAGAACAGATAATGGACTTGAAGCATACTTATGAGTGACGACTGCCGTAAGATTACCGCCTGCTGACGAACCACCCAAGCAAATTTTCAGGTTGTCTATATTCAATTCGCTTGGTCCAGATTGGAATGCCCACATTACTGATTCAAATGCATCATCTACACAAGCTGGGAACGGATGCTCTGGAGCCAACCTATAGTCGACAGTCACCACAATGCATTTGCAAATGTCGGCAACCTTAGTGCAATAAGAGTTCTCTGTATCTAAGCCACCTAAAACCCATCCACCGCCATGGAACCATAAGAGAAGTGGAAATCCTTCGGCTGGTACGTCGCCTTTTGGAACAAAAACCCTAGCTGGTATTGATGTAGGTGCGCTAGTATACTTCCTTGGAATTTTGATATCGTATATCTCAGCCATCTCCAACTTGGGTGATTGGCCGGGAATCACATTTCCTCCTTTTCTCAATTTATCTAATGGTACACGATGTGTATATATGATATTTGGTTCATAAGCAACGGTTGTGTTGAAAAATTCGACATATGTTGGATCCAATTTTCCATGCATTGATTCGTGTAATTTAAAAGGAGTTTCCGGTACTCCTCCTTCGAAAGAATAATCAGCTTGAACTTTAGGCATTTTTTGGTTTTATTTGCTTTCGTTCGATTCTTCTAGCTATACATCTACCCCTTTTACCGCTTTTATATATCAAAATGATGTTCATATTGTTATCCTGATTGGTACAGTTTGAACAGCGGAGGTACATTCCAGTGGGGGGTAATATCTTATCTATTTCCCAATATGCATTTCCGGTGTACAGGTAATACTTTCGTGTTAGATCTAGTTTAACGTTTGAAATAATGTCCCCCACCATAAAATCTTTATATTCAGAATAACTTGAGATCAAATTAAATACTTGACTATATCGCATTACTTAATATTGGTTTTTGAAGTGCTTACTTCAGAAATGTTTCCAGCTCAATTATATCCCCTCGCAGATAAAGCTACTTTGCTTAAAAACTACAAAGGCAAAAATGTTGAAGACCTTCCGACGCCATCTTTCGTTGTTGATCGAGGAATCTTTCATAGGAATTGTGAGAGGATGTTATCCAATGCCACGAAATTGAAAGCGGATTTCAGGGCACATGTAAAAACTCATAAGACCCTAGAAGGCACTCGCTTGCAATTGGGTACTGGCTCTAACACGACGGACAGAATCGTCGTATCAACTCTACTGGAAGCTTGGGGACTTATGCAGTTAGTTGAGGATGGTCTTATCAAGGATATACTATTCAGTTTACCTGTCGTGAAATCAAGGTTAGGAGAATTAGCAGCTTTGTCTTCCAAAGTTCAGAACCTTAGATTGATGCTAGACAACGTCGAGCAATTGGATACGTTATCAGAATATAACAAGCAGAACCCTGGTACTAAGAAGTGGTCAATATTTCTCAAAATTAATATGGGTACTGACAGAGCCGGTTTGGTGACTAAAACAGATAACTTAGACGAAACTTTAAAAAAACTATTGACCGACAATGATACGAAAGACAATGTTGAATTATATGGGTTCTATGCGCATGCCGGTCACTCATATTCTTCCGATTCTCAACAGAAAGCGAAGACATTTCTACTTCATGAAATAACTCATGTAAATGAAGCAGCTAAAGCAGCCATTGAAATTGATCCCAGCTTGAATAATTTACAGCTTTCTGTCGGAGCAACGCCAACAGCTCATGCCTCAGAAGTTTTATCGAATGAGAGCGTGAGTTCCTTATTAGGAGAGGAATTGAGTGGTAACTTGGAACTTCATGCTGGAAATTATCCATTTTGCGACTTACAACAAGTAGCCACAAATTGTATAGGGTATGAAGATGTTTCATGCAAGGTTATGGCTCAAGTTCTTTCCACGTACCCTAATAGAGGAACAAAAAGACCTGGAGAGCAACTCGTAAATGCTGGTGTTATTGCTTTAGCTAGAGAATTTGGCCCTATACCAGGCCATGGGAAAATTGTTAAACCCAGCCAATATAATAATTGGATTGTTGGTAGGTTGAGTCAGGAGCATGGGATATGTGTACCTTTAGATGAATCAGTGAAGACAGAATTTATACCTTTAGACACGATCGTGAGTATCGTTCCGCAGCATAGCTGTATCACAGCTGCTTCCTATCCTTGGTATTACGTCACTGATGGTTCCGATGAAGTGGTCGATGTATGGGTTCCTTATAGGGGATGGTAATACATGTATATATGTGTATATGTGTATATACATAATCGAACTTAATGCCAAAATTTAATAATCAATGTAAGTGTAAGTAGTTAGAATGACACATTAGAATTAAATAATAAAAAAATATGTATCAGACTAAGTATTTAAATACCTAAAAAAGCACCATATTTAACTATAAAGATTTTTCAAGTTGTGCCAACGTCTCCAAATCTAATTTGTACTTCTTGTATGAGCCTAACAGAGATACGTTATTTAATGGAGGTCTGCCTCCCAAAAATTTCCCGTAACCATAAATTTCTTTTAATGCGTATTTTACACCGATGACGTTCATCTCAGCTATCATTCTTTCTGCCCTGGTTACGAAATATTGTATCCTAGAAGCTTCTTGAATATTTCCTTCCTTAATCAAATTAAAAAGCTTCACCATAACTTTTGGAAATAAAGCAGACAACCCGTCTATGGCGCCCGAGATCCCAACTGACATTGCTGGCACAAGGATTTGACCTAAACCAGTGAACGCCTTAAAGTTGGCTTTACGAATAGTTGGACTGTTTCCAACCAACGTGTACAAATCCATGTCAAAATGTGTCAACTTCACCCCAACAATATTAGGGTGAAGAGAAAGAGCCTCATAGGTTTCAATTGTTAAAGTTACATTGTTGCAAGTGCCTGGATAGTTGTATATTATAATCGGCAAGCTGGACTCATCAGCAATTTTTGTGAAATATTCAATGATACCTTGCTGGCTAGTCAAGGAAGGGCCAAAATAACCTGGAACCAATAATATGATAAAATCAGCACCAGCTTTGAAAGCTGACTTGGACTCTTCAATTGCTTCTCTTATGCATCCTAACGGTGGCGCTCCTGAAATAAGTTTGAAGTTTTCGTCTGGTATTGCAGCTCTGATTGCTGACACGATATTGTACCTTTCACGGATTGACAAATGCACACACTCACCTAAAGATCCTGAGACTAGCAACCCTGTTATACCGTTCGTATACAACATTTTTGCATGTTCAACTTGGCTCTCTAAATCTAAAGAGTTTTCAGGATCATCTTCGAAGAAGGTTGTAACTGGTGAGTAGATCCCTGAAGGAATTATTTTGTTGCTTATCGTCATTATTATTGAAACCAAAGGCTGAGATAAATATAAGATGCAAAAGTTTTCTCTTATTATATACGAATATTGAATATTATATACTTGGTAACCAAGACCTCAAAATTGATGCAAATACTAATGACTATAGGTGGAGGGACTTCTGCTCAATTGGATGCGGGTATGCTCGCAACATATTACTAAGTTTGGAAATGGGGAAGCTTGTATATAAGAATATGTATGGTGGGGGTGGGGGGACAATGTACCAAAAGCTTTCTCCTAAACCAACGATCGTTAACAATTCGCCCCATTCTAAAGGAGCAGTGAATCAACCAGAAGCAAGACATTTCTACAAATTATAGGTGCATCTAGAATTATTTCTTTAGCTAGTAGCGTATTTTTCTGTCAATGTTTACTCCTATACGAACTTTGGAAAGATATTTTATGCACAAGATAAGATCAAATGATCGCCTTTAGATTGGCCTAAGGAGTCAGTGAATTCACTGAGAAATGATTTCTTCAACTCAATTTAAAACCTACGTTCAGCAAATGTGATTCAGTAAAGTTTTCATTCTCTCTTCAAAGCAGTATATATTTCAGTAATCATATTAGGAATGTGTTTTATCGTTTAAGCCCAGGATTTCGATGTCACTTTCACATTGGAATTGAAAATTGGGCTGTTAAATACCTTTCTTTGGTTGCCCATACCAACCCAAGCCGTAATTCAACTCACATTTAGAAACCTTCCATTCAAAGTTTTGAATTGATGAATTTAACTCATCAACTTTCTGTAGAAGAGATTTGATGTCTTCTTCATCGAGCTCTTTAACAAACCTCACGATCGTTATATGCATTGTAGGAGATAAGTACCTTGGTTGGGCTTTAATATCATATAGGGACACACTTTCAAAGACGTCCTGTCTATACCGTGAGCTGCATTTCCCAACAGAAGTGAAAGAAACAGCGATAGCATTGGAATCAAAGCATATCAATGGCTCATTGAGAACTGGACCATCATTTGCAATTCTTAATATCGTCTCAATGTGAGGAAGAACCTCCTCTACAATTTTCATGATTGAAGATTTAGGTAAAAGCAGAGCGATTTCTAATACAGTCAAGTGTAACAATTCTGGAGGCAGAAACCATAATGCCTGGTTAGCCTTCACAGAAGACTTAATTATGTTTTGAATTAATTGTACTTTTTCTGTTAATGATTCTGAAGGCCGAGCAACAATACCACAAGTGTACCTGTTATCTTCAGTCACACCTGCTAAGATTGGATCAACATTTATTTTCATAGTGGAGAGAAGTCTCTCCAGCATACGACGATTATAATCTTGACGAAATTCATCCTCTTCTTTACAAGTCGGGTACTTAAAAGTGAGTTCTGAATAAATATTAGACATCGTTAAACTGGCATCTTATTTTAATAGTAAGTCATCGTACTTAATTTTATTTTTCTTTTTGGCCAATGTGGATAAAAAATTGACAAAAATCAATGAACAATGATTGATATTCAAAATATATTAATGGATCCGTTATAGTGGATACCGCAGATCCTATGTACTTATTAATGATTTACTTCTTAAATTTTATTTCGACTAGCTACAGTTATTAACCAAGCGATCTTTCATTTTCTCTCACACATTCAATGAACTAAATATTACCCATAAATACTAGAGCGTGAATACAGCCAAAAAAAGTGCAAACACGGTATTCGATATATACATGCATTTCCTATGTTATGTCATTTTCTTTCATTATCATTCTCGCGAAGGACTTTTCAAGATAAACTTATAAAATTGCCGTCCATGAGTCTCATGGTTGCGTTAGCCAAAATTTTGGGAGGGTATTCGTTGTTAAATGAGTGCAACGTAGGAAATATCTGAGCTAGCCTAATTGTTATGTAAGACGCCTCTGTTAAAGCAAACTGCTGTCCTAGACAAATTCTCGGGCCACTGCTAAAAGGCATATACGCCCAACCAATGCTTTTAAGATCTGACCATCTTTCTGGCCGAAATGTATTGGCATCTTTCCCATAATATTCAGTCAGTCTGTGCATACTATAAGTGGAGTAAACAATTGTTTGTCCCTTTTGAATAAAAATTGGGGAGATTCCATCAGGGCCACCACCTTTAGGCAAGGTGGTATCTTTTCTGGCAACTCTTAAATTATTCGGAACTGGAGGATACATCCTCAAAGTTTCATCTACAACCCATCTCAAGTAAGTACATCTTTTCATCGACTCAAAGGTTATGTCCCCAAGATTAACGCTATCATTGTTTCCAAAACAAGCATAAATTTCTTGCTTGAGCTTCTCCCATATAACAGGGTTCCTTGATAGTTCAAAAAAAATAAACGACAAAAGACTTGCGGTAGTGTTTCTTCCGGCTAACATGATACTCAATAGTTCATCTTGAATAACCTTTGGATCTTTTGTTTTCTTTACCAACTCGTATAAAAAGATATACCCATCTTTACTTTTAGATTCCAATTCTTCTTCGCTAGTTGCTAGTGCTTTTTTTACATAATATTGAGTGAAATCCTGAACTTTTGCATTAGCCTGACGAAATTCTTTAGTATTGATTAGGAAGTAAAATCCACCCGCAATCAGTCTAAGCATCAAGTATTTTTGGGAAATATTGAACGCTTCTTCAAAATTGGTCCTAGTATTGTGTTCCAAGCTACTAATATTATTTTCAGTTCTTAAAGTTTCAATGGATTCCCCAAAGAGAAATTCGGTAGAGGCATCGAGCGTTAGATTATGAAATAAAGGTTGTATGTCAAATGATATTCCATTTTGATCACGCACATGTTTGCAAAAAGCCTGTAAATGCGGTTCCAATGATTGAATATGTGCTACCTTTTCCTTTACAAACTGTGGTTTCAACATAAGTCTAGAATGTTTCCATCTTTCTCCCTCTGAAGCAAATATACCATGTCCTAAGAGAGGTTGGAAGTATTGTTGTCTTTGACCGATACTGAAATCATTAAACTGTATTGCAACCATTGCTTTAACATTCTCGGGATTTTTGGTTTGAATTATGTTCTTAAAAAGAACAGAAGTATACATCGTGTCGGCATTACTTTCTTCAAAGCTTTTTCGATGCTCTTCTGGTAGCCTTCCTGCTTTCCATACTCTCAAAAGTTCTATAGGTCTTCGAAAAACATTCCCTTCGTTAGATTTCTTAATGGCTTTACAACCCCATTTATGTGCAAGAAATGTCTGCTTAGCAAGCTGAACTAATTTGAATATACTTATAGATAATACAATTACTATTAACCAGCCATTGAGCTGGGATATTTCCTGATGAAAGTTAATCATGGTAGCTGTTAATGGTAACATTCATTCCAAATCGCAAAAATGAACTCTTAAGTAGATTTTTGATGTGGGGAGTGCGCTATGAGCCCCCAAAAAAAAAATTATCATATGTCAAATAGTGCCTGTTTGTTTAAGGTTACCTATAGGCTCTTGTAAAGCACACAGTAGCAATTTCAAAATTGTAGACTAGAGCTCAGGCACTGAAAAAATTTCAAGTTTATTATATCAAAACAAGCGTTTGTACTAAAAAATAAAGACTAATAAAATGTGTTCTACTTAATTTTAACATGCTTCAAATTATTTAATTTAAGCAGTTTCAACATAGGGATAAGCATTTGTGAATAAGTCATCATTTCCAGGGTCTTTGTACGAAGGCTTTAAGAACTCAAGAGGATTTTTCAATTCGTAAAAACCGCAAAATGGCTCACTTGTGGTTAATCCTAAAGCTTTCAAAGCATCAACTGATAACGACTTAAAGTATTCAATTGGTGTACCCAAGAATATGTTTTCTTCCTGTCTGTTGGTACCCTGAGTCATGAAAAGAATAATCAAAATTCTATGTTCATTTTCAGTAGTATTGGCACTACCTCCATGGTAGCATGATGCCAACATAAAAAAGCAGTCCCCTTTCTCTAATTCTGCGTAAACACATTCTTCTTCCTTGGGCTTCCTAAAATGGTCCCATAAATGAGATCCCGGAACAAATCTTGTTGCTCCATTGGCTACTGTGGTCTTAGAAAGACCCAAAACGGTTCCAACTGCAGTTTCGTATCCATATTCGTATTTATCCATTTTATGTCTGATATTATGATGAAGAATATCATCGCGGTGCAACTCTTGATCTTTCGCACCAGGACCAACATCAAAAGTAATTGTTGAATTGTGTTGAGCTGGTGAAAATCCAGTTGCCGCTCTATCTCCTACAATAAAATAATTCTCCTTTGATAAGAAGTTATTGGAGACTGCAATATTTAACGGATGAGCTAAAAACTTCTCAGCAACCACCTTTGATTTAACACAGGTTCTACTAGCTCTCCTGGTTTCTTTGGGAAAGAAACCTCCCTCCCATGCCTTATCGGCATCCAAATAGGGCCTTACATCTTTCAAGATTGCATCGCAATCCTCGAGTGATAAATAGTTCTTAACCAAGCAACCACCATAAATTTCTAGTTTCTCTATTATTTTCTCAGCAGTTACAGGCTCATCTACTGTGAGATCTTCCTTCGTAACCTTCATTGTCCTCTCATCAGGAACAGTTCTGGCTTTTGCTTTCTTTACTCCGCCATCCTCGAAAAGTGTGACATTATCAGCAGTTTTAGAGTATACTTGCATTGCGAATTCTCCTAAAGTTATGATTTCCTTCTTGCTGAATGAAATATGAACGTAGCAGATATATAGGTATATATATATATATATCAGCTATATATATTTTTATCTTTTCCGCTCAAGAGGCTGCATCAGAGTTCAACTTTAAGGTGCGCCTACATTTTCCCAATTCAGAATTTGCATCCGCGAAGCTAACAGAGATAACCCCCCATGATAAGAAAACCTTTCTACAAGGTAGATTTACCTTATTTCAGGCGACAATGGGAGAAAGAGATGTATAAGTGAGAAGCAGTAAGATTTAAATTAACGAACGATTGACATCTGAGCAAAAATTCGATATCAGTACGTGAAAACAGAAAGACTTCGTTCGTAAGATTTTTAATGGCATGAACCCCGATAGATAGAAGTAAAGATTTCGCGTAAGAATGAATAATAATCGCTTGCAAAAGAAACAACATGCTTCATATTATGAATTTTAACCTAAAATTCAATAATTGATAAAGACCGTATTAGGGCCACTTCAATCGTTTTTGTGATTTTCGGTGAAAGTCCGATCTTTCTTTTTTGTTTTGAGTTCTATCATAAATCCTATGTGTAGTATTGTGGCCAATACTATGTCGCTGATAAAAAATTACTGATAAGTTCTGATTAAAAAAATGCCTATATATAAAAGAAATCCGAGATTTTATTGTCATCCATAAAAAATAAATACTTTTAATGGGAACATTCACCAGGACTAGGACAGGATGTTGGACTTGCAGGAAAAGGTATGTTTATTTGTTCTCTTTTATGAGAGTATAACTAACGAATCAGGCGCAAAAAGTGTGACGAAGGAAAACCCTATTGTAAAAATTGTACGAGGCGTGGAAGAAAATGCGAGGGATATGATATTCAACTTCAATTCGTTGTTGATAAGAATAAAGACGTCTCAAATAAGAGCTCAAGGAAGGGATTTTTTATAGCGAATCCCAAAAGCCTTTCTAGCTCGTCATCTGAAGGCACTAAACATATTAAAGAGCAAAACCCAGAGCAAAATCAAAATCAAATTATCGCTTCCGAAGTATCACAAGGAATACCAGTCAAGGTACAGCCTTTCAGAAACCTTATCCTGAATGAGTCTTCTGATAAGATGATAGTAAGGGTTGAGAACCCAACTATTTCAAAGAAGGAGACGACAGAAAACCAAGAGATTGCTACAGTCTATCCACATATCGAAGAATTGCTCAGTCCAAAGTCCAATATTCAAACCATTGCAGATACATCGCCGATTTTGAAAGACTTGCCTGTGGAATCCAGCTCTAGCGAAGATAATGATAATGACTCTCAAGATCTGAACCATTTTCTGCTTCTAGATCAAGTAATTCAAGATTATATGATTCGCTTAAAGGATTATGGCACAGCCCAACTAAGTCAAAGACAAGAAGGTCATATTTTAGCTCTTCCGAAGCTTTTATCTCATAAAGAAGAGAATATTCTTTTGAAGCATTTTTTTGAAGAAGTATTGCCATTATTGGACGCAAATCCTGCAGCACCATGGGCCAAATTGACCTTAAGCTATTGTAAATTTGATGTCGCAAAGAATTGTTTTTTATGTATTGCCAGTGTTCATTTACAAAAGAGAAAAAATCATCAGAACCAAGAACTTTATACAAACAGCGTCACTTACTTGTCTTCTATAATGGAAGTCTTCTTGAAACTAATTGGTCCTAAGAATGTTGCGGCAGGAATGAAGATTACTAGTAATGATGCGCTGAATTCATTCATGATATTAGTTCTCATATACATATTCTTGATATATACATTTATTGAAAGTGGAATCAGCTCTTCGGCAAGACAATGTTTCCTGGTATTTGATAATATTGTGAGTGGAGATGAGCTTTTGGTTCACATGGCTGAAAATACCAGTAATGAAGACTTGATATCATTGATAGCAGTGTTGTCTTGGTTTGACTGTATTGCTGCTATAACGTCTTATGATTGCAGACTACCGCTTTGTCAGGATGAGTGGTTCGGTAGTGACAATAGCTCCTTTTCCCTTAGAGAGATAATGGGTTGCCCCCGACAAATATTTGTTATATTGAGGGCCATTTCAGAGATTCGTTACAAGTTAAGACGAAACATTTTAACAAATAACTCAATTAGCTTAAGAATGTCATATGATAGTCTTGAGGCAAGAATCGTGAAATACAGAGAATATGTAATCCCTGGCCTTGAGGATGATAATTATCAATGTCAGCTTAAATGTGCCCAGTGCTGGGCTATTGCTGCTTATGTCTCATTGATTAGAGTGATCAGTTATAACGAAGTAATGATAAAGCCCTTAATTAATGAATTTTTAGATGTTTATGGTACTTTGGATCAGAATGACAGGATAGTAACTCAAATGATATGGCCATTGTTTATTGTTGGGTGTGAATGTCAAAATAATAAAGAAAGGCTTACTTGGTTGTCTTATATTGATAGTCTTTATAATATTACTCTTACTGGTGTTGTTTCAAGCACGAAAAAGATTGTCACAGATATTTGGGAAACGCAACAGCCTGTTGAAGCATGCATTATGGCATTTGCTTCCGAAAACAAAGATTTTCTTCCTGTCTAGCACACTTTTCGTTAATATTATTCTTCCATTGCAAAACATCATAACTAGCATCTTACTGAAGACTATGATGTTTTTTGGATTATATGATATCTATTTATTCTGTTTTTTAGATTATTATGAATCCGAAATGTAATCACTGTAATTTCCTCAAAATATTCTTAAAGTATTTCAAAGTATTTCAGGCATATATACAATTGAGTAATGTGGCCCCATTGCATTGTTATGTGAGTTACATATACTGTAATTTAGAAACTAAAGCTATGTCAACAAGCAGATGTATATTACTTTATCAAGAATGCATTTAAAATGATTCCCTGAATTTGAAAACTTTAAATAATCAACTAAATATTTGTGATGCCTTCTCTTAAGTGTTTTTTTGTTACCAAATTCCAGTAAAGATTCTTTGACTTTTTCCTCCAATATGGACCAGTAGCAATCATCAAAAGTGAAGTGGAGAAACAAGCCAAGCAAACAAAGGCTGCTGTTATAAAACAATTCTGATATCCCATGTTTGTTACCCATGGGGAAATCCCATAATTGATTGCAAAGCCCATTAAATTTCTAATCATTATAACTACGACCATACATTCACAGGACATTTCATGGTAAGTATCAACCACGTACGTCACGCTGACACTGCAACCAATTGGTGCTAAGCCACCCATTAAACCAGCTCCAATCACTAGTCCAAACCAATGAACTTCATGTGCAGCACCTACTCCCCAAAGAATCAAAGATGCTGGCCCCAAGATCATGTATAATATTAGGGACCACAAACGATCTTCTGCTAAGGATAATCCATTTCTTCTTCTTGCAAGTCTTATCTTTAAGTAATCCAAGATCCAACCTGCATATGAATAGAATATTATAGCGAAGATCAAAGGTGAAACATAAACCACTCCAGTCATGTTACTCGAGAAGTTGTATGGACTGCTAGTGAGAACCAAAGAAAGGGTTGCATTCATAACCGAATACCAAATAAGAGCCGAGCCATACAAGAACCCTGACCATAAGACCACTGGAAACATACACATTTGGAAAGGTCCAAATAGGTAATGAAAAAGAAGAAACTTTTTTGATGGGCTTCGAAAACTTAACTTTTCTACGAAAGTTTTTTCCGGTATCTCTTTATTAATGTGTTCTTCGGTACTCAAGATTGGGGAAATGTTAGAATTAGTTTTCTCGAGGTCAATGACCTGGTTAACATTTATGGTTTGTGGATTTTTCTCTTCGATAGACTTAATTTTTTCAATAGCTTTAATAGGAGCTCTACTATAGCCGCTTTCTTCCATGAATACAAGAATAAATACAAAAGCAACTGCATTCCAAATACAGCTGAAGTAAATAACCCATTTCCATCCCATCCCTGTTTCGATAAAACCAGCTACTAAAGGAGCCAAATAGTTAGAACCAAATACTGATATCGCGTAAACTCCCATCCATGTTGCTCGTTCATGTTCAAAGAAAACATCTGATATAGATACCTCTGGTAACGCCTCCACGGCAGCAGCAACAAAGCCTTGTAAAATTTTGCTTCCTATCCAAGTTCCGCTTGTCGTTGCATATGGTTGCCATATACTAATTAGGCAACAAGCCAACAGTGAAAATAAATAAACTGGACGTTTACCAAACTGCAAGGATAAAGGAAGAAAAATCATACAACCTATTCCGAGGAATAAGAACATGTATCCCGTTCCATCATTTAAAGTATCCAACAGCATTTCGGTGGCATCAACAATTGCTGGAAGGACAGAATAAATAGATGTTGTCGGTATCCCAACACTAAACACATAAACAACAAGGCAAAACATGTGCATATACTTTCTTTTTCTTGACCAGTTTAATGGATCATTCGGGTCATCTGATGGTGTCGGAACTAAAATAACATCGTCTCGTTTATTTTTGGATCCATGCATCTCAAGAGCTAGAGGATCCATTTCAACTAACTTCGTGGTTCCAGGAACCTCGTCAACATTAAAAGTCATTGTGTTACTTGTCTAATTGGTTTTTCAAAGTCTTGAACTATGTGTAATGGTCTTTTTTAAATGCTTTATTGTTATCATGAGTTCTGTATTTTTCAGTCTTATCTCGCGCTTGAACGCACCTTTTAGGGTTGTTTTTATGCAGGCATTTCGATAACGTTTTATCGATTCAAATAAATGTTGTTTATGCCGAATGATAGCGCTTAAATTTGAAGCTTTCAAGAAAGTGTGAAGTCCAACCATTTCTATGTAAACTTGATGACAATTCTTTTAACTCATCTCATGCATATGGCTGGATAAAAGCTATCATGTTATACCCTTAAAATTATTTCCACCTTTATTCGTCCTTGTCACAAGATTGTCAGCAATAACTAGTTTTTGTTTGGGCGATAACTAGTTTTTTTTGGTTATCTTTCTCTTTGATAAACAGGTCACCAGTCACTTCCTCTTTGATTTCAAAGCTTATGAGCTAATCAATGATATTGTCAATATATCAAAAAGATATATAACACACAAGAGGAAACTACATGTAAAGCTAGACCAAGTTTTTCTTTCAAAACCAGCTTCGAAGTATATCTGCTAGTCGACGTATGAAAGGTTGTTAAAAAAAATTTTACTTTCATGGCTATGAGCAATCTCAAACATGAGCTGTAGTTGTACTTTTGCATTGATACAAAAGGAGAAACAATAATATATAGTCTCTTTGTTATAATATTTGTAACTTGGGAAAAGATGGCCGTGTTTCAACAGTAAGATCTTAACAAATATCCCTGGAACTAAGGATATGAAAGACATCAGGGGTTTTCATAATGGAGAAAAACTGAGCTAGCAGATCACCGCTCCATAATAAATGTAACTAGATTAGGAATAAGACTAATTAAAAATGTACTATCACCAAAAACATGCCGTTTCTTGGTAAATAGCGTTTCTAATTAGATTCTTTTGAAAAGTAACTTCAAACCAGTTGCATTCATGTTAGGTCTCCGACTTTTGTAGTGTCTTATCCAATTTTTCATGAAAATTTACAGTCCTCCGATAGAACCATGAATCTGAAGCAATCGTATTTTTAATTACATCTCTACAATAGGTTGGTTTTCTTTTAGTTCTGATACATGCTTCACAAAACTACTATCTACTGTTCTGATTTATTTTTTCTTGCGCTAGATTAATCCTTTTTGGGCGAGTTATGTGCATTACAGATATTTGTTTTCTTGTAGAAACCATCGGCACTTAGCTCAACGTATTCTATGCAGCCGATTAGTCGCGCTTATCATTACTTTTTTTTAATAATCAAATACTTAAGCTCGCGGTGATAAGAAAATGGGCGCCAGCAATGTTTATGCTTCACGATTCTAGATACACCTATAATTTTAATTTGCGCTTATTGTATTTCAAAACGGTAGTCTCAGGAGGTTGTTATGAAACAGATCAACTAAGAACCATCTTTTCATTATTGAATAGGGGAATTATAATTTCATTTATAAAAGGTCCTTCTCCTTCGTTTTAGTATTTTCATGAATGTCGATCTTCTAAAAACATTAAAATGATATACTCCGAATTCACAGATAACACAACTGATCCTGTTTTATTTGAAACATGGAAGCCAAAAATTGCAAAGTACTTGAAAAATTTAGAAGACAGTATTGTAGTTGAATATTTGGCGCCAGCAGCATTAGTTCCAGACGATCTAGATAAACCTTTCAATGCCACCCTAGTTGCTGATAAGGTATTGTCCGAGAAAGAATTGGATATTACTTCGAAATCTGCGTGTTGTTTGGCCAAAGAAATCTCCGAAGGAAAACTTTCTTCTCTTGAAACTTTCAATGCGTTTGCCAGAAGAGCAATTATTGCCCATCAGTTGACTAATTGTGCTATGGAATTCTTCATCGATGAGGGGCGTGAAAGAGCAAAAGCTTTAGATGCTTATTTCAAAAAACATGGTAAAACAGTTGGTCCGTTGCATGGATTACCAATATCCTTGAAAGAGCATTATAATTACAAAGGTAGAGTGACCCATGGAGCTTATGTGTCACTTATTGAAAATGTGACTGAATCACATGCTACTACTGTTCAAAACCTTTATGATGCAGGTGCTGTGTTTTATGTTAGAACTACAGAGCCTCAAAGCTTGATGCATTTGGATTCAATTAATTTGATAACAGGCCGTGGTAGAAATCCTTATAATACTTCATTAGGTCCGGGTGGCTCCTCTAGTGGTGAAGGAATCATCGTGCGTATGGGAGGGTCTAGTATGGGCGTGGGGACAGATATTGGAGGATCGATTAGGGCTCCTTCGGCATTTTGCGGATGCTGGGGTTTAAAGCCAACCCAAAAGAGAATTTCGTTGAAAGGTTGTTCTACGACTATCCCCGGGCAAGAAACCGTTTACTGTCTCATGGGTCCCATTTCTAGATTTTCTGAAGATTTGAGCTTTTGGATGAAAAGCGTAATCGAACAGAAACCTTGGAAATTTGACTCAACATTAGTTCCTCTCCCATGGAGAGAAGTGCCGTTTCCAGAACCAAAAAAGCTTAGGGTTGCTATATCTCTTGATGATGGCATTGTGCGTCCCCATCCACCTATCGAAAGAGGATTGAAGTATGTAAAGAAAATTTTAGAAAAGAACGGTGTAGAAGTTGTCGAGATTGACTTGCCAAGAACGTTAGAGGCTTTTGAGGTAGTAAATATGATTTATTCTGCAGATAGCAATAAGGGTCAGCTTGACGCCTTAGGAGCATCAGGAGAACCTTTGACTCATTTAACAAAATGGGCAATGGGTTATGGAAAAGGCACTAATCCAGTCAGTGTTTATGAATTAAGAGCACTTACTGCTACTAGAGACTCAATTAGAGACGATTACTTGGAATTAATGGAAAAAAATGGCTTCGACTTTATATTGGGCCCCACTTATGCTGGTGTTGCACCGGTTCCTGATACCCTTCATTATTGGGGATATACTGCTTTGTGGAATCTACTTGATATGCCAAATGTCATCTTCCCAACAGGGCTATTCCAAGATCCTTCCATTGATCTCGTTGATGAGAAATATATTCCCAGAAATGACATTGAGAAATATGAATATAATTTGTACAAAGATCCAGAAGTATTTAGAGGAGCTCCAATCAGTTTGCAGCTCACTGCTAGAAGATATGATGATGAAGAATTGTGTAAATTTGGTGAATTTGTAGATGAATTGCTAAAATCTTCATAAATCGGAATCGATGCTTTTTAAATGGTCAATCAAAGTACTATTGTATGCCTTGAGAACATTTTACTTAAATTTGGTTCAAATCTAGACAAAATAATTCATGTAATCCAATATAGACTTCGAATAAACACTCTGTAATGTATTGCATTAATACTATAATTCATAAGACATAATGTTTTAGATGCTTCTAACTGTCACATTAAACTATTAGTACTCCGATATAAATGGGATCTTTATTTCACTCAATTATTGTTTCTTCCTCACCTATGATTGCGCACCTTACATATTTATAATTCAGGAGAAAAATTGGTCTAAGATCTTTCTTGCCTGATTCTTTCATAAGAATAGGATGGGTATAAATAAATGCTGTTTAAGCTTGGTAGGTAATATAAATAGACAAAAATTCTTTCGCTATACATTTGAGGCAAAAATCATCCTATAAAGCCAGTTTTAAAATACATGCGGCTTCAGCTGGGAATTATCTTCCCTTTCGTTCAAAGCTCACTTGGGTAGGATCGCTCTTATTGCCAGAGAAGCAGGCTGCTGCATGAATAAGAAAGGATACTAGATAACACATTACATTCAGGACCACCTAGACTATTTAGTATGCGCTAAGCGCGATTGTTTATTTCGGATATACCAGTCTCACTAAAGCCTCATGTGCGAAAGTCTTTCATAAGCTGGTATGTATGTCCTGAAAGTCATAACTTATCTAGTCTGATATTTCTCTCCCAACAGATTAAATGCTCTCAAAACATGCTTAGTCTATTATTTGCTTTCCATATCTGGTAAAGGCATTTAAAAAAATTATTCTTTATCAATCATATGCATATTTTCACAGCTCCAGTCTTACTTACTTAGTGTAATCTAAGCGACAAAATCGGCAGTAGCCTATTGTTTAAACATTTTTCATATAGCAGGATGGTTTTCAAGTACATCTTTGAGGAAATTAGAGACACGCAGTCCATATAATTTAAATGGAGAGAATCCCGTATAATTTTCGTTTATTTAGTATCCATCTTCTGAAGTAAAAATGCTTGAAAACAAAACCGTCGAGTCAGTTGAATATACAGGAACCCTTTCAGAACATGGCGTTAAATGTTTAAATGTGAAAGGGGAGCAGGAACGTGTAGCGGAAACATTCAATCTTTCCCATGCCATTATTGTACCATCTAACAAAAGTTTTGTTTTCACTTCTGGTCATATCGGATGTGATGATGACATGTTCTCCTATACTCCTAGTATAGAAGTTCAGATGTTCAATGCTTTCGAAAACATTGAAAAGACATTAGTCGGGGCTGGCGCTCTGGATGGCTGGGGTAGTGTTATTCAGTTGACAACATATCATTTGAACGATATTCAATCTCAAGAATTTGGCGATGCTTTGAACAAGGTATATGAAAAGTATTTAAATAAAAATAGACCAGGATGTACTATATTAGGTGTAAGCCAACTTGGTATTAAAGGCATGCTAGTTGAAGTCCAAGTCACGGCTATTATTGACACTTAATCAAGCTATACCTCTTCTAAAGCTAGTTAATTTTAGTAAGAATATTTAACAACACATAAGTGGACTTAACTTCAAAATATCACTACAAATAAATTGTAATACAAATAAATGAAAGTGAGAAGACAATTCTATAATTATAGGGTACATAAATAGTATTCATTTATAGTAATCTTAATGTCTTTATTAGAGAAAAACTTGAGAGTACGACAAAAAAAATTACCGGGCCAGATGATTCATAATATCGTGTTCATCGTAAAAATATCACTAATTTCAATATCAGGAAAATCTACAGGTGTCAGGTAAGATCAAAATTGTCATTTTGATCGCAAATACTCTATCGAATATATTTACGCCATCGCGCTTTTAAACGTTGGCTGCATACACATCACTTAAGCGTATTTTGTATATTTTTCTGAGAAACATAGAGATCCACGAAGAGACCCTAGAATCATGCTTTCACGCTGGCAGGGAATTCCGAAAAGAATTTCTTATGAGAGAGGCGTGAAATCGACATTTCATCTCAGAATATTCGAAAGGACATCGAAGAGCTGTTAGAGGACTAAATACATTTCTTTCTTTGTTGCAACCTCTTCTTGTAGAAGTATGTGCATGTGAAGCGTTTCTGCGTGTCTTTTTAAACGGCGCTCCCCCACCGTTTTTTTTTTCATCTCTAGAAACGCCACTTTTTGACCGCCTAATGGGGAAATAGCAATTAAACTTTGCTGCAATCGATGGAGGTCCGACTTTAGCATTTGGTTTATAAGTGTCTTGCAATCATCAAACTGCTGGCAAACATTACATATTATACTTTCTGAATAAATTTTGAACAATGCAATTTGAAGGTTACGCTGTTACTGATCCAGAACATTATACAACGGTTGAAAAAATCAAATTCACTCCTAAAACATTTGATGACCATGATGTGGACATCAAGATCATAGCTTGTGGAATTTGTGGACTGGATTGTCATACAATAAGTGGTGGTTGGGGTAAATATAATGTTCCTCTTATCGTAGGACATGAGATTATTGGTCATGTTGTGAATGTTGGAAAGAAAGTTTCAACACTCAAAGTTGGAGACAGAGTTGGTGTGGGTGCACAGGTTGGTGCTTGTCTTGAATGTGATATATGTAAGTCAGGTGAAGAAACATACTGTCCCCATTTAATCGATACATATAACGCTAAATATCCTGATGGATCAACTGCCTGGGGAGGATATGCATCGCACGTAAGATGCCATGAATTTTTCACATTTAAGATTCCAGATAAATTGGAAACAAGCGTGGCTGCTCCAATGCTTTGCGCAGGCATAACAACTTATGCCCCCATTAAAAAGAACTTCACTGGACCAGGGATGAAAATTGGAATTATCGGAATTGGAGGTCTTGGCCATTTAGCAATTATGTGGGCGAAAGCGTTAGGATGCGAAGTCTTTGTGTTTTCTAGAGGAACAAAAAAGAAAGATGACGCATTCAAGCTAGGAGCCGATCACTACTTCGATCTGACACAGAAGGAGTTTGGCGAGAATTTGAATTACAAGTTAGATATGATTTTGTCTTGTGCTAGCTCCTCTAAGAGTTTTGACATAAATGAATTTTTGAAGATGCTTAAGGTGAGAGGTAAATTCATTAGCGTTGGTTTACCTGAAGAGCCCTTCAGTGTAATGGCTCAAAGCTTTACTGGAAATGCATGCTTCTTAGGCTCTTCTCACCTCGGTAATAGAAAGGAAATGTTTGAAATGCTCAATTTAGCTGCTGAAAAGGGAGTGAAAACTTGGGTTGAAACAATTCCAATTAGTGAATCGGGGGTTAAAAAGGGATTAGAGAAGACTCTACACAACGATGTTAGGTATAGAGTAGCCTTGATAGATTTTGATAAGCAGTTTTAAAAGTTGAAATTTCTTAGAACCTTATATATATATTAAACTTTGATTTTCCACTGTCTATCTCAAAAGTCTAATGGCAATCAATGTAGCTGACTTAAAAATTACTGCTTCTATCTACACTTATTCCCGTGAGACCGGTTGTATATAAATTTTTGATTGTTTAATGCAAGTAAGAGAAGCTCAAGCAAAACTAAACAATAATTATCTCATTCATAACAATACGCTTCAAAGGTCTACATCTGAAACCTGGGAGCTTCGATTTTCTAGATTCTGGTTTTGCGCATATAAATGAAAGATCTATTTATTTTGGACTTATTTTACTTCTTTGGTTAACCAAAGCACCAGAATCCGTTATTAATCCACTCAACCTCGTCAGCGACTCCATTTCTTCCAAAGTCTTTCATCATGGGTAAAAAATTTTTATTAGAGTCGTCGTATGCCCACTCATTTTTGGCCAATCTTTGAACAATAAAGTTGTGAGTTTCTTTATCTTTTGTATAAATATCCTGGACACTCAAAGAGATGGGAATTTTTTCAAGATTAATAAACAAATCAAAACTGTATTCGAAAATTGTCTGTTTCAAATAATTTTCTATCAAAGCCAAATCTTGGGTAACGATTTCAGGCTCAATGGTCACTGATAAATCCGTAAAAAGTTTATGTACCAACACGCCTGAATAATCGATATTACTGCCAATAATGACAAAAGTCTCTTTCTCTAATAAGGGATGTAAAATCCTCAAACCGATAGTTCTTTTGTGAATTCCAAAATTAGAGTAAACTGTATTGTCTCTATTGAGGAAGGCTCTTATCAGTGATGATTCATAACTCGTACTCCTTTGAAATTTTGCGTTTTCCGTATCCCTATAGGATAGATACTTAGGATATACGATAAACCTATCTATATCGGCGACATTGTCTGACGTTATATTGAGTAATGCTAAATCTCGATGCTCTTTAGACAAATCTGCTGCTGATTTTGAGATGTTTTTGATTTGAATATTCAAAGTTAACCAATTCATTCCCGGAAAACTTTCAAACCCAAATTTGGCATATAAGTCAGACACTCCTGAGTATAGAGTCCAATAGTAATTATATTTTTTTTTCCTTATGTTTTCTCCAAGGAATTTATCACATTCTAGATTATCGGACGACTTATTCAAAAAGTGGTATCCTTCTGTTTCATATTTTTTAATACATTCAGATATCAAATATCGAAGTAACCCACGTCTTCTATATTTCGGATTCGTATGTACGTTTCCGATTAATAAGTTGAAATTGTCCATATTTCCTTTTTTGTAAAAAATTCGAAGAGAACAAGCTATTCCAGTTTCCTCACTAAGCTGATCAAGGAGGTAGAACTGTTGCCATGCATCTGTGGATTTTTCAGCTTGATCCAACCCGACATTGACAAAAACATCTACAGGCAAGTTCCCCTTGAATGGATTCGCGGTAATCCTTATTATTTCCTCCATTATCAGCTTCTTGGAGGCAAAATCAGTACTGTTTATCTGTTTAACCGCATATTGTGAATATTCCATCTTACTTTCAGATTATCAAGAATCAGTGAATTAGAAACAACTATAAGAATCCAGAAACAATTTATCTTGTCACCGATGGAAAAGGATGGTGTGACACCAAAAAATACTCTGTGTATTCTATTGAATCCAGATTTTCTTATCAGCTAGCCGATCCTACTTTTCGGTATTCGAAAAGAGAATATATGTCAATGTAACATACAAAAAACATACCCAAATAGTATACGCATGCTGCTATCTATTGTTAAAAATAAGAATACAATTTTTTGGGCAAAAAATAATTGTAATTTACTTCTAAAATCCGCTAAACGAGCCCGTCAAACTAATCTGCTGCGAAACTTGGCGCGCACGATCTGCGGTTTCTTTTTCTTTCTATTGATTGAAAGAGGAATGTTTAGACGCAGACAGCGCTAATCTTGATCAGAGTACAAAACGAAGCGACAGTCACTAATATATACAATAATAGTAAACCTGAGAACATCTTTTGATGGGAAATTATTGAGCCACCGTAACTCCTCCTTTTCTGTACTCAGGTGACAATCAAGATAGTTATAATGTAACATATATATTTTTCATGTCGAGGTTGTTGTATGCTTATCAGTGGAATATACATAGTGCTCTTTTTAGATAAAATGTTGATTGCGTATTATATACACCACCAGATTTATCATAAAAAGATAGTTTTATTCTTATATGGATAGATGGTTTTATGATCTTTGTTAGACAGAGGCTTGACTAAATATAAGTTTACTTGAAAAATTGCATAGCTTCTTTTTTTGAATAGAATAACTATAACGATGGAAAAGACTAGCTCAAGGAACATCATCAAAAAAAACCAAGAGCAAATCATTTCAATTATCTCTACGGAGCCAGCGAACGATGATATTGAAGAAACAATATTGAAAGCAAATTATGTCTCAACCCAAGAAAAGCAGATTAATGTTTTTGAAGCTTTGAAAAGGTATCCAAAAGAGATTTTTTGGTCTTGCTTATTCAGCTTGGGCTTGGTGATGGCCGGTTATGATGCACAGATTATATCCTCATTGTATGGTTTGAATGCATTCAATGAGTACTTCGGCAGCAAGGACAAAGATGGTGTCAAAACACTCTCGGCGGCATGGCAAACTGCTCTTGGTATGGGTACACCTATCGGTCAGATCTTAATCATTTTTTTCGCATATCCCTTGGAAAAATTTGGTCGCAAAAGAACCTATGGTGTAACGGTCCTTGGGTGTATATGTCTCGTGTTCATGCAATTCTTTGCTTCTAATATTCTGGTCCTATGCGCTGGTGAAATTTTAGCTGGTATTCTATGGGGTGGCTGTGTTCTAATAGGGCCAACATATGCTTCAGAAGTTAGTCACACATCAATAAGAGGTATTTTGGAAGCTGTAAATAATCTTGCTTTTGTAATCGGTCAGTTCATTGGAAATGGCGTTATGGATGCTATGTCTAGTCGTAATGATATTTATTCATTTAAGATACCTTTTGCTGTTCAATGGATTTGGCCCGTCATAATTTGCTCCTTTCTATTTTTTGCTCCTGAATCTCCATACTGGCTAGTGAGACAAGGAAAATTAGATGAAGCCAAAATCGCTTTAAAAAAGTTGAGCTCCAGAGATGAGAATGAAACCTTCATCAATGACCGTCTTGCACTAATTCAGGAAACTAATGAATTGGAGAGGCAATTAGAAGAATCCACTTCTTATCGGGATTTGTTTAGAGGAACTAATGGCCACCGCACCGAAATATGCTGCATGGTTTACTGTATTCAAATCTTTTCCGGGATTCCGTTGTGCATGAATTATTCAACTTATTTTTTTGAGCAGGCTGGTCTTAATGAAAGTGAGGCTTTTCCATTATCTCTCGGATCTACTGCAATAGGTTTTGTTTTCACCTGCTCTTCCTGGTTTCTCATGTCTTATGTTGGTAGGCGAACACTTTTCACTTCAGGTCTCATTGCCACCACGATTCTTCTATTTTTGATCGGTTTCTTGGATATAGCTCCGACATATGAAACAAACTCAGGAATTCGGTGGGCGCAGGCCTCTTTCGTTCTTATCTGGTCCGCATTTTGGCAGGCTACCTTGGGTCCAGTGATGTACGTCTTTATTGGAGAGATTCCTTCGACTAAACTAAAAGGAAAGACAATAGCTTTCGCGACCGCTATGCAATCAATAACGGCCCTAGTTTTTACTATTGTTATGCCCTACATGTTGAATCCCGATGAAGGAAATTTGAGAGGTAAAGCAGGTTTTGTGTTTGGAGGGATGTCATTAATTTGTATCGGATGGTGCTACTTCAGGCTTCCAGAAACCAAGGGAAGAACTTTCGATGAAATTGATGTAATGTTCCATCGAAAGATCAGAGCCAGAGATTTTTCAGAATATAAAGTTTTGAATTACAGTGAAAAGACTCCTGATGATTTCAGTAAAGATCAAATTAACGACATTGAAACTAAGCATGTCTAGAATTTTGGAGTAGAAAATTTTGATATAATGGCCCTTTTTTTTTGGTGACTTTCGCTGCTATGCATCTTCAAATAAAAACAAGTAACAGGATTATGTTTAAGATCTGGCTTTCCCTTCGATTTCTGTATTAATTTTATTATTTTGCAGATAAATATTTGCTACTAAGAAGCTAATATAGTAATAATAGTGATGTTCATTAAGCAAATAGCTCTTTCGCTTTTTCTACTACCATTTCTGATATTAGTTTTAAGTTTCTTTGTATGTTGGCCAGCTATATTAGAAAGGTTTAAGTTATAACCTAAGATACTATATTCTTCTTTTCCGTGATATTTTATGCATATCAATTCAACCGGAAGAGATTATGCTCTTAAAAATATTTCCTAATTACTTGAGATTTTACCTGTTTTACAAGTCCAACTAGTATTAAGGAAACAAAGCTTGAAGAACAAAAGAGGGTTTTTACTAAGAAATCTTTTGTCTGATTGTCTCAATTACTCTTTGTATGGAGCTCATTCATCGCGTTTTCACTTTAAATTAAACAAAAATAAGAGTAACAGCAAAGGATTCAAATAAAAGAGATCAAGTTCTCTCTTCGATCCCTGATTCACTTTTATCGTTGTGAAGGTGAAAATTTTACCTATTAAGGACTTACTATAGCAATAATAGTAATAATCAAGTAAACAGCCCTTTCTCTTATTCTACTGCTGTATTTCTGATGCTCTTTTTAAGTTGCCTTCAATTTTGACCAGCAAAACCAGAGGTTTAATTTACTGAATAAAACAGTATGGTCATCTTTTCCCTTGAAAATTAGTCGCATAAAGGTGCAAGCCAATCGAAAACAAGAAGAGGTGATAATTATTAGGCTATCAAAACCATTTCGTATTTAGCAATCGTAAGCCCTAACCAAAACAGAAGCCAACAAGGATTTAACTACGGCATAATCCTCAAATATATCACATTCAATAATTTCATCATATAGAGCTCATGAACGCAAAATATAAATAATGATAACAGCTATCACTATCTATGACGTAAACCTAGTTGTCTTTTTTTTTTTGAAATAGTAACTCTTCCTCTCATCGTATTCGACATATTATCGGTCTTCACTTGCGTATTCACATATTCATTATACTAAGGGGATTTTTGATAGTATCTTCCTAGTCCAAATGGTTTTATATTGAGATAAACTGATTCATATCGGGAAGCTTCAAAAGTCTCATGATAGATTCCGATTTTTCTTGCTTCTAGGGGATGCTCTTTTTGAAGCTTATGGTATTTAAACATAGCTGCAGAGTGTCCTACTTCTTTATCGTGAGCAAATTTTAAAAGACCGTCATAACTACTGAAGTAAGCAATAAAGACCGTTGGGTTCCTACTTGGCTCATTGACACCAACGCATTGTTGAAATCCTAGGAAACCAAATTATCTTAGTCTTTGATAAGTTCTTTGAAAAAACTTGAAATCCACTTAAAACCCACTGAATATCTGGGTCTAGAATCCTAAATTAAAATTAATTCTTACCCCCAAATGAAGACATACTACTTTTTTCATACCGAAAGGGAACTTTGCAAATACTTTCTCAGCAACAACGTTTTTTAATATTTTATCGCCTCCTATTACATAATCCCAAAAATAATGAACACCAATGATCACTGGAATCAAATATGACAATTTGCCTAAAAAGTAAAAAGTATAAGCTTGAACTAATATTCCAAATGCAAGAATAACGGGAACCGTGATATTGTCCACCGAAATTCCAAGGCCAGTGACTTTGCCCCATTGAGGTTGCCTTAAGGGACTTTCGATTCATTCTTCTCTCCTTTTGATATGTCTTGAAAATCAATATGAGTATTGTAATTCACAGCACTATCTTTACTATAATGCGGAGCACCTTAATTCCATTTCAATTAGTAAGTAGGCAAGGAGAGCTCTCTATCGTGTCCAAACTATTACGGCGATAGCCCTTTTAACGCATTCCCTTTTAGACATTATTTTCTTCTCCATTTAACCAGAAACTAAGAATGTGCAAAAGTTAATAGAAAAATTATTCTAGTAATATTTTCGACTTGAATTATCCTGAGCTCTTGCACAGGTCCCCGTAACAATCAGTTTTCTTTTCGGTAATTCGCTAAAACAGTATGGTATATAATTTCGCATCGACCAGCCGAATTCGGCTACATGTGGCGCTCCGCTATCTTCAAATCGTAAGAAAATAGTCTCAATTATATATATACCGGTGCCATTAGATCCTCTTTCCAGACATATAGTAATGAAGCTTTACTGATATGGGACAGCAGGTATCAACGGATGGGGCGACTGAATATTCGGTCGAAACACCATTTGGAGTATTCAAAGGATTGACCATCCGTGACAAGGTAACTAAGGAGCCAATGTGTTATCGGTTCACAAATATAAGGTATGCCAACCAAGTAGAACGATGGAAAATGCCAGAAATGGTTTCGGACAATTACGACTATTCCAAGGAGCAATATAAGGATTTCGGTAAAGTATGTCCTCAGCCTCTAATAACTGAACCAAAGATTTCTTTTTTGAATAATGTGGCAGAGATGTCTGAGGATTGTACATATTTGAACATCTGGGCTCCTTTCTCCAATGACCTTCAAAAGCTGGATATTAGCGAAGTCTCAAAATTGCCTGTTCTTTTTTATATACATGGAGGTTGGTTACAATATGGAAATGCCAACCATTCCCTGGTTATGGATCCCAGGTCCCTTCTAGCTAGCGATAAGTTTGAAAAGTTTGTAATCGTTGCACCTGCTTATCGCTTAAATTCACTAGGGTTTATGAGCTGCTCAGATTTATTAAGTGAAGATCCACTCAATTGCAATTTTGGCTTCTGGGATCAGAGAACTGCATTGTTATGGACAGCAAAATATATCAAGTATTTTGGAGGTGATTCTTCTAGGATTACAGTCGGAGGTTTGAGCGCAGGTTCCTATTCAACTTTTTTTCAACTAGCATATGAACTTTACCACCCTGAAGAAGACCAACTAATCAAGCAGGTAATTTTTTTCTCTAACTGTTTGTCTGTCCAGCCTAAAAGCTTATCAGAAGCTGATTCACAGTTTAAAGAGTACTGCGAAAAACTTGGCATTGAGAAGAAATTATCAGGTCCTGAGAAATTAAAAAAGTTAAGGTCGCTCGATGTCAACACCTTAATTGAGACGATTCCAAAAATGAGATTGCATACATTTCGAGCTGTTTCTGATGATGATTTTGTATCCTCGAGTCTACTACATGATTTATACAATGGTACATATGCGAGAATGTTATCCAAGAGGGCCGTAAGAGTTATGATAGGTGAGGTCGATAATGAGCCTATCTTATATTCCTATTTGAACTCACCGTGCACTAGAGCTGATCTCTCCATTCAGCTAGAGAATTACTATCCAAAAAACACAATAGCAACACTTATTAGTCTTTACTATCCGAAGGGAATTGATGAAAATTCACCGTCGTTTAAAACAGATTTAAGAGAATTGTTTGGTCAAATAATTGCAGACACTCAGGTCTATGCTAGCTCTAGAGGTTTTCTAAATAATATTACAAAGCACAATCATTACTCTAAGGATAATATATTTCGTTACAAGGTGTCTTATGCTCCTCAGTTTGTGAGGGAAATGTATGATAAAGAGGGTATCGATGGTGTGATTCATGGGGGAGATCAAATACTTTGGTTTTATGCAATCCATAACGGGGTTCGCGGCGAAGAGGAAACAATCATAAGTGAATTTATAAAACCATTCGTCCAGTTTATTTATTTGAAAGACATCGGAGCTGAATGGGGAACTTCGGACATTGAACTGTTCAGATATATTAGTGCAAATGGAGAGATTTACACTGAAAAAGACACTTATTGGAATGAAGGAATAAAAAATGCAAGCAGGATTTATAATGCCCAGCTTGTTAAATCAAAATCTTCTTAATTTGATTTTGATTTTGATTTTATGCCATTTCAAAACAAACTCGATAAAATGTATAAGCGATATATTAATACTTCAATTAATTTCTAAAATAAGAGGTGTCTCTTTATCTTAGTTTTGTATTTATAGCTAACTATATCGCATTCAAATGGCCAGTTCAAATTTCTAATTTGCAAATTCGTTCCTCTATTTATGGCTAGCACGATATCCCATTTGTAAGCCTCACTTCTAGTAAAATTTCGACTTTGTTTCGGAATAAAAAATAGCTCAATCTCAGTTCTCGATTTTGGACATTATTTCAATTTTTCACGGGATTTTAAGTGATAAGATCGTTCTTCCTTGAATCTAAAAGCAAATTCGAGAGCATTATAGCAGACTGCGGTTGACGCAGGTCGTGGGGGAGGGGCAAAATTATCTCGTAAACGGCTTATCTTATTAACATAATGAGAGGCGGTACCAAGGTCGTTTTTCTATCAATTTAGTATAAGAATCCCATAAATTGATACATTACAATAGGATCATGGCCCATTAGCCGATTATCGACCTCAAAGAGGAATAATTACCTCGGAGGAACCTTATCTTGTTATTGAACCTATTGGCCTCTATCGGTGTTCAAGATAAAGGTTTTCTGAAGATATTATTGTTTCCTTTTTTGAATAAGAAACGTTTTGATATATATTCAATATCATTCACAATTTATAGGATAAATTTTTATAGATTTTAAATTTGGGCCTGCTCGAAGACAGAAACACCATAAGAAAGAATCAACTTTATAGCTGTTCTCCATTCTATTAAGAAAATAATGGTAGAGCCAATATTAGAACAAGCCTATGGCTATTGTTTTATCTTAGTACTTGGAGCTGCTTTTGCAGCACTAATGATATTTATAACCAAAATACTCTCAAAGTTTGTTGGTGAACAGCAAAGTTCTGAACATTTCACTACCGCCTCCAGGTCAATCAAAACTGGCCTTATTGCCTCCGCTGTTGTAAGTAGCTGGACGTGGCCAGGAACACTTTTAACCAGCAGTGGCATGACCTACTCATACGGTATCTGTGGAGGAGCATGGTATGCTTTCGCATTTACAATCCAGATTACCTTTTTTTCTGTTATTGCACTTGAAATTAAGAAGAAGGCGCCTGGTGCACATACTATTTTGGAGATTGTTAGAGCAAGATTTGGAAAAGCTGCCCATTGTGTATGCTTATTCTATGCTCTAGGCACGAATGTAATTATTTCAGCAATGCTTCTCTTAGGTGGCTGTCAAGCTATCAACGTTATTACAGGGATGCATATTGTTGCTGCTGCAATGTTGTTGCCATTGGGCGTTTGGGCGTATACTGTGACCGGTGGATTGAAATCCACATTTCTTTCCGATTGGATACATTCAGTTATAATTTATATTATTATCTTGATTGCAATGTTCGTTACTTACACTAGCTCTTCTAAAATTGGGTCAATTGATAAAATGTATGAATTGGTCTCTGAAACGGCGGTTGGAAATCCTTCAGCTGGTTACGAAGGTAGCTATTTAACTTGGTCAAATAGGCCCGCATTATTTAATGGTTGGAACATTGTTGTCGGGGGATTTTCTACCGTTTTCTGTGATCCCTCATACTCTCAAAAAGCTATAGCTGCAAAGCCTAAAAGCAGTATGTTTGGATACTTAATGGGGGGGCTTTGTTGGCTCATAATTCCGTTGGCATTATCAAGTTGTACTGCATTATCTCTGTTAGCTCTTATTCTGGATCCTAGCTCGCCAACATATCCAAATCCTATCGATTCTTTGAATGTAAATGAGGGTATTCCAATGTTATATGGATTATATTTTATTCTTGGAAAGTCTGGCTGTGCCGCAGGAATATTGATGGTTTGGTTGGCAGCCACTAGTGCTACTTCTGCCGAGTTGATAGGTTTTTCTTCGGTTATAACTTACGACGTATATAAGTCTTACATTAAACCCCAAGCGCATGGTAAAGATTTGGTCAAGATGTCACATATTGTTGTCTCAATATTTGCAGTTTTGATGGGAGCATTGACAGTACTTTTTAATTATATAGGAATCACTATCAGCTGGATTATTACATTTATCGGAATCGCATTAGGACCAGGAGTGTTTGCTTTCATATTAACATTGTTTTGGAAAAAGGTGACACCCTTAAGTATCACCTTTGGACCTCCGTTGGCAACTTTAATTGCTATCATAGGATGGTGTGTTTCTGCAAAATCATTATATGGCTCTGTAAACAAAGACACTTTAGGAGAACAATATTCATGTGCTGTTGGAAACTTTATTGGCTTGTTTGCTTCCCCAATATTCATTATATTGATCACTTTTATGAGGCCAATGGAAAATGATTATGATTTCAATCAATTGAGCTCTCAGTTTGTTATTGGAGATGATGCAACTCCTCAAGAAAGAGAAGCTGTGTATGATGAAGGGACACAAAGTTTAAAACAATTAAAGGGTTACTCAAAGTTGTCAATAATAATATCTTTTGTGTTTTTTTTTCTCTTTGTTTTTATTATTCCTTTGCCAATGTATGGTCAAAACTACATATACAGCAAAAAATTCTTCAGAGGCTGGATTATCTTAATTTTCGTGTGGTTAATCTTAGCAGCTAGCTTCATAATTTTCTATCCTATATACGAGAGTCGAGAAGTTTTAGCACAGCTTTGGAAAGTTATGCGTGGTGATCTGATTAAACAAGTATCAAATGGTCTGGACTTTGAGTCTACTGAAATTAGTGATATGCCTACAGAACCGAAAAAGTCGGTTGCCGAAGTTCGCGTTAGACTTTCTGATAAAAGCACGTGATCTAAACTACTGTTCGATAAGCAATTATTTTTAGTTTTTTACGATTATGGTCAGTTTCTTCCGTATCGTAGTATTCAGTTTTGGTAGTCTAGAAATGAACTAATATCAAATAGATAGATCGGTAAATGAAAGTACCCACTTAGTCCCTTTTGAAAATTCTTCGAGAAGTAAATTACTCTTACTAAAGGAACAAAAAAACATCTAAGTATTGAGGGTCAGTATTTTTTCTGTCTTAGCCTTAGAAGATCCAACAATGGGTGATATGGAGGATCTTAAGTTGTTTCAAATTCAATAACTGAACATTTAATTTTATTTTGGAATTGAGTTGAGATCATGGAAATGTAATTAATTACACTCCAAGAGCAAAACAGACGTCATCGCGGTAAACCTTTAGCTTCGATCATACTATAGTGGCATCACGAAATATACAGGCCAATGCAATCCATATGTCCAATGATTTCAAGGACTAATACTTCTATGAAATAGAGTTGATACTAGGAAGCTTCAATTGATTGTGAACTCTTTCTCTAAATTGATGATCTTTTTATTCCAATATTGTTATCTTTGGAACCAATAAAAGAATCAACGACATGATAGTGACTGTTTGTGCATCATGTGCTGACGGACTCTACAGAGACATGAACGTCATTTTTTTGAAGAATGTCATCTATGTTGATTGCCTCCCCAACGTCATCATCCCCAATTGTTTTTCTTGGACCAAAATAAACTTTCCTCGCGTAGATATAATAATATGCTGCTGATAATATCCATGTCGCACAAGTAATAACGACTGTGTAATTCATAGTTTCTTTGTCTACTTCTTTATTTGCTGGAAACATTACCATAACCACAATGAAACATATGAACAAAATAGCAGTCCAATTGACAATTGGAGAAAGTATCTTTCCTAAATAAAATGGTCCAGGGTGAAATTTTCCTTTACCATTAACCATTCTCAAGAAAAAAGGTGTACCCCATGCGATATAGTTAGCAGCAATGAATAAGGAAAATAATGCATTAGCCGCAACACTCCCAATGAGTACTAAGGTGCTCATAATTATCGATAAAATTCCACCAAAAATTACAGCTCTTATTGGAACAGAAATACTTTTGCTGACTACTTTGATATATTTGGAAAATATTAAGCCATTGTCTCTTGAGAATGCCCAAATTTGTCTTGATGCAGCAGTCAAAATGGAAACACCAATCAACCATTGACAAAAGATTATTATAGACATGATCGCAATGGCCCATTTTTTTCCCAAACAATCATAAATTAGCTGTGCCATTGGTAAACCAAGATCTGATTCTACGACTGAACTAATATCGGGATTAATGCAGGCTGCAATAACAATCATGATAACGAATCCCAAAATCCAGCACGCAGAAATTGATCCGATAATTCCAATGGGGACTGATCTTGCAGAGTCTTTTGCCTCTTCAGACATATGAACACAAGAGTCAAAAGCTCCAATAGACCACACAGAACCCATCCAACCATTTAAAAAGAAAACCCAACCAATGGGCCATGTCGTCATATTATCAAGGTTCCCGAAGATGAACTCTGCATCATTTCTGTTGTCTGTTCCAGCAGGTAACGAAATAATGAATATTAGTATCAACGTCATGTTAGCAAAAATTGCAAAACTTTGAAGTCTTGCAATAAACCCAGAAGCGATACAAGAACCAATAATATGGGTTATTATTGTTAAAACTGTGACAGCAAATATCATAGCATTTGTGATTTCAAAGCTATTATTCGAACCAATTGAAGCTGTAGCGAGCACGGCACTTGCAATACCATAATCCACTGCGCATAGTGCCGCAGTTAAGGCTACAGTATTGGTGTTACCTATTAGGAACGACAATTCAATTTTAATTTTTTCAGGAGAAAATAGATATGTCCAATAATATAGCCCCCCAGAAGTAGGTACAGCTGAGCCCAACTCTGCCATAGCTACCCCAATCAACAAAATAAAAAAACTTGATACAAACCAACCCCAAACCAAGCAAACTGTTCCACCTTCTAGACACATGGCTAAAATTGAAGATATTGAAGGTAGCAATCCCATAATCGAAAAGCTGACCCCAAAAACTTCTAACGTGCTGAATTTTCTCTTTAATTCAGGCTTGTATCCAATTTCTGCCAAGAGTTCATTATCATTTTTAGCTTTCCTTGCGTCTATATAAACAGGTTCATCTCGCGACCTGATTTCGTTCAAGTTATTTCTCATGTCATCTTCATTTGATAAAGCACTCCGCATAAGAGAGAATTCATGCGATAAAACGGTAGAAATACCACCACCTTTTTTTTTCTCTGGCATCTTAAGAAGTTAAAAAGTACGAGAAGATGTAAGGGCTCTCTTGATTTTCTTAGATTCTGAGTCAAAAAAATCTAGCGTGAAAGGGAACTATTTAAAGTTATATAGGCAGGCTTTGAAATATCAAGTGTTACATATTTTTTTTAGCCTCTCAATTATAGATAAGAATTTCGCCTATCTATACTTACATGAGGAATTGGATGATATAAAATCATACTACACATGGATGAATTAGTTAGATGGAAGAATTTTGAACCTAAGTTCGTAAATTTGTTTGCTTATCTACTATTCCTCGTATTAGTAAATATTAAGCGCGGTTTCTTTTGGATTGGCACGACAATGATTGGCAGGCAAAATTTCTATGTAGAACTCTTGCAAGGTTCAATTAACACAATAACCTGATAGTACATGCAGGATGACATCCGCTTATCGGAAATAGGAACCATGTACGACTATAAGCAGTATAATCTGAGAGGGCCGAGATAGATTATGATAGGGAGATTAAGACATATTTGTAATTTGACCTCATTTCTTTCCTTACCTTCAGAATTGTCTTGTTAGGTGTTATTAGGTTAAATTTGTTTGGTATGATACATGAATTCAGGAGTTTAGAATATTTTAAAGCTTGAATTATAATGGAGATAATGCATTCTCTATGTATAATAATTTGAGCTCCGGCTCTTGTGGTCTTATTTTTAAGGATTGCTTGTTTGCTGCTTAGTCAAAAGCTTACCTGGAGTTCAAGCTCATAAGTTTATTCTGTGCTGGGTCGTGACTTCTATTTCAAGGTCCACGAGACTCATGCCTGAAGAATATGATTTTAAATTTAAAAAGCAATTTTCATATGATCTTAAGGACCGTGCTTCAACGAGTTTCCCCGGAGGCTTATTGATCCAATCAATATAATGCATAAGGTATTCCTTTGAAAAGGATAGGGGTAGAAATTCATTAAAAAAAAGGTTTATCCGTATTATTTTATCAAATCGAAAAAACTATGCAAGCAGGACTTTTGAATTTTACTGAGAAGCTGTAGTATAGTCTAGCTCAAACAGCTTACAACTAATGAGAAGAATGGGTATTTCAAGGTGAGATTTTAAAATTTTGAGTAGGCACAGATGTAATTCAGGAGTACTTAACCAAGCTGCATTTAAAAATTGTTTTGCTAAAGAAAACTGCCGTCCTCGAAATTTTGAAATTTATTGTTCAAGTGAGCATGACTATTTGGAAATTTAATCAAAAGGAAGTGACCAAAGAACCAAGTGTCAATAAGAAAAATGCCCGATAAGTCATCAAACTTCGACAAAAAGAGCTTCTCTAAGGCAGATAACTACTTATGTTGAAGTTAAAATTTCAAAAGACTTTAAAAATATTATTGTCGTATGATTTTTTTAATAACAATACTAAGTCAATTTCATTACCAGAGTTATATAGAGTTATATACTGTTGTAAAGTTTGATCCAAATAATTTTACGTAAACTTCTACATCAACTCTCCAACACCGAAGCATCGCCTTGCCTCCAGATGGTCTTCAAGACCCACTTCTTGATTTTCCACAACCCATCATTGTTATCCTTTACTAGGTCGATAAAGTATTTGCCACCAGCTAAAAATTTCGGCCCATCGGTCTCCAAACCTCTGCCGGGCGGACAATGCTGTGCCAAAGCATTGGCAGTGAGTGAAGCAGAAAGGGCGCCCTCTTTAAGGTCCACGCGAATACCGCTAATCATGTGCGTAGTGTCCAAGGGACCCACAAAATTGATAAGTTGATCAACATTAAAGATATTCCCATTCATTTCGAAGGCAAAATCTGATCCGCAACAAGCGGACTTCAAGAGTGAGATATCGTTATCATCGAAGCCTGATATTGCACGATATAATGCATCAATAACGGCTTCGCGCTCCGTTAGAGATGAGAGTACATGTAGATTCGACATCTTCTTTTACCACTGCTTTCCTGATTGAACAATTCTTGGCCCTATGCACTGATGTTCAACTTTTTTATACTTCCCCATGAGTGTCAGTCGCCTAATATATTAAATTCGTAGTTGAATCCTTATATAATTTATATCCGATAACACAAAATTGGAACATACATTATAATCAGATAGGCTTCGGCTTAGGTTTCGTATATAAGCTACGACCAAGTATACTAAATCCGATCTTGTAAAACACGTCCTATATAACTTATATCCGATACATAACATACATTATAATCAGGTAGAACTTCGGCTTAAGTTTCGGATATAAGTTCCGCTTGAAAAGAGCCTGCAGTTTTCAAACCCAATGACTTTTGTCTTTATTTTCAAGGAAAGAGTTTGTCTATAACAATTGCAAAGAGATTTAATATTTACTTAACCATTTTGGTATTAGTTACATCTGTGCAGTCATAAAGTTAATATAGATCACGTCATATTCAAACTCGATTTTTTTTCATTCATTTTCAAACTGAATATAATGTAGTATTGTAGACACTTTGAGTAGTCTTTGCTATTATAACTATTCAGAAAATTACCAATATCAAATTCATTGTAATTAATTGCAATACTAACTAACAGCTGTCTCATTCGATATTCCGATTACCAAGAAACCTGACCTCGTAAACTGTAAAAATTATCTGCTGGATGGCCATGTAAGTGCGTTTATTGCGCTCAAAGATATGTAAAATAAGATAAACTCGATACAGAATGCTAATTTATCAAAACATTCCTTGTTAAGCTCTTTCATATTCGTCTTGGATATATAATGCTTTCGTTGTCTTCAAACTTGAACTGCATTGCTCTCTTAATTCATTTGCATCATACGGAATGTTAAATTCTACCTGATCCATTCCTAACTGAATAGCTTCTTCATTTGTGAAAGCATGATAATAGTCAATGTGATCAATTTCTTTCAATCCCTTAGGGGGAAAGAAGTAATTCAAAATCACATGTACGAGAAAGCTGATAACGTATCCAATTATGAAGGAAATATCAAACATTTTCACAGCAGGTTCTGGAACCCTACTAGCGAGTGCAGGATTTACAGATGCGAATCCTGTAATCCCTGGAACAAATCCACAAACCCAAGAAACATATGCTCTCCAATTAATGCCCCCAGTAAACCAGTATATTGAATCTTTTGATGGATTATATAGATCTATCAATTTAAGCTTTTGCTTTCTTACGATGAAAAAATCGGAAGTCATAATTGCTATCATTGGCCCCAAAAAGCAACCATAGGAACTTAGAACATCAACAAATATAGTAGCTTTGGAAACAATCTGCCACGGATTTATTGCAATGGAGATAATCATAATAATATACGCTCCTCGTCTAATATTAATAAACTTCGGAGCTATAGCAACTAAATCTATTCCACCACTTACCGCATTGTCAATGGCGTTTAAACCTAGTGTACTAACAAAGAAGCCAAAAGAGGCAAAAAAGCTTGCACATCTTGCCTTAGGGCTATAACTTTCCAACAACCACTGTTCAATAATGTTGGGTGGATTCCATAAATTCAATTCATTGACATTTCCATATTTTTGAGCCGCTGCTGATGTCCCTAGAAGTCCAAATAATGGAATTATTGTACCTAAGATCAAAATTGAAAACGCTTGACCCCAAATTTGTTGACCTCGTCTGTGAACAAACCTAGAAAAGTCGGGTTGATTAGCCAAACCAACGGCATAAGCATTTATAATAGTATTGATTCCGTGTATCCAAGCCATTCCTCTAGCAGCAGAGCTGTTTATGTCAGACCCTACGTGTAGAAGCTCACCAGCACCTTTAGCATGAACCATAGACCCAATTGAGGTGCCAAAAATAGTAAAAAAAGATATCAAAGACACAGCTCTAAATGGATGCTTGAATTTTTCTGGAGGTATATACAAGAACGGAATTGATAAAACATGGTAGATAATGAAGCCAATAAACTCTTTTGTTGTCATCGGCAAGCTTTCAGGTAATGTGTTGTGTAGAGTGTTAAAAGTGGGAAATATAGAACTCAATAAAACAGACATGCATTGACCCGCGGTGTACGACTGAACTGCATACCAAATAATGCAAAGGAATATTCTCTGAATCAACCCCAAATATGAGCCCCACAACCCAAATGTGTACCTACTATAGATTGGAAATCCAACATGCCAAACACCGCCACCCCACCCATGACTTACAGCTATCAAAAATATTAAAAACTTACTAATGATAACAATTACCATGGATTGCCAAACATTTAAACCTAGATCAAGTAAACTTGAGCAACTTTGCCAAGTAGTTATTGATAAGGCAATGACTGCCCAAAATCCTATAAAATCCCAGTCCGTCCATGTCCTTCTTTGTGGAGGTAGAGGTATCACATCTCTATTAATCCATCCTGTATTTTTATTTATTTGGTTATCACCGGGGACTTCGAGTCTATCTATAAAGTCAGTTAAAGATTTTAGCATTTACGGTGTTGAGGTGTTTTAAATTTCTTGTAATATGTAAAAACTCAAACCTAAACTTCAATACTCAAAATTTTAAATTCTTCTATTACTTGGTTATGATCCACTTTCAATCTATAATGTAAGTTTAAACAGGTATCTAAATAGTAATAAAAACTTATCAGGTTTCTGGTAAGATTTTATATGGGTTCGATTGAAGAAAGGAGAAAATTCTTCATTTAAATATTAGTTTCCTGAAGCTTAGTACAGATATATAATTTTCGTTTCTTATTTTTAAGAGAACTATGGCTTTAGATGATTTTTTAAATTTTCGCGCACCGTTGTGTCAAATACTAATATTTTGAGTTATCTTTATGTGTGGCTCCAGATACTTAACGTTTATTCTTTGACGAAAATTGCAATCACGCAAGAAATTATCTTAATACAGTAATCGCCGCCCAAGAAAATTTTCCTGGTGCCATTCTCATGCCGCCGATTAACAAATACAGTAATCGCCTGCTTCTCATAAATCACAACATGTAATCACATAATCCATTGTAGTTGATCTAATCGCTGGGAAGAAAGTTAGATATAATATTATATTATTTCAAATTAAAGCTAGTGAATGAATATACCAAACTTTTAATAGTTTATAAGTATGATAAAAGAAACCAATTTAAATCAAGTCACTGAAATCAAGAGTTTGAAAAAGTTCCAAGAGGTACTGAATCAAAAGGGAATAGTTGTATTGGATTTTTTTTCGCCCACCTGTAAACCATGTGAAGTAAGTAGGAAACTTTATAGCTTTTTCCGGTTCATTTACTAACTGCTTGTTTAGATAATTCTCCCTTTGTATTCTAAATTGGCTGAAAAGTATGATGGAGTTGGATTTTACAAAATCAACGGATGTGAAAATCAAGGAGTCTTTATGCAAAGCTCTCTTGATGTTGTTTGGTGGCCCACTTTAGTCATTCTAAAGGATTCAAAGGAAGTATGGAGGGGAAAAATTCCCAATCCTCCACTTCAGCATCCAATGAAAGAGTTGGAGTTAGCACTTACTAAAGAATTGAATATAAGAAATGAAGCGTTGGAATAACTACTCTTCTACTTGAGCAATTTAGATAATATACAGGGAACTTTATAGTGAATTTATGTTGAAAAATGTTCAACTAAGCTTATAACAATCTAAATATGTAGTGTTCCATTCCCTTGAAAATATGTCCTCTATGTTTTCCCACGTTAAATTGTAATCATCATATATTGTCTTTGAATCATCCACAGGAGAAGAAAGAGTTCTTAGAGGCGGATAAGTTTCTTTTTGATTGCTACCCATATTTCGTTCCTTTAATTCTCCTGAAAGTCCGGATAACTCGTTCTGTTCGTTATTGGCACTATTGTTATCATATTTCATCTGTTCCTGAGAATGGTTTAGTAATTCCTGAATGACACGATCACTTTGGTTCTGATTTTGACAAATTCTTTCCATGTCAATGACGTTCAAGAAATATTCCAACGAATCATCAATCAACTTATCCTCTTTCGTAATAATTATTCCAAATTGATTGGAAAAATTAAAATTGTACGTTGAATTATAGCAATTTGGTATCATGGCAACATCTTGGATTTCGTCTGGTTGATTGACAATATAATCAACAGAGCATTTCTTTAAATATTTTTCTGTGCTTTCCTTACCACCAAACACTGTTGAAATATCAGAAATAGCCCCATAGTCACTTCTATCTATTGACGAGGTCATGAGATCTGGATTTAAATCAAGATATAACGTCTTCAACAAATTTAAACCTTTAACACTTTGCTCAAGAATAGGTGACTTTAAAATTGATCCGTGATCATTTAAATAATGAAGATCCCCCAAAAATAGACTGATATCGTGAAATAATGCCACTTCAATTTTTTCTTTACTAATTCTTCTGATCGCTAGATTCTTCTTCTTTGTCAACATTAGCAACACCATTGCTTGTGTTACTGAAGCCGTAAAGGTTTGATGTAGCTGCGTCAAGAATAATTTATTGAAATTATTTGTATTTCCAATTGGCTCTCTCAGCGCATTGTTTAATTCTAAAGTATTATCTCCGAACTTGAAGAACACTCGCAACTTTTTATAAATTATGAACATGGCTTTCGCTGTAGAGATGCATACTTCCCAAGCAATCGGAATATTATATGTGAGGTAGTTTTGAAAAAGTCGCAATCTATGTATACAGACACAAGTATGCAATATGTGGATTTGTAGCTTTAGTTTATCTGTGGTATGTTCAGGTAAGTTCCCATCCTTATCCAACTTGAAATACCAAGGAAGATTTGAAACATAGTCACAAAGTTCTATATCTATTGATATTATACCCTCTAAAACCTCTTTATTATTTTCATAATCCTCAATGGTAACATCCTTAAGTTGATTAATTTCAAACATTCCATTCAAAATTTTCATCATTTTGGCCCTGTGAATATTGAATGAGTTGTCGGTTGGAATGTGGTCTTCAGAAAAGATTATAAATGAATCTCCCATGTCTCTGTCATTCACGTTTGAAGGCAAAGGAACCTTTGATATGTAAGACCTAATCATCGGAGTCCTACCATTACATAACGCACAAAACGTATCACATCCACATATATCCCACCATAATCGTCTTCTCATCTCTTGCTCTAAAGGAGACTTCGCTTTAAGATATGGTTTGTTCAATCCCAAAGTGTAGGCAGTATTTATACTCAAAACTAAGAAAGTGTTTAATTCTTCCGATTGCTTAGTTGCATAGTAATATAGTTGTAATAAAGAAAAAAGTTGCAATTCTTCTAGCCTAGGAGTTAAAACATCTTTACTGATGTCATATAGCCATATAGATGCCTTTGACCATGCATCAGCCGTCTTCTTGATAACTATCTCCTCAGAAAAAACTCTGAAGGGAGCAGTAGTGCTATATGATTTTGGTAAGTGTATCAAAGCTAGCGTCAAAACCATGAGTAATAAAGAAACCCATAATAGATCAATTTTTTCATGGCTTTGATTTTCTAAGTCCATATAGAATTTTTCAAAATCTTTGTTGAACGTAGGATGATGTATTGGATGATAAATATAATCCACGAATTGTAAATAGTAATTCTTCAATGCTATAGCTGCTTCCTTCGTCGGTAATAACTGAACTATATCTGACTTCAATATATTGAAATCAATATTAGTATTATCTGTACTCCTATCTAATAAATCAGCCATTGAAAAAACATTCTTTTTACGAAGGAATTTAAGTTCAGATTCATGATAAATCCCCAGGAGTCTTTCAACACAGATCGGTAGATGAAAATCCCAAAAGAGTTTAGATTTCTCAATAGGTGAACCACATGTGTTATTTTTCGGTTTTCCTGTAGAGCTAACGAATCGTGATCTTTCGGTACCTATATTTTCTGAGCTCACTAGTTGTTCCTGCTTGTGTTGTGGTTTTAATTCAGAGATCAAGGTACCTAGATCATCCCCTTTCGGGAAGTATTTAGACTCTTTTAAGCCGTGATTTGTTTGCTTTAAGTTCTGTGTGTCATTATTTCTGGCACAGTGGAAATTAATGTCAGGAAGACTTAGTTGTTTGAATTTATCGTATAAACGAGGTGGTTGCAGGTAACAACTCTCTTCTCTATTATTTCGGATGCATCTTTCGCATGGAAGTGATCGATTACACTTAGCTTTTAGCTTTTTGCACGGCCCGCATGAATATACTTTTTTCTTTCGGTTGGACATATCTTGTGCAAAAGCATAAGAGCAAATAGGTTTTGAGTAGAATTAATAGTTTAGATTGTTTATAATATGTGTCATGTGATATAGTATCATTAAGGCGCTTCATAACCTTGAGCCATACCAAGACCGCACGCCGATTACCTAAATAAGCGAGCGTGCATTCAATTCATATAAATGTGCTGCAAAATCTTGCAAAGTGAACAATTTAACATTAATATATGACTTTTTTGATAGGTATTGATGTGGGTGGAACTAATACAGATTCTGTGTTATTAGATCCATCCCAAATTCGGAGCTCAAATAGTGGCATCATAAACTGGAGTAAAGTGACAACTACCAATGAGATCTCTCATGGAATAGAATTGTCACTCTCCAACTTGCTCGAGGGTCAGAAGATTGGACCAGATGATATTAGTTGCGTAACTATTGGCACAACACATTTCATAAACGCAATTGTTGAGAAGGACCAGGGAAAGTTGGAGAAAGTCGCAATATTGCGATTATGCGGACCATATTCAAGGGAATTGCCTCCCTTTTCTGACTTTCCAAAAAGACTAGAGGAAATTCTTAACGGCTATGTGGCATACTGTAAAGGAGGAAATAAAATTGATACGCTGGATATTACGGAAGTTGATGAAAAGGAGATAACTTACCACTGTCTGAAAATTGCAGAATTAGGTATAACAAATATTGCTGTCGTTGGAATGTTTTCACCTGTAGCAAATGGGCATGAGTTACGGGTCTATAATATAATCAAAGAAAATTTTCGGAAAAGGAAAATGCACGTCAATGTTACCTTATCTCATCAAATTGCGGGCATTGGATTTTTAGAAAGAGAAAACATCACCATTCTCAATGCTGCAATCAAAAGATATGCTTATTCCGTAATATACGAGTTCAGCTCAGCAGTGAAGAGGTCTCAATTTAAATGTCCTTTGTTCTTAACCCAAAATGATGGAACTATTTTAACAGTTCAAGAAGCTCTCAAGAATCCTATTAGGACCTTCTCCTCAGGAGTCACCAATTCTATGAGAGGAGCTTCTTATTTATGCAAGAGTGAAGATCTCTTTTTGAATGAGCTCGATAGGAACCAACCCGTAGTAGTAGTTGACATAGGAGGCACAACCACAGATGCGGGTTTACTAAACCAGGATGGTTTTCCAAATCTAATATCGTCATATTCTTATATTGGTGGTGTCAGAACAAAAATTCCCATGCCTAATGTTCAGAGCATTGGTTTGGGAGGAGGGTCAATTGTGAGATCAGAAAATTCAAAGTTGAAAATTGGCCCTGACTCTGTTGGGAATGAAATTATGAATAAGGCGATGGCTTTCGATGGCAGCTGTATGACTGCAACAGATCTAGCCCTTTCACTGATTGCAGAAAGGAACTTAAAAAAGCTCCCCAATAACTTTTTCAAATTTGTTGACGTAAAGAAATTAAAAAAACAGTTTGATGATGACATGTGCAATCTTTTTAAAAATGAGTTGGTTTCCTTATTATCTAAGCTAATAGACAGGACAAAAACTTCACCTGATCAAATTTCGATGTTATTGGTTGGAGGTGGTTCGTTCATTGTACCCGAAGGGCCTTTTACAATTGAAGGATGCAATAGAATATTACGCCCTCAATTTTACCAGATTGCAAATGCAATCGGCGCAGCTATTGGGTTGATATCGGAGTCAGTCTCCCTGTACGCAAATAAAGACGAAGTTGACAAAATTTCAGAGATTGAGCGACTCAAAAGATTGGCACTGAAAGAAGCTGTTAGAAAAGGTGCTTTACCTTCATCATTAAAGGTTGTTAATATAATTATTGAGCCAGTACCTTACGTTTCCAATTGCTACTTCTTTGAAGTGAAAGTAGTGGGGTCTCTTGATTATAGTCGAAAGAGCGAATTATTTGAAAAAGCCAGTGATCCCGTATTGAAAGGAAGTGCTGTAAGACAGCAGGATATTAGAAGTTTTCTCAAAAAAGCGGGCATTGAAAGAACCGAACCTATGTGCGAGTTAGATATTAAGCTATATAAGCCATCGATTACAGAAAAAAGAGAATGGATACTCAGTACCTTAGATATTGAGTTTATTAGGATTGGATCATATATACTTGGTTGCGGTGGAGGTGGCGACCCGTACACAAAAGCCTTACAAACAAAAAAAATGATTGAGAGTGGTCTGGTAATAAAGGTTGTAGATATTGATGGCATTCCTGGAATTTTTGAATCTCCAAATGAGCTCCTTACAGTTCCATTAGCCGCTTGTGGCTCACCAACCGTGATATCTGAACAGTTACAGGGCCACGAGTTTCTTCACGCATTTAAGACACTAATTAGACATTCAAACTTAAAGCCGAACGCTGTAATTCCGTTAGAAATTGGCGGTAGTAATGGATTTCAAGCATTTTTACTCAGTGGTTTATATGAGTACGATTTAAAAGTTGTTGATGCTGATTTGATGGGGAGGGCATATCCCATGATTTGGCAAATTTCTCCAGTATTATATAAAGACGTGCTTGGCTATTCAAATATTTTTCAGAATTCTTCTTTAAGTGATGGTAACGGAAATGATTTTTTATTGTCTAATGTGAAATCAGAACTCTACGCCGAAAAGATTATTAGAGCTACTCTTTCTGAGGTCGGATCTTACGTGGGAATGGCAACATCTCCATTGAAGTACGAAGAGCTTAAGAAATTTTCTATTAGAAACAGCATATCTTTAGCATGGAGAATTGGGAGAGCTGTCACATTGGCCAAAGACAGTAGAAATTTAGACACTGTACCAGAATTTATAATAAATGCAATCGGTGGGAGCGATTATGGTCGCTTGATATTTTCTGGCAAAATTGTTGGTCTTGAAAAGAAGTTAATCAAGGGGCATCTTTATGGAGAAGTTGTAATTGAAGAATTCAATTCATCAAAATCTGAAGATAAAAAAAAGCTAGTAATACCATTCAAGAACGAAAACTTATTTTGCAAGTATGAGCATACTCCTTGCACCGAGATAATTGCTTCTGTACCGGAATTAATTACTGTTATTGATTCGGAGACAGGTGAGGCAATTGGAACACCTGATTATCGATATGGCTTATCATGCTTTGTTATCGTGATGGCTCCAAATCAGATATGGACATCTTCAAAAAACGCACTAAGAATAGGAGGTCCAGAGGCATTTGGTTTTGATCATTTTGAATTCAAATCGACTTTCCAAGTAGAGAGTTCTCCAAGGAGCGTTATTGATGAATATTTTATACCTTCTATACATGCAACTTCCAACAAAAAGGAAAATCTTCATTAAAAATTTATTTCTTCTCTTGATTAATTTTGTTTTTAATTAACTTCTCTGTTCCATTGAAACAATCTTAAATTTAGGAGAAGCAAAAAATAAAATGTTACAAAAATTGAAAAACACGTAGGAAAGTTTTGAAATGGTACAAAATTTTTTTGCTTCAGTTATTTTTTTCGCTAAATGGAAACGAGTTAAATAAGCGATTATCATTCATATCAAAAAATACAATCCTCTAAAGACCAATTTTCCATCAGTAGATTAATATACCCCATCTATGACCGTAACAGCATTACCACCAACATAGATATCTGGTCCGACAGTGATCGTGATTTCACCAGCTCTATTTAATACTTTACCTTGGGACAAGCGGATAGTACCAAGCCGATTCTCCGAGTCCCTTAAAAACGCTGCTGTTGCTCCTGAACCGGATCCACACACTGGATCCTCTACAACTCCTATCGCTGGTGCGAAAGTTCTTGTTTCATAAGACTCGCCCTCTACGTATTTACCAAGCACTTGAAATCCCGTAACATTCAATTCCAATGATATTTTCTTCAAAGCGAATATATCTGGTTTCAATTCAAGAACGGTCTTTGCACAATCCAATTGAATAGTGAGCCACACTGGGCCAACGTCGTAAACTGCTGCATTTATTGCAGTATCAACGCCAAGCGCATTGGTAACTTTCAGGATTTCAGACGAACTCAAATCTCGACGAGCAGCATACGGTAATTGAAAATTGATTTCCCGGTCCTCCGCAGATGATAGTTCCAACTTCACTAAACCTACTTCACATTCTTGTATGACATGATTATTCTTGGGCTCCGCGAGTCCGGCTTCTAGCAATGCGTGGCAGGTTCCAATGGTGGGATGACCGGCAAAAGGTAACTCTTTCCTTAAGCTGAAGATGCGAACCTTATAATCGGCTTCTTCAGAAACTGGCTTCTGAATAAAAGTTGCTTCTGAAAGATTTGTCCAAGCTGACATATTTGCCATATCTTCTGACGTTAAGTTGTCTGCATCGAAAAATACTGCAACTGGATTTCCCTTATACTTTTGCTTGGTGAAAACATCCACCTGCTTGAATGTGGGCATTATTTGACAATTAAAAGACTTCTCTCCGTTCTCATATTACATGGTTTTTATATTGCGACAAATCGTCTATATATTGCTGAAATAAAAGTATGACTAATTATTACATGCAGTCCAAACGTCACTTTTATTGATTCTTACTCTAATGCTTAATCATTCTTGTAAGCTGGCTCAGACTTATTGCTAGACAAGCTGAACGCATGATAAATATAAAGCTGGATTTTCAGTAGCATATTTATTTTTTTATATTCTCTACCGTATAAGTTCAACAATAAAATGGCTATACCTGGTTTCACAGGATCTTACTCCAAGGATAGTATCTTGGAATCATTATATGATACTTATACCTAAGTAATAATTTTTCTATCTCTTTACCAAGGGTTTGAAAATGAAATTATTGTAGTATCAATATAAGACTCTTGAGAATGTCTGTGAGTACGAAGCCAATGACAAATCTTCGGTGTCTAAAAAATATCTTTGAAAGATATATGCATATAAATGTTCAAAGTGATATACAATTGAGTTATAATAACAGTTCAGAGGGCCCAGTCATCAGTAGGCTACATCATGGTGATTCAGTTGATCAAATAAACTACTTATGTCACAGTCCAAGTGTCAGCAGTATTTTTCTTAATCAGAGTATTCTGCTCATGCAAGATACTATGTTGATAAATGATATAATGACGGTATACAAGGAACTTAAAGGAAATGACGGAAGATTAGAAATTCAGGCATAAATTCATGATTGGGCTTATTAAATTTGATTAAGTCCTTTCTTAAAATTTAGTCATATCGAACGATACAGACATGTTGGTGTCAAGGATATTGTCTAAGTATAACAACTTCACGTGCTTTAGGGGTCATAAATAGATGAGGCTTGTTAACTGTCCAACCTTACTGGTTGACCAGTTCAGGGGGATTGTAATTGTAAAACTTAGAGAAGATAAATTTATGTCTGCTAATTCAAAGGGATAAAACTGGCCATATCGGAAAATATTATCAGGCACAGGAAAGGGTAGTGCAATTATTAAGAAACCAGATGTAAAAAGGTGTTTCAACAATCGAAATACTTGAAACACTTCTTCAAATCCCTGAAAACACTACTACCACAAGCATAATTAGTTAAGGAATTGCCATTGTAATTTATGCAGTCTAGTAGTAAGCAGTAGTTGAAGCAACGTGTATACTTGTCACCCAAGGATAAGAATATATATTTTGTGCCACGCCACACTGACTCATTTACAACTACTGCTCAAAATTTTACGATAGCAGGTGCGTTTAGTTATCGACAGCTATGTGATAAGATCTCTGTGCTTCATTGCCCAAAGAAACGCAAGGATCTGGATCAGGGATACGTTCTGTAGGATAAGGCACTATTATGATGTACGAAAATTACCGAATGTAGGGTATTACTGGATCTTGGGCTTTCTAAGTCTGGTGGTAGAAATTCAGAGAGCCTATGTCCAATAAAGTAAGGGAACATATAAAGCTAATCAACCATAATATTGTTGATTACATCTTGTATCTACAGGAGACAAAAATGTTCGGAATAATTATAGGAGCATTATTGGTAAGATATATATTAGAATTCAAAGCATCTTTGAGCAAAGAAGACTCTAAAATTATATTTATCATTTTATTAATCAAAAACCGATCATTTAGACCTTTAAAGAAAGCCTGATTAACATTAGAGTAGCAGCTTTCTCTGTGTGCTTTCTATATGCTTCAATTGCAGTGTCTTCAAAGTAATTCTCTTGTTTAAATCCATATCCTCCATTTATATTCCAGCTTTGCCGCGTTTTTCCTCGTTGGCCACATTATGAACAAAGATTGCCTGAGTAGTGTTAAGTGATCTATCAACAAAATCTCTCACTAGCTGTCCGTAAATGTAGCTCTCTCCGATAAATCCACGTTATATTCAGGAACTTCATGGAAAATTAATTTCCTTTTCCGATAAGTCAGTGAAACGGCTTTAGGAGACATACGGAATTTTCATCCGAAACAAAATTAGAACTATAAAATTGTCACATTTTTGAAGGGCTGTATTGATATAATTTCAGTTTAATGAAATTCTGTTGGTTTATATAATTATGGGTGCCTCAAAATTAGAATTTTTGAAGGACATTTACATCAACGTGTTGAAGTCACCAAACCCTCGTTTCCTACCTCAAGACTATCCTGACTTATCGGGTAAAAATGTTATTATTACGGGAGCAAGCAGTGGATTGGGTTTGGAGGTACTTAGATTACTCTTGATTCAACATGCTAATATTGGTGTTGTGGTGCGAAATGTTGGAAAAATGGAGGCGGCGATTGAAAACTTAAAAAAAAACTGCAAAAATATAGAGCCATCTGAAATTGATCTGAGAGTTCATATTTTTGAAGCAGACCTAAGCGATTTGAGCAGCATACATGATTGCGCAGTATCAATTGTATCAGCTTTCCCAGAATTGCACTTTGTATTTCAAAATGCAGGCATAATGATGCCTCCCAAAGGATCAAAGTCGGCGCAAGGTTTCGAACTACAGTGGTCAACAAATGTCTTAGCACCTTATCTTTTACAGAAATACTTGACTCCATGTATGTTAAAAGTTAGCCAAAAAAATCCCAACTTCATACCAAGGGTTATTTGGGTTTCTTCTAATGCATACCTTTCAGGGCCAGGAGCCGTCGGAATTGATTTTGATACTATTAAGCTGAAAAACCCTCCCAATTATTCTCCAATGGCTATCTATGGACAATCTAAGGTAGGTGTTAATTTTGTCAATTACATGTTTGCCCAGAAGTATAAAGGTAAAATAATTTCTACTGCCTTACATCCAGGCATATTAAAAACGGGCCTTCAAAAGGATTTTCCGTTCATTGAGCGTTTCATTGTTAATCACGCAGGGAGAGATGCTTCGTACGGGGCATACACCGAAATGTACGCTGCACTTAGTTCAGAAGTCACAAAAGAAAATAGTGGCTGCTTTATTGGGCCCCAATGTGAAATACAAGATTACGTTAATTTCTTTAAGGAGGGTACTTCTAATGGTATGGCTGAGAAAATAGTAAGTCGTATTGACGAACAGGTGGCCCCTTATTTCAAAGCTTAGCTTTAAACTGAAATGGAAACCTCTTCGATTACTTGGGACAGAGCACCACGCTTTAATATCTGTAGATGCTGAGAAAATGTATGTCACATTTTCCATATCTGAACGCCTGGCGTGATCCTCCAATGTCCGAACTTAGACGAGGCTTGAATCAGTAGGTGGCGACGATTTGATTTGCCATATATGTTGCAAGCCTCAATGATGTCATAAGGAAGCTATTTTGGATATAATTTACAGAAGTCTGGGACATGGAATTTAATCACGTTTAATCTTCTTATTCCGTACTTATTATGCTATTTGTGTCTCAGGTTCGATGGTATCTTATGATGGTCTTACTTTCGCTAACACTTTTGTGGGCGAGTGGTCTGGTGGCAAGGTGTCCAGTGGTTCGGTGTCCAGGATGGTTTCAAGAGAGATTATAGTATGTAGAACTTATTTAATATACGGTATCACTTTATAAACCAATTATATTGCATTATCTATCACTACGTGATTTGATTCTCCTAAAATTCTTGGTGTCATAGGGGAGGGTGAAAAAACTTGGCAAGGAGGGCGGCAAGGGAGCAGTTTATTTCCCAAAGAACTCAATATATTATTGCTAAATATAAGTAAATAAAATCAAAAAACGGAAGAAGACAAGCAACAAGTGGAATCATAATTGATCCAAAGACTGGTCTGAATTGTATAATTATCAACTTTAAATCAATGTTAATAATGAAAATTAACTTAAATTCCACAAGCAGTTAAAAAACGCCTACTATCAGCTCCTGTTCACGATCTGTACGAATACTGATAAGTATTTGTCGAAAGTAATGTGTAAAGTAATCACTACATGATTGTAACAGAAGACAAGGGAATAATCGAAAAAATCCTAAGAATGGATAATAAATGTTTAGGGCTTGCCCTAGGTGACTACGCTTTTCATGATTAGCAACATATTCTGCAGGTAGGAATCAAGAGGATAGATACAGATTATCTCTTCGAGGCTATTTATTTATGCCGATTTGTAAGCTTATGCAACTTACTTTGAATGAATATTTGATAGCTGAGAGTGAAAGGCCTTCTCTATGACATCCAACTGTTGATGGATTCGCTCTTAAATGTAGCAAGAACATTATCATCAGTAAAGATGAATGCGTGTACTATGAAATTGATGTAAAGATTTCCAGTTTGCCAAGATATAAAAAAGATCGCTAGAAGGCATAGGAAGAATAATCTTTCCAGGTTAAAAAAATAATCTATGCCCAATGCTTTACTTCAAAACTGATAAAGGTATTCTAACTGATTCATATATATCAATCTTTGTGGAACTAGATCTAAATTCTTTCGAAAAGAATGTCGACAGACTGAGAAAACTGAAAACTCCAACAGAACCAAAAATAGTTCCTATTATACAAGGTTCGCGATTGTCATTCATGTAAACCTACGCTTCGAGAACCGCTATCATACCTTATTTACAACTCTATCGAAGATTCTAAAATGGTAACTCAACAGGAAAGAGTTGACAACCTCCAGAGATATCTTCAATTTTCATCTGGAAAAGCATTCACCGGCATTATTCTTAGTGAGGATAGGGAATTTGAGCGGTCCGAGGGGTCCTGGAGTCGACCTGGTACTAAAAATATTAGTGTGGGAGCCACTATGGGCTCAAGTAATGAATAGGGCTAAGAAGATGAAAGATTAGAACAAATCAATACACCCGGAAAAATGTAGATGCTACATTATAATACTCAGAATTGAAATTTAAAAATTGCCCAGCGTAGATAAAATTGATCATAAGAATGGAAATTGTCTTATGATGCACAAAACTTCCAACCATTCATACAGCATATATCTCCCCAGTTAATACATAAGCACCCTTTCGGATTCATGGACCATGACTGCTGAACAATTGTCCATGCCTTATTTACATTGTTTACAGGGCTCTTTCCAGTAATTTCCTTGAATAGAAATGTCATTGCCACTCTATCTGTATCAAATATGCATGAAATTCCAACAACAATTAAGGGAAGGCATAATCCAATGTTGCACCCGGACTCAATAAGCACTTTAATGTAACTCTGGGACGTAAAGACTAGCCTCCTTACTTCAATTGAAACAGGAGGTATTCTCTTGATATATAGATACCAGTATAACCAGCAAGTATTTTTGTATAGACTAAAGCTTGTTTCTTGAAACTTAAAATCCTCATGATTGGGGCAAATGTCAAGTTTTTCGAGAGCACAATTTTCAATCTTCTCTTTCAAACTCTCTCCTATATTTTCAACAAAATCAAAATAATTAATTTTCAATTGCAAAAAGTCTGCGTTATTGAAGTCCTTCTCGACTTGAAAATTATCCAAACAATCAGAAAAAATTCTCTCCTCTTCTTTGATAAGAAGAATAGAGTTAATTATGTCCCCTAACACGAAGCACAAAGGACGAAGAGGACCCATTATTGGGTCGAGACCATAGTGACCCTCATTTTCAGTGTGCGAATGCGAGAAAAACTGCTCATACGCTAAGACTGGAAACACTGTACCTGTGATGAGGGCAGACGATCTCATAACATCATGATACTGAAGATTAGAAACCAAAAACTTTATGTGATTTGAGTTATCGTACAAGATTAGGATCTCGCTTATACCTCCAGCAGACTCAATCACGCTGACACAATTTTGAAACATGATATTCCAATAATATGTATCTCCCGCACATATGAAAAACCCCATCAAAACTGAATTTAAACATAGATAATTCATAATGGCTTCCTTGGATGACATCTGACTTGATAAGTTGGTGAAATATTCCTGTACTTTGTTGATAAATTTCGAAAAGCTTATATCTTTTTCTATTCTTTTCAAAAACATACCTCCCCATGCCGCTAATGCATTCATTATAGTTTCGTCATACTCTGATATAGTAACAAATGTATTAATAAAGTAGTTGGTACTTAATTTGCCAAATGAAAGTTCTTTGGAAACTTTTCTTTCAAAGTATGACATGAATCTTCTCCCCTCTTCATCCAAGTACAAGAATCTTGTGGATGAGGGTATGTAGGAGACTTGTAGGGACAGACCATATAAACTATCATTTTTATGAGAAGTAGCGTGTATTTCATCTCCCTGATACTGGTCGATGTCTTTCTCAGTCACTAAAGTGACATGACGCTCTTGCCTATTTTCCTGATGATCGAATAGCTCAGGAGTACAGCCGAGGTCTGTCTCAGTTTTCTTACTCTCCGTAATGTCAGGCAAATCAGTATTTGAAGCATATGCATCAAGTGACACTAGCATCTCATTCCTTTTATCTTTAGTGTTCAAAGATTCTGACTCTTTATTCTGACACTCTTCACAATTATAGGTGCCGTTGCTGTCATATCTGCTTAAATGTTAGTTCAATTCTCTCTCAAAAGTAAATCGAATGAAGTAACATACATATTTCTTTTCCAATATAAATAGCGACCATTATACTTGCGATTGAAGTCTCTGTAGTTTCTGTAGTGCTTGCATGTGGCTCCCGAATGCCCCCTTGATGAAGTTTTAGAAATCTTGCAATACTTTTCAATCAGCCTCTTAAATTTCGATTTCTTATTATTCAACAATTGGGCGTCAAAAACTGTAAACATTTCTGATGAAAGTCTAAAATTGTTAACATACATATCTGTCTTTTTTCTTGAAAGTATCTCCTGAATTGATGGGTGTGTGTTGAACAAAATTTGATAAGACTTTTCGCAAAGGCAATCACCCAATTTCTGGAAAATGTATACAGTACGTGCCCCAACAACAATTTAACGTCATGCACAAAGAACAAAATAACGCGCTATTAGCAGATTATATCGTCATATAAGGCATGAGGTGACTCTTATCCTCATTAGATGGATTAAAAAATTAGCAAATGTGCTTACTTCCTGAAGGGAAATTTCACTCATTGAGCTTAATCATTTTAAGGGAACACAGATCCATTCCTCAATCCAGTATTATGTTTTGTGAATTAATTTCTTTTGAGTTTTAAAGTAGTTATGTTTTAAATGATGGACTACGACTGCCGTTTTATATCATTCAATTACACTATATAAAGAAAGTCTTCAGGGAAGTGCTAAAATAGCCAACTAAGGATTTTTTGATGCCATTTTTTAGGGAAATCGATCTTCTCTCCCTCATCATAGTAGAGATCATATTCGTGACTTTCGATTTCTTCTAGGCCAGATTTCAAGTCAGCTTCTTCTGGCTTAACCAATTTAGTCCTTTTGATCAATTTCCAAGAAACAAAACCAAAAATATTTATAAAAACCATAATATATGAAAACAAAAAATTATCCACCTCCCATTGACCTGGTAAGAAGACGGAATATCCGACAGCTGCCACCATCAAAATTAGCAAAACACATATAATGATGGAAGAATATGGCTGGCACCAGGAGGTATAGCTAAAATCTTTTCTGTCAATACCTTGGGCCTTGCATGCTCTGTAGAACCCAAAGTATGTAAATGACATGAAAACATAATTAAGGACTTGTGACCCGGTACATAAACTAACAATGTAATTAAGCACTGTTGCACTAGTAGAACCCAATTGAAGCAATGATAATAGAGCAAAACACATTGCAATGCCAACTCCGACAATAGGAACACCCTTCCTTGTACATATTCCACAAACTCTTGGAGCGAATCCTCTTCTCGAGAGAGAGTGAAGAACCCTAGATGTGCAGAAAACTTGAGAATTACCTGCGGAGAAGGAGGAAGTTATAATCAAAATATTTACGATATCAGGTAATACTTTGATTCCCATATTTTTCATAGCAACAACGTAAGGAGAAGCAGCTGCATTTGAGGCTGTACCGTTCATTTCTAGGAAAGTTGGATTATTGTATGCAATAATTATACTAACACTCAAAGATCCGAGAATGAAAAATATTACCAATCTGTACATAACAGTTCTAAAAGCCGTAGGAATAGACTTTCTGGGGTCCTTTGCTTCACCTGCTACCATTGAAATGTATTCTGGACCCACAATCGTAAAAGCAGCTTGAATTAAAGCAGCCAAAAAACCCTGGAATCTCCCTGTACTTCCAGTGCCTAGATACTCTGCGATTGGACCCCCTTTAGCATTCCAATTTCGAAACCCATATACGTCATGCTGAGGATTTCCTCCAATCATAGTAATAAATGTAAAGAAGATTAAACCAACGGCTAAGATCAACTTTCCTAAGGATAACCAGAATTCTGATTCACCGTAATACCGGACCGCAAAAATGTTGATAGCGACATACAACACGATTTGCACACACAAAGGAATCGCAGGAGAATAATCATCTCTCCAAAAGTGAATTTGTCCATTAACAGCGGTAATTTCGAAAGGAATATATAAAGACAACATAATGTAGTAATTCCAGCCAGCACAAAATTCAAGAGATTCGTCTACGCAACGACCCGCCATAGTGATAAATGGCGAAGAAATTGGAAGATAAGATACCATTTCTCCGACTGAAGAACATAAGAACAAAATCACTATTGTCCAAATTGTATACGCCAAGAATAAGCCCAAGGGACCACCCTTAATGAGGCCAGAGCCGATAGATATGAACAAAGCAGTACCAATCAGTCCTCCTATTGCAATCAACTGAATGTGTCTAATCTCTAAACTTCTATGAATTGATGGCTGAGAGCTTTCAACCTCAATTTCGCCCGAATTCTGGGTGTCAACAGCAATCCCTATCTTTTCGGACTTTTCAATCATTTTGATTCATTGATTAATGGTTTAAAGGAAAACATTTAAAGCTAATTTCATAGTCTATATATTCAGATTGAGTGAAATTAATTGCATCACACAACATACTTTATCTCATAGAATAAAAACCTAATACGAATATTTCCTTTTTAGAAATTCCCGATAAAGGCACCAAATATTTCTTTTTTGCGGCCCGCAGTTTTAGTGGCCGCACAGTATTAGCACTGCATATAATATACCATAGATAACCGTTAAATTTAAGGTGTGCGGATAGGCCCTTAATCTTTCAAACAAACAAGTAGATAAGAAGGTTATAGGCGAGGGAATAGTTAAAAGTTACGCTAAAAACTCGCCAACTAAGGATAGTATCAAGACCAATCATTGCTTGCCTATGATTAATCTGGTGCGAATCCTTGAGATCCTTATGTGTGGTTTGATCTGATATAAGCGCCGGACTTGAAATTCTTTGATTTTCAAGAAGTGTTATCGAGCCTATTATCAAAACTATACTTTTTCAAATTTGTAAATGCGTCTAATTTTACGATTGAAACAATAATGGAAAGTGAGAACTAAATTATATTCTGTCACACCATAATCAAGGCAAATGTCATTCTCTGCAGGTATCATGATTTAAAAGTAAGAAAAGTGAATACAACTTTTATATGGGGCTAAGAAGAAGCTAAGAAGAAAAAACTTTGGTTATAACGATATTTGTTTCATTACTAGGTTACTCAAGTATTTCAAAAAGATAGTACAGTATAGCTCAATCTAAAATGAACAGTAATACTAAGTGTATCTAACACAACCGGATATTGTAAAGCATTTTTTTGCACTATAAGGTTTTCTATTTCTCCTATCATAGAACCAGGCTAGGCTTTGATAGTTTCTTCGAGAATATGAGAACTAATTTTCAAATAAGTGCCGGTGTCTTTCTTTTAAAAGGGCTCCCCATTTTTTGATACCAAACTCAATTTGGTCTTCATTTAGAAAGCTGAGGGACAATCTTACAAAACTCTTCCCCCATCCTTTCTCGTCTCCCACTACTTCGAATAGATCACCCAGCCCTAGTAAGATATTATATTTATCTTTCAAAATTGCTACTATTTCGCGGTGATCTATGTCAGAGTCTATCTTAACCCAAACGAAGAATCCCCCATGTCCACCATATATCTTACAACATTTTGGCAAATAAGTTTTAATGCAGTAAAGAAGTTTCAAGCACCTCTTTTTGAAAACACTCTTGTACCTTTCAACAATAGTGTCGAGATCTTTGCTCTCTATCAAACTTCTAATGATTAATGTGGATAATTGTCCTGGTGTTCCACCTGACATATTTGCTCCTGACTTCGCCAATTGTTGAGCCAATAAGGGCGTAGCTGTTTCTTGCCAGCCCACCCTCAACCCTGGTGCAACTATCTTGGAGAATGTTGCGTTTGAAATGGTGTTGCCATATTGCGACCACGAAGGTTTGGTGTCACGATCTAAATAAGGAAGCTTTTTGATCGTATTAAAGTCGTTATAGTTCAAGATATCATACACATCGTCAGAAATAATAAGCATATCATGTTTCCTTGCCAACTCAATCAATCTTGTTCTTGTTTTGATCGAATAAGATATCCCTCCTGGATTTGAGTATGTAGGAACCATGTAAATAACGTACCTGTAAAATTTTCGATCAGTTCTAGTACAGGGATCAAAGCAGATGTTGATTTCTTTATCAGCAGTGGCATCTTCCTCTCCTTGATCATAAAATTCTAATGATTTCTGTAATGCTTTCAAGTCGATTTCATAATCTTCACCATTCGGTGTTTCTTTAATTGAAGTAATCTTGTCTTGAAAGCCTGCATCCAAAAATACTGCATTGATTAAAAAATACGTCGGCGTTACTAGATATGCTCTTCGAGTGATCATTTTTGTGTCAGTTACTGAATTAAGAATATTACTACAGCCATATGATGCTCCTCCTGTTAAATTTATTGTGTCAGGATCAATATTAATTGTGCTGTAACAGACTTCCATCCATCTAGCAATGGATTCTCTAACATCTAGGTTCCCAGTATTGGTACCATAAGTAAGTGGGTGCACATTTAAATGATCTGCTTCATACTCTTTGTAATCTTTCTTCAAAACTTCGTTATAGGCTTTAGAGAGCTTATCTGTAGGAAGTAGGTCAATACTATGGTGGCCCTTTAAAAAGTCAATCTCAACATTTGCAGGCATTTGTTTAAAGTAGTATGTGGTCCGTTTCTTAGAAATCTCTTGCTCGTTCGCAGAAATAATATTTATTGCTAATGTGTGGTTTTTATCTTTTTTTTATTTTTCTTTCTAGTTTGCAGTCAGATTAGTAAAATCGAAACTTGGCGTTCAATAGTGGAAATGAAGAAATGCCACTTTATCGAAATCATCCAATATCCGTTTTGGTCAACCGAATTTGTGCAGTACTTCTTAATTAGGCTTTTACTTATTTTGGATGTTCCCAAAGAATTCCTCAAACACACTACCTATTTCACTCCATAAAAGAGTAATATATAGTGGAAGAAAAATAATAACCAGTTTCGCAAAGTGAAACATATATGTAAAATATGAAATCGGATGAAAAACGATATGAAAGATCAGATGAAGAATCAGATAAACTACATAATATTGGTAAGAAGCTTTTGGCTGTATTTGTGGTAGTCACTCTGGTGGCATGTCTAGTAGGGTATTGTACTGATTGAATATTAAAGGAATCTAGCGTCTGAAAATGTGGTCTTCGAAAATAGAAGCAGTATGGCTGTTTTGTGGGCTGACCTTAAGAAATGTTGCGGGAACTTTCTCATCTCTAGGTAATGTAACTCTACTGTCCCTTTCTACTGTGAAATGCGTGTTTTGTGGTTCACGTTTGTCATCTTTCTGCAATGTACACGTGATTGGCCAAATGATGTAAAATAAGCGTAGTGTTCTGCACTCAACAAAACGTCATTCAATAAAAAGGCATTTATCAGAAATCGTTCGAACTTATCTGTCAATACCTTTAAAGACCCGCACATCCTTACCATCCAATCGAGGCAAAAAAATTCCAGAACCTCCCGAATTGGATACACGAGCACTTTTCATTTGCGCCCACAAGAGTTGTTATAGACGTCTACTTCTGAAAATACTCATCCCATGCCTTTGTTGTTGCATGCGTCGCAAGAAGGCTTTTCTCCATCACATTTTAATTTCTTCTGACGATAATTATTTCAAGCGATGTTCGTTTTTTCAAGCTTTTGTTTTATTGTATTTCACCTTCAAGCGATATCTTTGAATGTTTACTAAATCAAATCGCAAGCTCTGCTGGCTAAGTATCTAGTGGATTGGAAACTTGGTGGCAAGATTGGTTACCTTCGCTAACATTTTGGGGACGAGAGATCAGGTGGCTAAGTATCCGGCGGCTTGGTGGCAAGAACGGTATCAAGAGACTTTTTAGTATGTAGAATCTATTTAATATATAATATCATTTATGGACCAATAATATTGCATTATATTATAACCACGTGATTTTATTATACTAACATCCTTGGTGTCTTGGGGGAGGGTGTCAAAAGAGGAGGCAAGGGAATATTTGATTCCTACTTACTTACTCCTCCTCGCACCCCCTCCTCCATCCCCCTTTCCCACACACACACCTCTTTATTCGTACTTTTTTGATGTTTCTCTAGTCTTATCTCAATAATTTCTATATCAAGATCTTGATAGATACTTTCATAGTAAAGATCTTCACGTAGGAAGGAATGGATGCTCTTGGATTGATTACTACTGGTGAAATTTTGGAATCTTATGGAAATGGGTTTAAAGTCGGTCTAATCAATTCTGAGCCAAAGTATTCTCCTTAAGAATATGAATCTGGATATGAAAGACAATTCGCATATGATTTTAGAGAACCTTTCTTCAATAAAGTAATCCCTAGGAAACACGCAGATCCAATCAATTATAACGTTTATGATTATATATTTGACAAGGAGTTAGGATTAAATATACATAAAGTTACTGGTTTGGCTGTTATAATCTGTTTACAATTTCAAAGAAAACTATACACCCAATACTAGAATAGTTGACCTTTACTGTGAAGGAATGATTACTGCTAATTCAAAAAGCTTACAGACCATGAGAAGAATGGAAATGAGTAGAGAAAGACTTCAATATCATTTAAAGATGTTCAAGTTGAATGAACTAATCTTTAAAATAGAAAAAGGTATATCAGTCTCAGCTACTTACCTATTCGAGTACTAGCGATGTTCTCGTAGATAACATCCGAAGGATAGTACATGTATTGCGGCCAGAGTTCGTCTACTTTGACCGGTTTCACTAAATTTATGATCAATAGTATCAACACTGTAGTGCTTATTGCAGTTACGGCTTTCCCAGAGAATTTTAATGTTATACTTCCACATACTTTTACGTAGGCCCTGTCTCAGATTATTTTTGTTATCAACTTTAGTTTCATTAATGGCTCAAGAAAAGTCAATTGAAAAGTTCTGGTAGGCATGCTTTTTCCTATCATATCAGTTTCTCTATCCTTAAATATAATTTAATGGCACGATAGTATCTTTCAACGTTTCGCATCAACTTATTTAACTGAATAATAGTCGTATTCATATTTCAATAAGTCATGAAAATTGCAACATACATTACGTCCAGTAGATACAGTATATGTATCTTCGTGATACCTCAGCTTAAGAAAAGCAGATGAAGATTGTAGGTTATTCAAATATGTAAAATATGTAACCCAGAAGGCAAGGATACTCATATTGAGTTGTGAAAACTTTCAACCAATCAAATGTGTATTGATTGAAGTACGAGCAAATTTAAGTCCTCCCTTGTAGGAGGAATTTAGTTTCAATTTGCTAGGTTAAGGACTGAGAATTTATTCAAAAAAGAAATGTTTGAAATTATATTCCATCATTCCAGAAATCATTAATATTTTTGATTTATGTGTTTAAGTCCTAAGCAACAAGATTCAAAGGCTTATAAGGATTCAAATTCTTTTATAAGGAAGAAACAAATTGAAGATATGGGGTTTTATACAAATTTTTTACATTAAAGCAACAAGTAAATGGTATGCTTGAATAGCAATAAAAACCCGTCAAAAAACATAGACTGAGGATCTAATCCTGAACTTATGGATCGTTTATTGCACTGTAGCTATATGTTTCGTACGATCGTGATCAGTTTTTTGCTCATAAATTATTATGAAAGAGCAAAGAGCCCATTTCTGAAAAGAGAGTATTTTATACTAAAAATAATTGATTGCTGATTATTTAGATACTCTCACAGTGTTTTCACTGACTTATCTAAATTCTCCATTCAATCTGATGCTTGTACCCCGTATTACGATGAACCAAATTTCGATCACGAGACATTTTCCTGAAACACATTGGCTGATTATACTGTTCCAATACATATTTAATTAAAAAGAAACTCTGAATAAGATGGGAGAAGCTTTATTTCAGTTAAAAGGGCGGTTCAAATCTGAAAGCGGTTCGAAAAATTCCTATATTGTACTTGTATCTCTTTACACTTGGAAAAAGTAGAAAAAGCAATGTTCTCATCTTGAGCTCCAACTAGAGACTTTCTGCAATAATTGTATTCTTGTTCCACTATTATCGCCACGTTGAATTTTATTCAATTTTCCCAATTTTTATGGCCAAAATTTAAAGTAGTAGGTCTGGATTTTATTATATGTTAGCCCCGACCAGTTATAAACATTTAAGAAATAGCTTAATGTTTCAGAGATTTATTGATATGACTAGGGCATTGAATCTACAGGTTTGAAAGCGGTAAAGTTGTTTTTGAACTCGAAATTAATTGACATTTTTTTTCAAAGTAGCTTGAATACTGGATATCAAGGTATTTTACGTTGGTCCTTTTTTTTTTTGACAATCTCGACATATAAATTTGATTATCAACTCGCTAATTTTACTAGCTATAAGAGAAGAAGATGATGTTTACAAATCGCTGTCAATCGAGCAGCCATATCCATCATTTGGTGGGTTAATAGTTCCTACTACTGGCACGCTGATACCTGGAATACCCAGACAATGACCACCTGTCTCGCAACAATGTGTTACTGCGTCTTCATTGCTTATGCAAAACATACTTGACAGGAAGTAAAAGGAATAGCCATTAGCAGGGCGTCCATCTTTTTTGAGCGTTAAAGGGTGGTCCTCATCGAATAGAGTGATGTCACCAGATCCATTACTTCAGGTGCCTACACATTCATTTCCGTTAACATGCACATCTGTTACTGGAATTGAACATGAACTACCAGTACATCCACCTGGTATTGTACTTTGTACTACTTTGAGATCGATCTCACCAAGAATAAAACCTGAAAAGAAAGGAGCTTGAAATAAACTTGGATATTCTCATGTTGAAAAATTCTTGTTTGCTACAATGATAGTGCAAAAATATGAAATAATCAGATTCATAGTCAGCTTTTATAGAAGATGCTAACAGTACAGTGTTCTGCATACGGATTTCTGTAAAAGATAGCGCGCGGAGTCGTTTCTCCATGTTCTTAGAATGACGTAATCAAACTTAAGTTTCATGCGAAGTCTCCTAATGAGAAAATTAGACTTCAATTGAGATTACGAAATTCATATTGTTATAGAATTCACAGTGCCACCAGCATAAATAGCAATTCTGTGATCTCGCTATCCTCAATCAGTAGAAAATTACTCGGTAAGTCTTTTTAATTGCCGTAGCAATGAAAAAGAACCCCACCGAGAAGCACATATTACTAACAATTGTTCAAAGTATTGTCATGCTTTGCATAGTTTCCTTGCAATATGATCTACGTAGTGGGTGGTTTCTTCAATTGTTGAAAAATCGGTTATTATTGCAAATCATCAGATTTGTGCAGCTAAGTATCCGATTAAGAGGTGCAGTTTCTAAGCCTCGATGTACGCGTCTCACTCGAACGTAATTTTAAAGAATACTAACTACAAACTTATAATGTATCAACATAGTATTCAAAGCAACCTGAATTGATGTATTTAAGTTATTTAACTGGTTTACTTGTGAAGAGAGAAAGATTATATATTTAATCAAATCTCATTATTGATTTCGACCATATTGTTTCTGCGTCAGTGTCACAAATTACTGAAAACGTGACTATCTTGGTTGAGCTCCATTTGTCCTTTATTACTGGAATTTAATTTTTCTACTCTAATAATAGTTGAAGTCGTCGTTTCCTTTTTCAATAGTCTTATCTTGCGGATATTGCTTGTTTGATTTTTACTCAAAGCTATTTCATGCTTCCATTGAGGAAATCTAACATGTTTCATACCTGAGATTTCGGATACTCAATTCTTTTCAGAGTAATATAGCTCGAAATAGTTCTCCGAACTTATAGTCCTGAGAATCTGGCAACCTTTGTTTCCCAGAACAGGTAATAACGTACTTTTAGAAAATTTTTCATTTTTAGTAATGCATTGATCACACTGCTAGGTACCCTAATCACTTGTCGTATCCTTTGCTGGCACAATTTTGGAGGATATCTACGTTCTCTTAAATTGACGACGATGTAAAATAATTGAAGATTATCATGTTGATCTTTTTCTTTCATAGTAGTCTTGCTTTGTTCGCTTGGCTTCTGCTATGACAACTCCTTTCGTGGTTGCTTCTGTGTGAAAGCTACTTCAGTGAGAATAGGGCCACTGACTAATTTGCTTTTGTATACAGTTTATTTTGTTCTATTGTGAACCGTGACTTTTTCTTGAAGTGTCAGAAATCGTACCTACTAAAGTATCACATCTACTATAAACGCAACAAGATGAAAATTAAGCGAGCTAATTGAATCACCAATGCTCATCAGGGTCCTCAATACTCTCCTCTATAAACTTATAAGCTTCCAACACAGTCATTACAAATGAAACGGGATTTCCCTCTATTATAGAAGATGCGCCTTCAACTAGCCATTGAAGTATATCCGCAACAGACTCGAAAATTCTCAATATTTCTTGATAATATTCTTCGAGCAAGTAATAAGCAGCAGGTTGACCGTTACTTAATTTGCATGGCGAGTACTTACAGTTGGAATATCCATCTATAACCTGGTTGTAAAAAAAGGCTGTTATCACCCCACTGCTAGTCAGAGCATCACCTATAGCACCAGCATCTGCTCCAACTGAGGACAAGAGACACAAATGGGATGCCTGCTTGGGATATAATGCGATGCCTTGAGAAAGTGAAGTGAGATCCTCTTTTATCAATTTGAAGAAATTATCCATTCTATCGTTGGTCTCATATGACCAAAGGTCTCCCTCTTGGGTTTCTATGTATGCATCAACAAAATACGTATCGAACAATAAACTCGATAGGTCTACGTTAAAGGAAGATGTTTTTACCCACTCTTGTATCAAATAATCAGAGGCTTCCTGAAGATTATCGGGGTTAAGAACAATTAAAGATCCTTCAACGTTCTCGGCGGTGCCACCCCTCTGTAACGAAATTAAACCGAAGGTTACATCTGCTGTTTCGCAACCGATAGTATAGGAACATTTTACTCTGGAAGTAGTGTACTGCTTCATTCCGAACATTCTCATGGTTTCTCTCGATGGCTGTTCATAATTTTCAGGTGTATAGCTACAGGAATAATGTTGATGTGGCTTTTTCCAGTCCCAGTCAGAAACAGCCAAGTGAGTGAGCCTCATGGCAGTAGCCATGTAATAAAGCATTCCTGGGTTGCTAATATAACCGCTTATTGAATTATTGTAAGTTTGGAGTACGCGATTCTCACCATTGAAAGTCGAATTGGAAACAAACATCTGTAACACTGATGTTCCGAATAATCCACTTCCATCATCAATGGTCCCCCAAGTAGACAAGCATGTCACATTTTTTTGTTCATCGTTTGAACTAAAATACCCCCTAGCAATTTGGCTATCTCCTTGGACGGCAGTTAATTTTTTATTCTTTGAAACATCGCTTACATCTTTCACCAAGTTGAAGTTTTTTTGTGGGGTATTAATATTTGATGGGAATGAACTGCTAGTGGCCATTCCTGATGACACTCCTGTTGCGTTATAATATGCAGCGACTGGAGTGTAACCTGGAGAGCTCGTGACTATACTTGTATAAGTTGTCAACGCGCACTCTTCACCATTGCGTTCAGTGTAAGCTGTCACAGTTGTCTCATATGTACTAGGTTTACACCATGCTTCAAAATACGGGCAATATTCAAGTTGAGGTGATCCTTGCGCGGTGGTCATCGGTGCTCCTAATTCAACAGTACGTAAACCAACAATAGTGTTACCATCCGGGGCTCCCAATTTGACAGTAAGCGAACCAACAGTGGGATTACCAGTCGAAGCTCCCAAATCAAGGGTTGGAAACACATTAGCACCTGGAAGTGAAGTTCTAGTGGTACCAACCGCAGCTTTAGTATCAGCTACATCATAACTAGATGATGTTAATTCAACAATACCCAGTGGTTGATGGAATTTTAAGGTTTTGAGCTCATTCGCATTTGATAGATCGCTGATTTTGGCGTTCGAAGAGCTCGTAAAATGTTTTGACAATACACTAGACGTCAAAACGGTAGTAGTGAATGAGCTCAAACTGAAGTTACCGAAGTACATAATGAAACAACTTGGTTTGAGTAGATGTTCTGCTGGCACGTATGTCTTGGTTCGATCTGCTTCTGCTTGGCTTTGCAATCACCTTCTTTCTCAAAGACTATTGTGACTTGGTGCTATATGAATCTTGAGGATATTTATATAATTCTGCAAAATCGTAAATGTCTCCGAAGATCTTTCCTGGGTCTTTTGAGATTGAACGAGGAAATGGGCTATGCAGCCTAAAGAATTGAAACCTAACAAAGATTTTTAGATTAGAGTATGCATATTACATCTGTGCATTTTAGATGTCCAAATTAAGCATCTAAACTAAGCCACTTTCCCGAGTAGCACAAATTCGACCCGAATAGTATCTATGTATCTAAATTCGTCAGTTCATATCACTCTAATTTGGTACAGTTTTTATCTTTTAGACTCTGTTTCTCGGAGTCATTGCTTATGCCGCCAAGCTTTTTTGATAGTTAATGTCATAAAAAATATAAAATTAGTAAAAGTGAAAAGAATTGTACCTTACGTAGCTTTGACAGAATTTGAAAATCGAATGACTGCAACCTACTAACAAGTGGGGCATTTATTGAGAGCCCCTCAGAAGTTAAAGTCTATTTATGATGTATTATTATGATAAGCCATAGATCATAAATTCTTGGGCGCATCATTTTCAGAATGCCCTTTAGCCATTACAATTAAGATTACGATTTCACAGATATCTCTCGCTATCAAGCTAGATTAAAGCCATAAATTGAAAGGGCATACCATGATAGATATGTGTAAAAGTAGATTTTTGGTCGAGAACAGTGTATAAAAAAATTAACTGATAAACAGTGATAGGTGACGAGAGCTCGTTTATTCTGATTTCTCTGTGCTCACAGGTTTTTCTTTTTTATCCTGTTGAAATATCTTTTGGCTAGAACTTTCTATAGCAGAATGACTGCAGCTTGACTCTATGAAACCGAGTCGTACTTTTAACAATAATTATGCATCTGTGATCTTTCGCTGTATTGTGATTGTTAAATGTAAACATTATATGCCCCTATTTTTGCGAAGGTGACTCTAGCCGAGACTCCGGATATTTTTTGGAACGAATTTTTCGGCAAAGTTTATGGGGTCTTTACTAGCAGCAGGGCAACATTACAGGACATGACTATTTTAGTTTCAAATATAGTATAAAAACCCCATATGTCCAGAAAGAGTGCAACTATTGAAAACTGTGCCCGCCACAGGAGCCAAATTTTTGGAGAGTAAATAGTGAACCTTGAATGATATAATAGGTAAAAGGGGCTTAATACGATCGATACTATTAAGAGAGGAAAAACTTGAGTTTTTCCTCTCGGCATTTTGTGACTAAATGGTATCTCGAGGGCGAAAAATGGACAAAGCTATATCATATCAGTCAAGGGCCATGGCGCCACTTCAATAGGAAACTTTGCAAGCCGAAAGTCGGGAGAAGTCCTTGAGATTTAAACTGACGTAGGGTATTTGTTTTAATGCCTACTATAACTTCATACAATTCAATTATCTGTTGAGGGAACTCTAGGTTGCTAAGCCGGCTTTTCGAACTTTGTCAAAATACCCCTTGAACGTTCAATGTCCTACAAAGAATTTCTTGCAGTGTCTCTATTCGACAGATACGGTTTGTTAGCAATGATGAATTGCTTCTTTATTGACGCAAAGATTAAAATTCCGACATTTATTATAAATATACATGAATACACTTTCTCTATACCTCTTTGTAATTGCTTTGCGCTGTTACAATTAGTTACCTAAAATCGTGGTATTGAGGATTTTTGGGAATTTAAATCCGTTGGTTACGAATTGGCTAGTCAATTAGTAGCCAAAACTTCCTTCGTTGTACACTTGCTTAATATTTTTATCTCCTTCAATTAATCGGTAGTAAGCCTATAAGACATAATTATGCTCAGCTGCTTTGAAATGGTTGAAGCAACTGTTATTAATAAAATATTTACTATTTCTCTCGTTGTTCAAACTACCTGGCTTATTCTGGTAGAACAGCAAGCTAGCTGAGTCTCAACTTCTGATATAAGTATATATAATCTATTGTGCAGGAAACACATAGTCTTTTTCAGGAGTTTAGAAAAATATTAACTAATAAATGACTAGATATGAAACTAGAATGTCTATCGCCTGCGATCCTTGTCGGAGGAGAAAATGTAAGTGCGATAGTGTAAAACCAGCTTGCACTCAGTGTCGTTTGCGGAAAGTGATTTGTACATATAATAAAGTAGGCGATAAGAGGAGAAGGTCCCAGTCTCATTTCGACTTGATGTCGAGTCATATTTCAAGGTTACAACATGTTATAAATTTAATATCTGAAGGTGGTGTAAGAGCTGACCTAACCATTAAAAAATTACAAAATGATAAGAGATATTCCGAATCCTTATTGTATGGAGATAAAGCGATCGGCTCAACTGATATTGAATTTGAAGGAGATTTACTCAAAGTTGATAATCAAGGCAAAATTCACTTTTATGGAGAAACATCCAATATCCCAAAAATTATTCAAAACGACACTATTATTTCTCAGAAATTATCTTTGAGCTCTAATTCGGATATATATACCTTGGACATATCGCATTTTGTGCCTGACTATATTGTTTCGGAATTGTTGCAGTTATATTTTTGTTGGCAACACGTTTACTATAACGTATTCGACATGCAATTATTTTTAAGAGATATGAAGACTGGTGGGATGTTTTATTCAGATTTCCTCTTGAATGCAATTTTGTCACACGCTTGTCATCTATCTAGTAGGCCCGAACTTCGATCAGATCCTCTCGATGCCCGAACGACCGGCTATTTCTTTCATAAAAAAGCGTTGAAAATGCTCCATAGAGAGCTCGAAAATAGCTCTCTTACAACCGTGCAAGGCTTATTATTGTTGGCAAGTAAAGAATCGGGAATAGGTTGTAACAGTATTGGTTGGGTCCATTCGGGGATGGCAGTAAGAATTGCAATTGACTTAGGAATACATCACGACGCTGCAAAGTTGGCAGAGCTAGGCTATATTTCGGAGGAAGAGGTAAAGGTTCGAAATACGACATTTTGGGGGTGCTATCTTTTTGATCAAGGTTGGAGCTCGTATTTAGGACGACCGCCAGCCATTCGTATGTGTGATGTGTCGATAAATCTACCTGACTTCCATGAAGAAAAACCCCTAGAGTGGGTTCCTTTCTATGAAAGTAGTAATCAGTTTCCTGATGAAGTTATAAAACTAGAATTTTATCCCGAAAATACCTTGTTGGCAACATTAAAACTTTACCATATTTTAGAATTGATAATATTCTCTCTTTATACATCAAGGAAGGAAGAAGATAATGTTGAAAAGAAGAAAAATTACAGACTATTATTGGAAGAACATTATCAACTATTAGAATTATGGAGGGCTAAGCTCCCAGATTACCTAAGATATTCACAGTTTAATACGCACCCTGCTATTTTGATGTTACAAGGAATGTACCAATCCATAACAATATTCTTATTTCGCCCATACATAAAGCTCAGTGAGAGAAATTGGAGAATAGAAAACATACCTGACCCTTTAGACCAATGTCGACAGTGCGCAAAATCAATCCTTGAAATATTGCGACGATATAAAAAGTTGTACTCTTTGAACAAAATAGTTAACTTAACTACATACCTTGCATTGACTGCTTCTACTGTTTATTTAACGGTTGCATCTTCTACTGGATCTTTTGATGAAAGGGATCAAAATGATTGTTTATCAATCTTATCTGAGATAGGAACTTCATGGCCCGAGGCGAATGCTGTACATGATGTGATCAAACGCAAATTCAAGTCAATTCTTGCTCCTCAAAACGAAAACGATAGCAGCCTTCTTTCTCGTTATGCTATTGGTTGTGAGTGGATTCAAGAACTTTATCTCCCATTGGATGAGTTTATGATTGAAATGGAAGAATCTACAATCTGGGATAAACAAAATAATTAATTTGATAATAAATTTTATGTCTCACGATTTAAACTGCATACATTCATGTATTACTTCAAACTCCTGATCTGAACTTCTCTCGATGTTATTTTCTTGAACGTGAGCTGGTACAATAACTTCTTCTTCGAGGCCATAGTTTGTATCTGTAAGCTTTCCAGCCACAAAAAACATAAAAGGCATGCTAAAGACCATCATTCCGAAATTAGCTCCTAACTCACGGTTAAAGGGCACCTTTAAGGCATCAAGTCCAAACGAAATTGCATTTCCCGCTGATTGTGTACCTTTGTAGAATCCTGCATAACGCGCGAGTTTGTAGGACTCGTTAGTCAAGGACCCCATTATCCAATAGCACCAAGATTGCCACATTGCATCTGCGATACCGTACATAAAATACAAAACGAAAGGACCTCCAAAATGAGGACTAGTCCAGTCGACGTTAGGCGATTTTGATTCCCTCGTGAATTGTCGTTGGAATATTGCTCCACCAATCCATGTTGCTATTACAAATACACAAACGACGATCAATCCAATTAAGCCTCTTTTCCTTCTTGAAAGCTTTGTACTATCAAGAAGTAATCCAATGCCCACACTTCCCACTATTTGCGTTAACCAATATATCATGGAATTTAGCGATCTGCTCCTAAGAGAAAAATAAAAAGCATTAATGCCGAACTGATACGAATAAAAGAAATTACTAGAAAAGAAAGCAGGGAACAATAGCATCATCTTCCAATCTTTATATAGTTTGACAGTATCAACAAGCTCCTTAATGAAGCTAGATTGATGGAAGTTTTCCAAACTGGTTCCATCACTTCTCCTTATTGATCGTGGGTTCATGAGTAACAATGACAATAGACATCCAATAATCATAACAATAACGAAAGCAACATACGTTCCTGTCGAAACGCCAGAGTTACTTACTCCCCCAAGATTTTGAACTAAGGTTATTAGTCCACCTAGAGTTGCACCGACTGACAAAAGACTCCAAGTAATCGCAAAGCTCTTAGATTTGTTTTTTTCTTCAGGATATGACATTGTGACCATTCCATGAACGCTCCATAACATTCCAGCAGATATCCCACATAAGGCTCCTCCTGCAATAACAAAATTTGTATTCCCTGTTCTATCAAGACACCATAATGATCCAACGTATATAGTATATCCTATAGTTCCTAAAAAGAATGTTATCCTCGCACCTAACGTATTCACAATTGATCCCCCCATAAACCCGACGACAGCAAAACAACCATAAAGAGCAGCATTTGCTTGGTCAGTCAAAGAGACCGAAGAAGCTCTCTGACCACCAGCTCCAAGTCCAGATAAGGCATCAAACATTCCAGGCTGCGTGAATAGAACACACCCCACCAAAACAACCTGTGTTATTGGCTTCCTCCAGGCACCAGAAAACAATGTGAGTAAATTATTTCGTGATTGTTGAAACGATTTCATATATTTTGTCTTAATTTTATAGCCGAATATACATTTGAAAGAGAAATTTGTGCATATTTATGTTCAGTGATCTTTAGCTTAGACATTTGCAAGTGTCATGATCGATTATTCTTGGACAAATATCGCAAATTTTGTGTCACGGAGAATACCTCCGCGGAAAATATGTCCGGTGCTTATCATTTTTCTTCCTGCTATCATATATAAATTTAAAATTAATTAACCAACTGCATCTCAAGTAATTAAAACGTAATCTTGATTTAAAAAATGGTAGAAAGTATTATCAACCCCTTAAATGTCAATGTTATGGGTTTAAACTCTGGTACATCCATAGATGGGATCGATGTTGTTCTATGTGAATTTTCGCAGCAACATCCAGACGCACCATTACGCATGAAAGTTCTTTATTACGATGAGATGGAAATGCCTCAAAAATTGAAATTGAATGTGCTTAGTCTAATTAAAGAGAACAAAACCTCGCCCGAAGAATTATCCCAAGTGAACGTTTTACTTGGAAAGGCGTTTGCAAAGGCAGCCTCTGATTTTTGTACTAAATATGCCATATTAAAAGAATCTATCGACATAATTGGGTCGCATGGACAAACAATTTGGTATATTTCAGATCCAAAACCTGGGCAGTGTAAGTCAGTTTTGACCCTTGCTGAAGCTTCTTATATATCTGAAGAAATGGGATCCACTGTTGTATCCGATTTTCGAATTTCAGAACAGAGTGTAGGAAGGCAAGGAGCACCAATGATTGCTTTCTTCGATAGCTTATTATTAATACACCCCACAAAACTAAGAGCTTGCCAAAATATAGGAGGAATTTCGAATGTTTGCTTTATTGTTCCTGAAAGTAAGGGAGGGCTTGAGAAATGTTTTGATTATGATATCGGTCCAGGAAACGTATTCATTGACGCTGCCGTAAGGTATTTTACGAATGATACCATGCAGTATGACAAAGACGGATCCTGGGGAAGAATAGGAAAAGTTGACCTTGAAATGGTCGAAGAGTATTTAAATGAGCCTTATTTTCATAAAGAGCTTCCCAAAACAACTGGTAGAGAACTATTTGGGGATGCTGTAGCTAATGAGTTGATACAAAAAGGTTTAAAAAAAGGACTCAATAAATACGATATCGTGGCAACTTTGACGCGAATTACAGCACAATCAATTGTTAAAGATTACGTTAGGTACTCTCCTGGGTTTATTGACGAAATATATTTATGCGGTGGAGGAGCTTATAATCCTAATATCACTGAATATATAGGAGCCCACTTTCCAAATACTAAAATGTGCTTATTAGATGAAGCTGGAGTACAAACTGGTTCTAAAGAATCTATAACTTTTGCCTTTCAGGGTTTAGACGCTATTTTGGGAAGACCTTTGATAGTCCCTGATCGAGTAGAAACCAAAGCTCCTGTTATAGTTGGAAAAATATCTCCGGGGCTTAACTACAGGTACCTTCAAAGAAAGGCCGCTGATTTTGGGAAAGACTACGATACTTTAGGATACCTTCCGCCTGTCAAAAGTTTAATAATAGATTAATTAAGCAAATATATCAAAGCCTTTGGGGAAGTTACTTTTACATTATGCCTTAGTGATTCTCGAAGCTCTTCGAGAAACCAATTGAACACGTTTAAATTTTAACTTTGGTGCCGACACTGTATAGACTCGCGTAATAAACAAAGTTTTAGAATATCTTGACACCTTTGATGAAAATATAATAGAGACAGCAATTCTAAGCTCTTTCATATTAGCTCAACGGTACGATATTCTATATCGTAAATTATCGCTAGAGATATATTTCTGGAACTAGATCTTAATTGTTCCAAAAAAAATGTCGACAAACTGAGAAAAGTAAGAACTCCAGGAAAACTGAAAATAGTTCCTATTAGGTATAAGGTTCGCGATTGTCATTCATGTAAACCAACACTTCGAGAATCCTTATTACACTTTTTTTTACAACTCTATTGAAGAAGATTTTAAAATGATAGTCAGACAGGAAAGAGTTGGCAAGCTCGAGAAATATCTCTAATTTTCATCCCGAAAAACATTCACTGACATGTTCTATCAATCATCACCAATACTGCATTAGAAATTATCTCATATGTGTCTCGAGATTTGCGAGCAGTCAGAAATCTTCCTACCAATACATAAAAGATGCTAGAGAATGAAGAGATGTATCTTAGATCAACCCTTCCTTTCCATCATAAAACTCTAGCATATTTATCAATTCATAGACAATACAGAAAGTATAACCTAGCGATAAAAACACAATACATCTCTAGCCAAGTATAACTTAACTTTTTTCTTACATAAGTGTCTTTATAATTCACAAAGATTGCTGATGCTGTTTAGGGTAAAATACCATGAATCAATCGAGTAATCTTGAAATAGATCGATCTTTTAGCTTAAGAACGTCAAGCGCAGCATCTGAAGCCTAATTACTTCTGATTAGAAATCATATTTTGCGTTCGCAGAGTCAGCATCAAAAACTTGAGCTTTTTCAGACGGCCCTTCGTCCCGTTTCTTGCGGATATCCTTTGCTTTAATAACTTTTCCACTGAATGCCCAGTAAGGATGGAAAGGAAAGAATATGAGTCCTACAAATACAATCATCAACGCATCAAACACCATTAAAAATGCCTCATGAGTTATTAAGTAACCATTAAAACCTTGGGCCAACTCCACAACTCTATAAATAGAACGAATGTAAATAAATATCACCGCAAGGGTCACTGCGAGTGGAAAGTAATTGAACAATCTTCCCTGTCTTATCTCTTTGAATTGAGGGTTATACTTTCTATCTAGCTTGATCTTATGTTCTCTAGTACAGGGAAGATTCAAAAGGAGACGAGTGAAAGACGAAATTGATCTTTTGTTTAGTGGTCCTGTACTACTTTTATCATTATTCTTGAAGTTTACTCTGAAAAAGAAATGAATCCAAAATAAGAGAAATATGGACATCGACAACACTTGGAAACCTATACCGCCAATCATAGTATACGTTCCAATGTCCGTATTTTCATGGTTTTCAGCTTCTGCTGAAGAGAGGGCACCACCAGCTGCTTGAGCCAATAACGATACAACGTCGCTGACAATAAAGAAATATGAATACCACATGGGTTTCAACGCAGAATACTGTCGTCCATATACAACTGCCATTTGAGCAAATAGAAAATAAATTCCTGCCATGATAAACGCGGGTGCAATGGTTAAACATACTATTTGCATATTATAGTAGCCACTGTCCGTCTCGTTACCAAGCCCAGCATAAACCCGCCCTAAGAAACCAGTAAATTCAAGTCCATATCCAAAAAAAAAGGTGACATTGAACCAGACGTACCTTGATTTTATAAACATTAAGACAATGTAAAGCCAGATTACTGAGAATAAAACTAAAAATAGGATATTAGCTGCAGGATGGACGGCTCCTCCAAAAACATTTTCCTCATTAGTTAGGGATTTCAAATTGAGAGTGGCCCCAAATATTTCGTGAGTAGCCTTGCTCTTCACAGACTCATCTGTTGCAGTGGCTAAAATTCCTTCTGCATCAATTACTGTCAACGAAGCTTGTGCCCCTCTGATTACTTGAGATAACGATGCTAAATTGTCCAGGGCTGTCTCTTTAGCTGCTGCTTTTAAAGCTGAGGTCAAAGACCTGTGCAAAGCGGAGCTGTGACTAGTAGCCACCGAAGTAAGAGTGGTTGAAGCAGGAATGGAAGACGGTGTCCATTTAGGGATAGTTACCATTTTTTACAGAATCATTGGTCACTAGAAATCAAGCTGGGATATACCATTTAAATATCATGAGCCAGCTAATTTTAGAAAGACTACAACTACCATCAGTCATTCATGTGGTATTTGACTCTCTTCTTGATGCCAACGTACGGCTATGTTACTTGAGAAGTTGCCATAGGAATTGCGACGCTATTGCAATACTTTTTCTCAATGAAATTTAGTGGAGGCGAAGCCAGATAGTGGGAGATCATCACAAAAATGAAGAGGCATTTGCGTTCTGGATGCATGCAACCTAAAAAACCAGGCGGCAGTACTATTAATAGGCTACTGAAAGACTAAGCGCCATTTATCTACATTTATCTACTCTCTTTACTATCTATATATATCCAGCAGTTATTCCCTCATCAAGTGTCTGTGTAGTTGATCTCTAAGCCTCAATACAAGTTTCGGTATTACTATTTTTGGAAAAAAATTCACGTGTCAAAGTGATTACACATAAATTTTAGGTCATCGGTTACGCAGATCTCGTACCTGCCTAAAAGATGTTCTTTACGAAGATATTTGAGATTTCCATTTTGTATACACATGCCTTCCCCATTCAAACGAAAAAAGGATCTACTTCATTAGTCTCCAATAAGAACTTTATTTACGTTCAAGCTTTATCTTAACCCTCACATCTGACTGCCTTGAAACTAAGAGAGTTGAATACAGGATTCATTGAGAGGAACGTAAAGCTATGTGTCACCGATCGTTTCTCGACTTGTGTGACTCTCCGGTAATTGGCAATCGCTACTGAAGCTTTTAAGATTTAATTTTGTTAAGGACGAAGTTTCATGAGCATATAGCTAATGAAAAAAATTTTTTGCAGACCTAATTAATGATTGGGATGGCAATGTTCTTAATAAAAGCTTTCCAATTGACAGGTAAGAGGAGTTCAAAAAGATGAAAGAACCTCAAAGATGCTTAAAGGAAGAAAACAGGAACTACCTAATCCCCAAAATAGAGTCGAAACAAAAAACGCGGTCAAAATTTTTAAAAGTACAGATTCTCTGTTATTATTCGACTTGCGACTAATGATTGGGGAATTACTGGAGTAATTGACTTATAAGTACCTCTACAAACTTTTGCAGTCTTAAAGTTGAATTAGCAAATCTTCCTGACTGTTATTCTTACAGATACGCTACTTCAAGAAAATGACTTCTTTATGCACGACGTCCTTTTCACAACTTGGAAGTTATCTTGATTGATTTTTGCGAGAAAGTTTTTCGACGTATGAACAAAATGTCAACTATAATGAAGAACTTCTTGTGAGAAGTTAGTAGGTATTCTTGAAC